TTCGCTGAGCGACTCTAATCTCGCTCGAGCGACTCTAACCCTCATATATTAATATACATTATTAGCATAATTTTAATTTAAATAAAAATTAGAATACAAATATACTATACTATACTAATATACCATTATATTATTTTCATTGTATATAAATTAAAAAATTAATAATTTGTATACTATACTATACTAAAATATTATTTGTATACTATACTAATAGTATAATATACTATATTATAATATTATTTGTATAGAAAACTAATATCTTTATATATAAATATGAAGATATAAATATATAAAAATATAAATATATGTAAAAATATATAAAGATATAAATATATCAATATTTAAATATATATTAAAATATATAAATATATTTTTATTTATAGATTTTATATTTATATATTTGTACGGATATACATTTATTTGTATATAAATATAATTTATTTGTAAGTTATTATTAAAAGATCCTAGTAGCTCGATGGTTGGAGTTTCAGCCTCCAACTCTAAGGTACCGGGTTCGAATCCTGACAATGACAATAAACCACCTAATAATAAGTTAAACTTCTAAAAAGTATAATATAATTAAGAGATAGGGAAAATAAATAATAGATATAATAAAAATGTAAATAATTAACTTTTTCATTGATTCAAGTGATCGATTTAGTTGGTCATCGATTCGGTCACTAAAATCAGTGACCAAAGAAATAGTGACCGATTTGGGTTGGTTACTATTTCGGTCACTATTTTAGTTAGTGACCGATTTTGATCATTTAGTGACCGAAAATTCGGTCACTATTTGATGTTTTTGTTGTAGTGTTCCTCCAAGACAAGGTTCCTAATTTTACTCTTCCCCCCAAACTCAATATCCTCAAAGAACGTAACAATTCCCTTCTCAAAAATTGTCTTTAATGTGAGATCATAAAATTTATATCCCTTGGATCTTTCAGCATAACCAATAAAATAACTACTTACTGTTCGGGAGTCCAATTTCTTTTCATTTGGCTTATAAGGCCTTGCCTCAGCTGGACAACCCCACACATGGAAATGTTTCATACTAGGTTGTCGCTCAGTCCAAAGCTCATAATGTGTTTTAGTAGCTGCTTTAGTTGGTAGTCTGTTTAGAATATAAGTTGTCGTCTTTAGTGCCTCTCCCCAGAGTAATTCCGGTAAGGTGGAATGACAAATCATACTCCTGACCATATCTTTAAGAGTCTGGTTTCGTCTTTCAGCTACACCATTCATGCTAGGTGATCCCGGTATGGTATACTGTGGGACAATTTCACACTCCTCTAGGTACCTAGCAAAAGGTCCAGGACGTTGTTCACCTGACCCGTCAAATCTGCCATAGTACTCACCACCACGATCAGACCTGATAGACTTAATTCTTTTGTTGAGTTGATTTTCAACTTCAGCTTTAAATGTTTTGTACATGTCCATAGATTGTGATTTTTCATATATAAGAAATAAGTATGCATATCGTGAGTAATTGTCTATGAATGATGTAAAGTATTGTTGACCATTCCACAAAGGTGTAAGAAATGACCCACAAATGTCCGTATGTATTAACTCTGAGACGTCTGTAGCTCTATATGCACCTAATCTCTTCGTTCTGGTTTGTTTGCCCTTAATGCATTCAACACAAACATCAAAGTTTGTGAAGTCAATGGACTCTAAGATTCCATTTGACACAAGTCATTCAACTATATTTTTAGAGATGTGACCTAAGCACCTGTGCCATAATGCTCTTGAGTAAGTATCGTCAATTTTACATTTAGTATCCCGTGATTCTATATTAAGAGTTTCATTATAGGTGATCACAGTATCAAGTAAATACAAATTATCATAAGGCAAAAGTGAACCAGTTCCAACAATATCTGAATTAAAAGACAAACTGAACTTATTATTTCCAAATGAACACAAATAACCTAATTTGTCCAAATAAGAAACTGAAACCAAATTCCGTCTAAATGACGACACAACAAAAGTGTCTTTCAAATCCAAATAAAAATTAGTACTCAATAACAATTTAAAATGCCCTATAGCTTCCACCTCTACCGATTTGCCATCTCCAACATATATCTATTTTTTTGTAGAATCAATTGGCTTCCGGTAGCTTAGACAACCCTTCATAAAAACACTGATGTTAATAGTTGTACCTGAGTCTAACCACCAAGTGTTACTAGGTACTAACGCTAAATTGACTTCGAAACGGACCAAAGTAGGAAACATAATTTTGAGGATTGGAACAAAATTTAAATTGGCAGATACAAAAACAATTGTAGCTGAATTTAGAACACGAGAAATAAACTAATTATGCTCACATTATATAAAAATAAATTATTATAAATATATATTCAAATAGTTCTGATTAGGGTTCTATAAATTAATCCTAATTTTCATATATACAAATATATACAAAAATAATCCTAATTTTCATAATTAGGGTTCTATAAATTAATCGGACATGAATCAAGTATGAGTAGTTTCGATACCAATTGTTGGAAAACTAATAATTATAATCCTGATTTTAATTTTAACGATCAAACATAAACGTAATTTCATACTGACAAACATATTGTAAACTGAATGCGAAAGCATACCTGAATTAGTCATAATGTTGATGTCTTTATAGAACACTATATTTATCTTATGGTCTTCCACCTGAAGAGTACATGTATTTCCCTCTTGATTTTCTCTCTTGATGGGGATAGAAAAAAAGGAAATGTAGTGAAACTTATGTTCTGTCTACGTGCTCCCAGAAGGGGACCATGACTCCTTAAAATAACCAGAATTAGGTTAATTACTTAAGTTTTAATATTTCTAATTTGACCCCTCATCAAATTAGAAATTGTTCTATGATGTTTACACAATTTTATTTTCATGACATATGCCTTTAGTCAAACTTTTTAATTTAGTCATATCACTTTATTATTTGGCCCTAACACATTTAAATTATGTATCATATATATATATATATATATATATATATATATATATATATATATATATATATATATATATATATATATATATATATATATATATATATATGAGAACCAAATTTTGCCAACATACATTACAATGATCTTCGTCACATTGGATTAGAATACTAGTGCATAGCAAACAAGTGGTGGCAGTTGTTGATTTGAAGCGTTATACCTGATGATGATTGTGCATGCAAAAGAAGAAAGATGCTATAGCAGTTCATGGAAGTATGTGTTATTACGCAAAAAAAGTGCAGGTACATTCGACTCGTTTAACAACGGAATCAATGGGAAACAAAGCTTCTCCGATGCAACCATTAATAGTTTCAACCCCAACCAGAATTTCTCTGGCGCAACGCTTCAGAGTGTGACTCATTCAGAAGGCTTCAACCTACGTTCTTCTGCATGCAGTAACGCTAGCTATTCGGATCACTCCATCCAATATTGTGTCTCCACTGCAACCACTGTAAAGTCCACCAACACAGAAAATAACTATTACTTCTCTGGCCCTCCCGTTGTTATTATTTATCAGAATTTCCATTGTCAGTGTCATCATAGAGTTACACAATCTTAATATTTATTATACATTATTAGAATCCGTGTGTCTCTTCAATGAAGATATATGTATAACACATTCTATATAAATGAAATAAAATATTCAGTCCTTTTCTTTTTACCCATTTTTTGCTTTCTAAATTTGTCTTTTTATTTACAAAACTTTACATGTTTTTACTGTTTTGTTGAATGATGAATGAGTTGATTTTTTTTTTTTAATTATAATTCATCTCGTATGATAATCGATTTTATCGTATATAATAACAAAATTTTGAAGTTAGGATAGTCTTATCTTTAGATAGAACAATAATATAAATATATAGTTTACCTGTTTTTATTTAAATATTTATAATTTTTATGTCTAGGACAACTTAACTTAGTGATTTAATTTTTTATTGTTTTTATGAGTTAAAAATGTGTAGTTTATATTATTTTCAAAAGTCCTATTTTTTCTTTTTAGTTTCTTTTATATATATATATATATATATATATAATAAAATAATAATTTGTTGAGATTGAGTCGAAATTATTCAATTATAAAAAATATTAATAAAATAATAAATATTATATTTAATTAGGATATTCAATTGCTGGTGAGATGTAAAGTGTAAAAGCGGAATGTTTTTTCTTTGAAATGAAATTAATTATTTTTTGAGCAAATTTAAAAATTATAATTGCTCATTGAAGTATTTAGAATGGGAAAACAGAGACTAACCGGTTCCCTTCAAATTGAAGAGTGTGATTAATATTTGAAGGCGTTAACTGGTCTTGGGTAGTTCCGTTTCACCTGTTAATCCTGTAGATCAAAGGTAAGACAGTGTGTCATATTCCGTTTTTGGCTAGTCACTATTTTGCCATCTAGAACAGAATCTATTCATGTGGATAGAACTTGGCTAACATAAAATATTGTTAGCTTAGTTTCAAAGCAATGAAGTGGGAACATTAGGCTACACAGCTTCTTCATCTCTATATAATATAGTATTGCCATAGGTCTATCATCAACAAGGGAAAAGTGAAGAAGAAGAATACGTGGTGGTTGAAAACAGATAATATCAATTATTATGATCAAGAATACATGATCTTGATCTTATTGACTACTAGTGTGTAGCAAAGAAGGGGTTTCAGTTTCCCACTGTCCTGTAGAATTTGAAATATATTGGCATGTTCACGTCCCACACAATCGTTACATACCTACCTACTATTTCACTTGTCATCATGCTATATAATATTGGTCACGCACCAAACCATCATTCTCTTTAACTACAGACAACTGTTTGTTTGATGCATATAGCACCATAAAAATATCAATATTCTGATTCTTTGTTTTGAATATGAAATTGCATACATATAGTTTGGTTTTCGATCTTATTTTGATGGTCTGAACTTGAAGAATTTAAGATAAAAAGATGACAATCAAAACCCTTTAAACTACATTTCTAAGAGCTAATAATATGATGCTAATTGCTAAACCCCAGCACACCTCCTTGGAGAATATCCCAGCCTAGACCTTTTCATATCATACAGAATGTGAAAATTCTGCTGCAGTAAGTTTCCAATTATTGTGAAATGAGAGTGATGAGGAGTCTTCAGAATTGCCAAGCAAATAACTTCATCACGTTCATATTGGTAGAAATAGTTTTCTGCAGGGAAATTCCAAACAGCCCCATCTGCAAAATGAATCTCAAAGTCAGGCAGCTCCACTTGAAGTGCTCCTGACACATTGTAACATGGGGACATAATAAAATCATCTGCAGCAATTTGGTGCAGTTTAATTTTCTTCTCAAACGCTTCTTTGATAATATCATAGGCCGAGTCAGGGAAAAAAGTCAAGGTAGAGCCTGAATCAATAATTGCACCACCACTAGCAGCACCTTCTGATGACCAATGCCAAGTTTGTTCTGGAATATCAAGCACTTCCCCACCAACCATGATGGACTTTATTTGAAGATAGTAAAATGTATCATCCGGAATTTCTTCTCCTGCGAGCAATGAAGTGAAGTTCATGTTGTGATTGTTCAATAGCTCATTGTCCTTTCCAAAGACCAATTTGCTGCTAGTACTTGTGTTGCTGAATAGGTCAGTGAGACAATAAGAAAATGAGTGACCGTAGATAGATTGAAGCTGTGAGGAAAAGGAGAGAGGTCCTCTCCCAAGTCCTAGCAATCCAGCAGCTCCATGAAAAAAGCCTTTATTCCAATGACCACAACCAAACGTAACATCCACTACCATTTTAAACTTTTCCTCCCCATTAGTCGAGGTGAGGTTTACAGTAAATTTTTCTAGTGCAAAATCTCCTGTAGTGTTTGAACCATCTGCATAGTCATAGAAGTAAGGACATGTTTGGTTTTCAACTTTGCAGCGTTGAAGAGGGTCCGGGGAAGAGACCAGTTGGCACCGGGGATCATAGCAGCTTATGTTCCTATAAGAACTAGAGTACTTGGGATTATAATGGGGTCCGTTTTGATCAAAACAATCATAACATGGATCACATTGAATCCAACTGAGGTCGCTGCCAGTGTCAAGTATCAACCAAACATGTTTAGGAGGTGTTCCCACGAACATGTCTACGAAATACTCTCCTGTGCCAAGAGAGGCCCCAGACTTCAAGGTTGCCATGATGTTACCTGAAAACTCACCTTTAGAAGATTCCAATGATGCTATTAAAGCATTAGAAGGGTTCTTCTGCTGCTGGATGGTGATACTCTCCTTTTTCTCTGTTACTTTTCTATGAAGAGTCTGAATTCTGATCAAATCCCTGATTGCTGAGTCCAGTGCATGTGTTTTAGGCACGTCGCCATGATTCATTGGCCTGCGCCTTAGGTGTAATTTTGTTGACCTTCTGTGAGGATTTGCTGATATGTCATAATCTTCATCTTCCTCATTCAATCTTGTAGGTTCTGAACTTTTTGCTTTCATGTGAAATTCTTCGTTGGTGAGAGTTGGATCATTGTTGTGATCATTTGGAGCATCTACTTCAGCGTATGTTTTGAAAGTGACGCAGAAAACTGTAAAGAGGACCAAAATAAGGGAAATTTTCATGACCATAGTACTTCTCACTCCTTGTTTGATGCCATATACAATAAGAGTGAAGAAAACAAAATTGAAGTACTAATCCTATTGTAAAATGGGGATAGACAAAGTATTTTCTTTCAATTCCTTAGAGACAAAAAAAAAAAAAAAAAAAAAAAAACAGAACAGACTAGGACAACAATTTACTATAAGTTGCTAAACCAAAGCATAACTTATTTAAAGGTCTTAGGAAAAAAGATAGGCCAAAAATTGATCATGAAACATGAAGGGGAAGAAGTTAAGTAGACCAATGAAGATTAAGGCTTTTAGCTGAAGATAGCTTTGCTTAGGTGATTTGGTTATACTGTGAGGGTTAAAAGCCAGAGAAAGTGAGAGGTATAGTTGGTGGAAACTTTAGGCAGTCTGAATTTGGGGATCATGTTGGTTACACTGAAATGACAGGGACTTTCAAAGCATGTTGGTGTCATTAAATTACTTTTACAAAACTGAACTATTTTACATTGACTTTGTGGGAAAGTATTTTCGTTGAGGAACTCTCTGAACACAAAAGTCCAAATTCAAGCGTCACACTAAAGATTCTGTATTATTCTGCATGTTTAATTTATTACATAGTCCTACGCATACCAAAAACCAATCTAGACAAATGAATAAATAGATATTGACTTTCCTTCCTTTTCTTTTGGTCATAAAAACAAAATAAATATTTGATGTTTGACTAACTAATGAGAAGTGCAAAGCTTTTCACACTGCTGTAGTTCTAGTTAGAAAAAGCCACCTCATTAGCTCAGATATATTACGGTAAGTTTTCTTGTTCACCTAAACAAGTTTCGAGTCAATTTCCTACCTTATAATCAAAACAAGTAACCACGCTACAATAGGCACCTCTTTGGCATTTACCATCACAATGTTGCAACCATGAGAGAATAAATAAGACATTCAAAGTGTTTAGTGTACCTCCATTCAAGTTTCAACTAACCAATCACAATCACCCATATTGAGACAAGAATGAGAAATGAGATAGCCATTGAAATTTGGATCAAACATGCAGGGAAGGTCCATCTTGAATTTTTATATCCCCTACTAATATTCCATGTGTCGTGGTAGGTTAACATGTGACATAATACAAGCCAGTGGGGGGTTTCATGTTGACATTTGAACCACACCTTTCTCTCACGAGTTCTCTTTTTCTCTTTGGTATACTTCTGAATATGAAATTGGCTCTTAGAACACACCTAAAAGTCTTTTGACAAATACTAATGACAGCAACTTCCTTTATTTATCCTTTGGGATGCTTCTGAATTTGAAATTGGCACATCATGGTTTTAAATATAATGAACACTCCAAAAAGTCTTGGACTAAAAGGTTGATACTTTGTGCTCGTTTTAGGCATAGATAGCATCTCAAGACTAGAAAATTGAAATCGGTGACATTATAGTATGCAGAAAAATAGGTGTAACTAGCTGGCTTTGGTGCAAATTCAACTTCGGTCATTCCATCACAAAATCGACTTTTGACTCTATGTGCTAAAAGACAATGGTTTTAGTTCACAATAGTAACTATATCCTTTGCGGTTGGATTGTTTTTCTTGCGAATTCTCAATTGTTTATTCGGTTGATGTTTCTATTCTACAAATTTACAGTATTCTTCAAAGCAACATATGATATACATAGAGAGAGAGAGATATTTCATTGACCCCATTATCACGGTCATAAATATAGGAATTGTTCAAAGTCATTTTATTAACCTTGTCATTTACAGCTGAGAAACTTCATCACATGTCATGCCTGCCCTGGGTATTTTCAAACTAAACAACCAAAAAGGTACAACATTCAATAACATCCAATTCACATAACTAGTGGTGGACATAATTAGGATTGGAAATGTATGCAGTAGACCAGTTTGAAACTCGTTCATAAACTGATTTTAAGCTTAAAATTAGTTGGTTTCAAGACTATTTTTTAACAATATATTAATTTTAAAATCATTTCAAACAATGTACAAGTTATGAACGCAAAAACTGAATCAAGATTGATTTTAAAATTAGACATAGACATCAAAATATTACTCTTGATAGAGGTAGTGCTGCATATAAATAAAATGAAGAACTATAATTCTAGATTGCATAAGTCGACATTAAGTTCTGTACATTTTTTAATCTTAATCATTTAAATATCATATAATGATTTAAGAAGAATTTTTTCTCTATTAAAAAGCAAATTTTATATAAACCAAAATCAGGATTTTTTTTTTATTTTTTTTTTCTTGAGGAAATTGAGTTTATACCCTTAACCATATCAGCTAATAAATCACTTATTTTAACTTCAAATTATATTGAGTCCTGTAAATGTTGAGATGTCAGCCCTGTTCTAAAAAATGGGCCAGCCCAACAAAAGAGGCCCATTCAAAATTAGCGCGAACTTTTGGCGCCATGACAGTAAGAGTAATTTATCAGTGAGCCATGTTCTATAATATGAAACCACAACCCCACTTATTTCAATTTCAATTCGTTACTTCATATTCCCGCTTAAACAATGGCTGACACTAACTGCGTCGTTTCGATCCCTTTCCTCCGAGTGAAGAAGCTCTCCGACAACGCCTTTTTGCCTTCGCGCGCTTCCCCGCTCTCCGCCGGGTATGACCTCTCCAGCGCTACCGCCACCACTGTGCCGGCTCGCGGGAAGGCCCTTATACCCACCGATCTCTCCATCTCTGTCCCCGTTGGAACCTACGCCCGCATCGGTAACCACGTTCCCTTTCCCAAATTTTACCTCGTTTTCCCCAATTTTTTTTGTTTAATTTTTTTACGCTTTTTTTTTTATCTTTTGCAGCGCCACGATCGGGGCTGGCATGGAAGCACTCGATCGACGTGGGAGCGGGTGTGATCGATGCGGATTACAGGGGTCCCGTTGGGGTGATACTGTTCAACCATTCCGATGTTGATTTTGAAGTGAAAACGGGTGATAGGGTTGCGCAGATGATAGTTCAGAAGATCGTGACGCCTGAGGTTGTTGAGGTTCAGGATTTGGATTCTACAGTTAGAGGTGAAGTTGGTTTTGGATCCACTGGGGTTTGATTCCTTAACGTGTTAACATGTTGGGAGAAGCTAGAATATAATGAATGTCTTTGCTCAATTTTGTATAAAAGTTATGTTTTTTTCGGTAAAATGCTTTCTTAGGGTTTAGTTACTAGCAAAATTTGGGAATTTTCTACTTTACAACATCTCGGAGTTTAGGGTTTTTATATCTAAAAATATCTGTACGGGAAATGATATTGATTTTGTATTTGATATCAGCATTTGGTAATATATAAATATACAAATTCTCCTTCTTTTATAAACTAAAGAAAAAAAAATCTATAAATTATTTTTAAGATCGATGATATTAATAGTTTTGTTCTTATGTAAATATTAGAAAGAAATTTATGATGATAATAATTTCTAATTTTTATTTCGGTAATATGTACAAAAAGTTATTTTAATTTGAATTTGTATAATTACAGCTATGGTTTATAAATTTTCATATCCTATTTGACAATTGTAAACTATTTATACTCAACATTTGTAAAATAATTATTTGACAGTTTCTACATGACCACAAGGTTATTTAGTTAATACCAATTAGTGACGATTTTCTATAACTTAATTAGAAATAATAAATAAATCTATAACTCGAATTGATTTTATACAATATCATAAATCGAATAATTAATCATCTAACATAATGAATAAAACATTGAATTTAAACTTTTCTTCGTTCAAATTTGTTGGTTCTGAAATGCATTGCAACCATAGATTTGTGTTTGAATTTTGCCACGTCACTCTAGTCACTAATCGGTATGACATCAGTATTACACGAAAGCCCAACAAGTGGATGATTACGTAACAATGGGCAATCACAAAATTCAGTTTAATTTTAAAAACTAGTTTGACCCATAAAAATATGATTTTATTTATTGTATATTATCCTTTCAATCAATAAAAAAGTATAATTATTAACATATTTAGCATGATAAATTATGATTAAATAACAATTAATTTGAAAATTTCTTGCATACATATTATGAGTGCATTTATGATTAAATTCATTTTTTGGATAGAATTTGGGCAATACGTGCAACAGATATGAATGTGAGAAATAGTGAGTGAATGTGAAACAGTGGATTGAACACAGCTAGTAATAAAGCAGCCACAAGTAGTGGGTGGTGCATATGTTCTTCAATCCAGAACACGATTCTATTCTTGAAGAAGAAGATCAATACCATTCAACTATTTAATAGTTCCTTGGTTGGTTGGTCACTCCCATTCCCAAGCCAAGAAAATGTTTAGTGTAAGGAGAAGAAACGTTGAAAAACGAAATTCTCGAGGTGAAATTGTGAAGAAAGAAGAAGTGTTTATGATGACCAGAAAGTTCCATCATTCAACCGAAGCACCCCCAAAAATAAGCCACAGGAGCCCTACTTTCTCTCCTCCTCCTTCCAACCCTAAAAAGAGTATACTCATGCATCTCTTTCTTTTCATCATACTTTTCAATCATTATTTGTTAGCTTCATATGCTTCCAGTTTTCAATTTTTTTTTTTTCCTGAACTTAGGGTTTCCACTGTCCAATCCTCAGAGACTAAGCGGTACTGTTTAAATTATGAATCTATTCCACAAATATTTTTTTAAATTTTTTTCATTGTTGATTTGATATTTTTTCTTTCTGCACATATAAATTCCAATTAATCACTTTTTTTTTCTCTCAATACAGAGCCACTTCAGGAAAGACAAAACCCTCTAGGTACCAATCTTTCAACCAACCATTCATTTTATAATTAAAAAAAAAAAACATGCATCCATGTTTGAAATATACAAGTTGAAATGCTAGGTACACACAAGTATTACCTTTTTATCACTTATTAATTGATTACTGCAACTATACAAATCATTTTATAAAAATTTGTAATTGATTATGCATTATATCATATAAAATAAAGCTTATAACATACCGTGATTTACTTATTTATTTAATCAAATAATATTCACTCGTTATCTCAAGTATTCTAATTATATTTTTTTTATGCGTTAATGTAAAATAACAAATTTAATCACATTTTAATATGAAAAAAATTATTAAATTATTAAATTATTTGGGGTGTCAACTCCCCAAATTATATATATATATATATATATATATATATATATATATATATATACATATTAAATTTAAAAAAAATTAAAAATTTATTTAACTATTACATTTTTATTTTACATGAAAAAATTACAATATAATTATTATAAATATATTTTTATTCTTTCATATTATTTACATTTTTTTTCTTACAGTTTTACTCAGTTTCAACTTTTTTTTATTAAATATTTGTCTTCTTACTTTTATAATTTTACTTTTTTATTATTATTTTAGTATTTCATTTTTTTTTTGGGATTTTATTTTACAATATAAAATTCTTTAATTTTTTATTATAATATAAAAATTGTAATTTTTGGTTTCACGACGAAGATATAGATATAGACAATTAGAAATCAAAACATAAAAATTAAAAAATAAAGGATATATTTCACTATACTAAAATAAACATCTTTATTTTTTATTATTTTATTTATTACTATAGTAGGTGTATTATTTACTATTAATTAATTAATTGTTTTAATATTTTATTATATTATATTTTAATATTAAAATATATTAAAAAATCAGTTGAACTTTAAAAATGTTTAATACAAAAATTATAGATTCATTATTTAAGAGAAAAAAATAATAAAATAAATTTTAACTTATAAAATTTAAATTCAATAATATTAAAAATATTGTTGAATAATATATCTAATGATAAATATATAGATAATTTATTAATAATTTTATATAATATAATTATATTTGTGTTACAATTAATTTTAATGAATATATATCAATTAGTCTTGTCCTTATTTAAAATATATATGAATCTACTAATGCATGTTAATTTATTTAAAATAAATATAATCAAATATAATGGAGGAACTACATAATTAAATTGTAAATATTATTTGACGGTGAAAATTGAATTTAACTGCTTTATTTCATGTGATTTTGTTCGTATTAATTTTTTTTTCTTGTACTTAGGGTTTGATTTGTCCAATCCTCCGAGACAAAACTTTGGCGGTACCGTTTAAAATGTCAATCTATTTCACAAATATTTTTTCGTCTTCATTTTCATTTGATATGTTTTTCTACACTTCTTTCCTCTCAATACAGAGAGATGTGGGAGAAGACAAAGTCATCCAGGTACGCATCTTTCAATTATTCAAATAAAATTTCAAATTTAAAAATAATAAAATCAATGATACAAGAAATTTATATTTTATATATTTTTTAAATAAGTAATTGATATATGTTCAAGATAATGTGATTTGCTTATTTAATTATATTCTTAGTGCATTAAAGTAAAATAAAAATTTAATGACACTTTACTATGAAAAAGAAAAATGAATGTGGGGTTTGTGAGGTAGCATTTGCCTATAACTGTAAAATTATTTATTTTAAATTAATATACTTAAATTTGATTGATTATAATAGGTACTATATAATTAATTTCTAAATATTAATTGATGGCGAAATTTGAATTTAACTAATTTATTATGTGATTTCGTTTGTATGATCTAATTTTATAATTCTAATATAATTTATTGTCTCTAATTTGTATCACAATATCCTGTATTGATAATAGCAGACTAATTTCCATTTATACACATCCACTTCATATTTAATAATCTGTGTAAATAATTAAACGTAAAAAATTATAGCCATGTTCCTATAAATAAGTTTTCAATCCTTTAAATGCAATCATTTTTTTCCTATATAATTTAATTTTAATCCATATTAAATATTTTTCAAAAAAAATTCAAAAACTAAAAAATACCATATAATTAGTGTTCCATACAATATTCAATTTCAAAAATTAAAAAGTATAGTTTACAATATTCAATCTTATACACACTTATTATAAGTTATTTGAAGATCATTTTAAAGAATCAACCTAATAGTACAAATGAAATACAAACAAATATTTTTCTCATAGGAAGAAAATACAAAATTCGCAAACATTTTAAGAATAAAAAAAAATACAAAACTCATAATTTTATATTTTAGCATGTTATAAATACGTATGCAAGTTTTTTTACAGACCATATAAAGATACATAAAAATGTGTTTTTATATAAAGTAACATATTGTGAATACTTTTACGAATCCCTTTCTATTCTCATTAGTGCTTTCATACAATTTTATAACTTAATTATTAATCATATTTTTTTTGTTATTTTTTATTTTTTATTGTAGTGTTTGGCATGAACGACTTCGATAGGGAAAAGCTTCAAGGTACTAATCTCACACTAAAATATACCGTTTACTTAATGATACAATAAAATATTCAATTTTGAAAATATGCAAAAATATTTGAATTATACAAGCTTCAATAATATAAACACCTTAATTATATCTAATAAGGTAAAATATGTTTTTAATCATCCCAAAATTTCCAAAGTTTAATTTTAAATCTTTATCCATTTTTTGTTTCTTTAATTTTGAAATGCATTTTTTTTAATATACACTTATATATGCATTAATTATTATTCATATATTTTTTTTATTATTTGCAGGGCATCAACTGAGCAAGTATAATAAAGAAGAAATAGGTATTAACCTTACAATAAAATATGACATTTTATTTGTTGTGAATGAGATTAACGTGTGTATGCTGATGTTAATAACAAGACAAAAAATATCATTTAATTAATACTAAAATAAAATATTCCAAGGTTTTAAACAACATAAACATCTACATTACCAACTATGATATATTTTTAAATTATTAAATACGTATATATAAGAATTCAAACATGACATTAAATAAAAATAAAAAGCTGAATAATTTATAGATAAAAAGATATTTTGTAATTAATATTATATTTTCTAAATTCATGTTACATGTTTTATTATTAAGAATATTTCTATTATTAATATCTCTGAAATACTCATAAATATTTAAAACACATGCACCCACAATAAAAAAACACATTCATTTAAGAAATGAGTTTATATACATACACACACACACACACATATATATATATATATATATATATATATATATATATATATATATATATGTAAACTCATTTCATGGATACATTAATTTTATAATGATATATAAATATATTAAACATAAAATAAAATAAAATTTCATTAATTTTTAATATTATCCAAAAACTTCTTTTTTATAATATAGTATATTTCATTAATCCTAAACCCTAAATTTTTTATCCGAATCCCTTTCTCTTTATTTTTATTTGTGTTTTAATATATTTTTCTTTATATAAGTTATTAATTGCAAATTATATGCCATTTTTCTTTGCTGATTGTAGAATATCTCTTGTCTGGGCTTTTGAGAAGACAACAAGGTACGATATATGACCTATGGACTCAAAATTATTGTTGCATATATGTGATTGAAAATAAATAAATAAATTTTTATATGTAATAAAATAATGGAATATTTCTCTATTAGAACTAAGTTAGGGTCCGAAAATTTCGTAACAAAAAGTATAGAAAATATTAACAAAACATGATATATAACTTAATTTAAAATAATATAATATTACTCTATTCCTAAGAGTGATAATCTTTAGGGGAACTGATCGTTAGTAAAATTAATAAGTTTTAATTTTGATCTCTCTATATATATATATTTTATTTATTTTCATCTTTATATAATTTGATATCACTAATTTTAGTCTTTACATAAAAATATGAAAATTTTAGGTTTAGTCTATGTAAAGTTTTCTTTAATCCTTAAAAAAAATTAAATAATATTACAATCCTAATTTTTTTAATTAGAACATAAAAAATTAATTAGTGTTATATATAATACTGGAAATGAATGATTTTGAATTTTAAAGGGACTAAGTTTTACAGAAGGCATAATAAAAAATTATTTATTTTACAATAATTAAAAGTATATTTCAATATTTGAGATTGACTATTTTTTAGTATGTTATTGACTGAGGAGAAATGTGATTTTACTCAATTTTTCCTATTTTTAAAAAAACATAAATGTCTTGCCTTAAATAATGATCAATTTCACTAATTGAAGACTGATTTCCTTAAATTATTATCTCTTTGAATTGGACTTTAGTTTTATTGTATTTTTAATTAGATATAATTGAGTGAATTAAGGGTATTCGAATAAGATTAATTCATTTATACCTTAAAAATATAAAATATAAGTTTATTGTGTCATATAATAAATATATAAACAACTCATAATTAACAGAAATTATTCTCAAAAGACTTTAGATAACACAATTTTTTTCCTCATTTATTTATTTTTATAGAAGGGATTTGATAAAATAATTAACAAAATCTTTTTTAAGAATCATATCACCTAATTATTTTAATAAAAAACTCTTATTGAATATTTAAAATAACATATTCTTGATAATATTTTCACGAATTCCTTTCTCTCCCTTTTCATTTGTGTTTTGATATAATTTTATAATTTAATTATAACTCACATCTTCATATTTTTATTTTATTTTTTCTGATTGTAGACCACGTCAAAGACTCCTATATGCAAAGCTACAGAGGTACCAATCTTACAACAAAATACACCATTTGCAATTTCATTTTTTTTTAAATATGCATACATATTTGAATTATATATATATATATATATATATATATATATATAAACACATATTTTATTATATCTAATAAAAATAAAATATACTTTCCTTTCCATATTTCATATTATTATATATAATTACATATAAATTAGTTATTAATATATTTTTGTACTGATTGCAGGACGTCAACAAACCCAACAATACTCAGGTAATCTTTATTTTATTGTGAAACTCTATCACTTAATTAATGTAACAGTAAAATATTCGTTACCAAATATCATATATCATATAAAATTAAATTTACAATAATATAGATACAACATATATGTGTAGAAAAGTTAATATTAGACACACACAATAAAAATGTTAAATTAAAAAAAAATGAATATTTTTACTAAATATAAAAATTATTTGATGTATACATCTTATAATGATAGATAAGACTATGTTATACATAAAAAAAAAATTGTGCTTGAATATTTTCTTTCTTTATAAAACGTTATTATAAATCACGTGTCATTTTTATTTCTTCTGATTGTAGGGTATCAGTTGGAGCCTGCGAAAAATCAAGGTACCTTACAATGAAATTTCCCATTTAAAGAATGCTACAATAAAATATTCTATTTCAAAATTGTGGAAATATATATGCTCAAGCAATGTACACACACGTTTCTAATTCAATATGTAAATGCATAACTTGCATGCTAAGAAAAATAAAAGTTTTCAAGAACATGCTCTCATAATAAAAACGTATTTAGTCAAAAACTTTTATCGCGTTTTTCCTTAAAATGTTTTCATGGGATATAACAATCTAGTTTTCTTGCATTGGAATACGAATTTTTTGAATAAAATATCATAATATTCTTATTATACCCATTTAATGAAATAAAAAAAATAATATTTTTAATAAAATTAACATCGCATTACTCTTTTAACTTCTATATATACAAAGTTTCGGAAACAAAATTTAAATAATCATTTTTGAGAATCGGTATTTCTGAAAAATAAATCTCATACGAAACATTCTATAAGATTTAAAGAGTTTAATTAATATAATTAGTGATGTTATGTTTATCTTAAAGTTGTATATTTTTCCAAACATAACTCCTAATATTAAAAAAAAACAATACATATTTTTATTATTTTTTAACTCCCAATTTTGATTATTAATATATTTATTGTTTTCGATTTCTATTGACTATAAATAGACGTGAATAAATTAAATTATGGAAATGAATTTTATTATAAAGATAAACTTAAAAACATTAAGGAAAATAATCTGACAAACAAATATATAAATTTTATTCGAACAATTGAAATAAAAAAAATTAGTACGAAGAAAAATTGTCACATGGTTTGTTTTAATTATCCTTAATTAAAGGAGATATTACATGAATCTATCTCAATTCTCTGTTCATATATCATTTTGCTTGATATCAATTGGTAGATTGTGAAATATAACTAACACTCAAATTTTGTATTAAATCCTATAAAATTGTGAAAGTCACCTCGTAAACATAAAATTCTTTCATGCATACATCATACATATATAAGGATATATATTATGTTATACAAAAATAGTTCAATAGTTTATGATTGGTGAATTATGATATTTTGTACAGGTGGCTATAATGCTAGGGGTTTTGATGAGGAGGGTACTGATGTTGAGGATTCAAATGCCGAGGATTCATATGCTGAGGAGGATTCAAATAATGAAGATTCAGATGCTGAGGATTCAAATAATGAGGATTCAGATGCTGAGGATTCAAAGAATGAAGATTCAGATGATGAAGATTCACATGTTGAAGATTCAGATGCTGAGGATTCAGATGACGAGCCACCAAGGTATGTTCATGTGATAGCATAAACAAGGGAAAATTCATAACAATTGTCGAAGAAAAGAGGAAATTTCATCAATAACAAGATATTCAAGGACCTCTTGAAAGAATGATGCTGTGTCTTGAGTTCAGTTTCTTCTTTGCGATTTTCATCAGGTGTGTTTTAGGGTTCATCATTTCTGCTAATTATAAGCTCAACTTTGTGTATGAATGTAGGTCATTCCTCGCGGATCCTAATCGAAGAATGCGTAATTTGTCCACGTGGGGGTAGAAATTATGTTAACTATATTCTAATGTCACTCTTGTTCTTACAAATAATTGATTCTACATTCTTATGTTGTTATGTTGTTACAAACAGGCAAGACAGAAGAAACTTGGCATATAATGTTCGTAGTTTTATGGGCTAACCAAGAAGGAGAATTTACCTTGATGTTTATGCAGCCATAAACTACAATCACTGGCAGTAGCGGAATTATAATAAAATGCAAACTCAAACTCAAGAACTTTGCAAAGTAATTCATGGTTTTAGTTGTTGTTATATGTCTGAATAATGTTGTTGTGTAATGGTATGGATCTATGTTTGTTAGCCTATGTGTACAATTATGAGAAGGCTTCTATGTTCAGAACTATTTATCCTCTCGTTTTTTGCCACGTAAATTAAGTGTTCTAGAATTTATTTCTCAGAGGTTGATGCAAAATCTTAATGTCTACGCTAATGAGGAGAATTATGATTCTCATTCAATTGAGAAATTAAAATTTATAAAACGCCATTTCAAGGGACCACAGAATTTATCATTTTTATCAATTCATATGCATTTTTATCAATTTGCAGTCAGCAAGATGATAATGTAGAATGCAATTAACAGTATCAAAGCCACAAATCGTAAACCCTTAACTTTTTGTTTGTAAAGGAGATTTTATAATTTTTTAAAAAACACATTAATATAAATTTCTTTCAATATGGAATTGTTTAATTGTTTAAAATGTTTTGTTGGAATAAAATAATTTAAATTTATTAAATTTTGATTTTCTTGTAGTATAGAAGTTTAATTATCTTTGAATGTAAAAATATTAAATATAAAACTATCATCACATAACACTAGTGGTGAAAAAAAAAAACCTAATCATGATATATTTTAACTAAAATTTAGTTGATATTAAAAAAAATAGTTTGGCGAACATTAGTTGAAAATTTTGACAAATGTCAGAAATAATCCTGACTCTCTATGAACATCAACTAAAATTTCTCATTTCCATCATTTATCATAAATAAAAAATAATCTCAATTAATGTTAACAAAATAATTAAGTTTGGCATCAACCAAAAATACACCATAGAAATATCAATTAAGAAATGACATTCACATGTATTTGAAAAAAATAACATTAGCGTTGAAGGCAAAAGAAATAATTATTGTTAATGTTAATTTAAAAGGTCTTCCTCAGAAGTATCACAAGTCATATTGAGGTCTATTTTTATCCTAAATCTATCAAAATTGTCTAATATTTGTGGGACATAAAAATAAAAATGTAAATCTCTATCTTACCATTTGGGGTTATCATCATCCTTCATAAAGGAGTATCTTTGAAAATATATTTTCTCATTACACTTAGAAATTAGAATTTTTATATTCAGTGTCATTAAATCAATTTGGTTTGAAAATCATTTTACATTATTTAGAATAGAATTTTCAAGTAAACGTTGTTCTCATATACTTTCAAATCTCACATTGTTTGAGTTCAAGATATCAAGAATAATTTATTTATATATGTATATACATATTTTTTTCTTTCAACATATCAAATTCAGATTATCGTGACGGATAAAATTTCTAAAACTAATAATATAGAATGTAACGATGTTATATCTGATAATAGAATGTAAGCGTGTTATCATTATTATATGAGATGAGATCAGAGATTCAATTCTCTTTTATGTGTAATCCTCGACTGAGTGGTCTTGTTCCTAGACAAAAACACGGGTGTGGTTTGATTAATTTGTTCTTCTGTACAACTCATGTTCCCATGACATTCACATGTCAGTTTCCATGGTTGAAACCAAGTGATACTCCCAATTATATCCACAGTGAAAACAAGCTTCCTTGTGAAGAAAGTTGACAATGTCATGGCATGAAAAATGCAAAGTTATCACACTTGCAGGGATAACATTAACTAGAGACTCGTAGTGGGTGCTGCATATATTCTTCATGTCCATCACTCAATATTCTTCACAATAAATATATATTTTAAACCTGAATCAGCCAAACAAAACCCACGGTGGCCTAATATAAATGCTGCAGAACATGGCAAGGTTTGCATATTAGCTTAGTTCCGAAGCAGAAGATCAGTGGAATGGCCGGATTCTCTGAGTCCTCTAACCGCAACAACATGCTCAGCTCTTTGTGGCAACAAAGCAATGAACAAAGCAATTTTATGAGTAGAAATGATGGCTATGGACAAACTCTGGTGCTGTATCGCTCGAAAGTGTTCATAAACCTAGACGGTAATACTATTACAGATGACTCATTCAACAACAAGGGAAACGGAAACCAAGATTTTTCTTATGCAGACATCAACAGAATTGTTTCAGCCATCAGGAACAAAAATTCCTCTCCTGTTCCTGCTCCAGCTCCTGCCATTAACACTGTCTACACCAATCCCAACCAACACCATGGTTCCTCAAGTGCAGGTATGAGTTATGCAGTTATGCAGTGTGTACTTTGTAAAAGAACTTATCCTTACCAGCGAGAGATAAACGGTGTTCATTGTCCACCTTGCAACACAACTAGCTATCGTCACTGACATGGTAAACTTATTATTAGCTTTTCATATTTAATATAAAACAAATTTAGTATTACTATACCATTCAAAAAGCAATGTTTTTTATCAACTGAAATCATTTTATGCGTGAGTTAATTCACTAAAACTCTCGTGTTCAGTTTTTCTACAACCTATTTTTGTTTATGCGTAAGCTAATTTGATTTTTAAAATAAATTTATTTTATTTTTCTCGTTAGTTTCTTCATTTTACAAGCTTTATGCAAAAAAAGTTTGTTTTTTTAAATAAGCCAAAAACCTAGTTAATATATACATAGTTTATTTTTAGTTGAGCTTGTTGGTTGATGGTTGAATGACCTTTCCTTTAACTTTAGAATTATATATGGAGAGGTAAGTGGTGCCAAATGAATCCTATCCACTTTGATTCATATACCTTTTAACTTTATCTCAACCATACTATATTCAACATGATCTCTGTAAAAGTATATATTCATAAATTTTGTATGCTTCACCAATCTAGCCCAGAGGGCTTATGGGCTTTTTAGTGTTGGAGCCTGGTGAATTAGGACAGACCTTGTGAACTTACTTACTTTTTATATTTATTAAAATTTTAGGGCTAAGATATTTAATAAATAGGACAAGATTAATGATAACTAAAAGATAAGTTTAAGTCAAAAGAAAAAAAGTCACTATAGGATCCAAGAAAGAAACTAGAGTCACAGCTTAGAAAAGAAAAGAAAAGAAAAGAAAAGAAAAGAAGAAAGAGTTGATGGGAGTAAGAAAGGATAAAAGAAAAAAAGAAAAGAAAAAGAATGATCTGTGCAATCCCTTATATGCTCCCCTGTCTATCCCTCTTAATTAACCCGTTTTCCCTTCCGCGTAAATAATAACTTTCTTCGATCTTTTAACGAGAAATTTCTTCGTTTTTTTAACAAGAAATTTACTTTAGACGATACTAATATCAACTTTAATAAAAAAAATCTTAAAGTATTAAGATATTGAATTATGAGTTTATCTTCATTATATATTGTTTAACTGATTTATTTTTATTCAATATGACACATAAACTCATTTAAATTATTAAACCAACAAACTAAATGCATTGATATACTTATTTCATAACAAAAAATAACTACATCATTAGATTTAAAAGATGACAAATATGTATGATATATAATATTAAGAGGTCTTTTCTTGATAAAAAAATACGGTAATCACTATGATTCAAAGAGATATCCTTTAAACAAGACAAAGAACCCTTCGATTCTTACAAAGATGGTGGAAAAGATTGTATAATTGTTTTATGGCAAAAAATTTATGAAAAGATTAAGAGGAGCTCTCTTTGATATTATTACGAGTTTTAGACATAATGAAAATTTACAAGTGATAATAAGATACAGTTGTGATAATCTTGTTTGCTTGATATGTCATGTTTGAAGGTTATGTTATGATGTTGTTAATATTACGAAGAATAAGTTGTCTTGTATGTTGTGTTTAATGTATTATATTGAATCTTTTTAGATGCTCTTTCAAACTTTTACCTCATTATTTATATATTTTTTATTTGTAGTTGAAAGCAAGACATGGGAGACCACTTACAAGAACTCACATGGAATATTCAACCAAATGAGCAAGACTAGTTTTATTTTAAAGTGTATTAAAACTAAACAAACATTTTATGATATTATTAAAAAGCTCCTGGGTGAGACCAAAATTTCTAAAGTACCTTGGTATACAAGACTGAAGTATTACGTATTAAGGTTTTTAATTTTGTATTATGTATTATATATGCAAAAAAGGTCATATAAGTATTACATTTATAATTAATTTCTTGAAAAATAATAATTCAAAAGAGTAACCCATATTTAACATGAAAATGTAATTCCTCAATTACCCCAGTTACAAAGGCAAAAACTAAAAGTAGAAACTGATCGAGCATAATTATTAAATGTTAATCATAATTTTAAAGACTGAACTGACTATTTAATCAAATAAAAACTAAGAAAGAGTCATTTGTGACATATTGTAGTTTGATGATGATTTTGAGTTATCTGAAATAACATTTTGTTTTAAGGGTAGTTTTCTTTTTCAGATGTCTTTTTGGATTTAATTAAAGGGATCTTGGTCTTCGTTTAGATCGAAGCGAGAAAAGGATTCTCCCTTTCTTTCATATTGAAGTCCAAACCCTTAACTATTCAACCAGTGTGGGGTTCATTACTTCATCTCATCTCTATCAATGAAAGCCTACAGGATCAATAGTCCATAGATGCAGACAGCTCATAGAACAGGTCGGAGATCAAAGAAAGATTGTAGTTATTATATCGTTCTTAATTACAACAAAATAGTGCTTATCATCATCTGTTGCTTTATCGTTACAAACAGGTACATAAGTATCATATATCAAGGCACAAGGTTTTATTTACTAACCAATAAATGAGAAGTTTACATTATACAATAGTTTTACTTCGTTCATCCACAAAAGAACCCGCGAGATACAAGCCAAGCCATGAGACCAGGAGAGAAAAAAACACAAACCTAAGCATCCAGCACAACTGCATCAAGATTTCGTTTTCCTTCGGGGCCTTTGGTATACCATGATAAGACATAGTCTCCATACACAACATCACGGTATTTAGCCGGTGACGACTCAGCTATCAGTTCAGAGACAGGGGAGATCTTGACTGCCTTAGCAGGGTCATGAAATGTTGCCACAGAGAGCCGTGCTCTATCAGGATTAGTAGTTGCCCTATGCTCACAGCTCCTGTACTTTCCATTGGTTATAATCTGGAGCCAAAAGAATTTGTCAGTGGAAAGCTTGAAAAAAGACAAATTGTTGTTGAAATAAACTCAACTTTTTCTTCATCCAAATTTAACTTAATGAATGATATATCAGGAAAACATAAGAAATCACAAATCATCAGTATCCACTATTAAGCTGTCACATTGTAGAATACTGAATTTACAAGTCAATGACTCTAGCAAATGCCTATAATCCAGAAAGAAACACTGTTCTCCACAGCAGAGGGGTAGTAGTAATGTTGCCAATTTAGCTAAAAATTGGAACTCAATAAACAAAAAGGAACCTGTCATTTTACCAGTTCTAAATAATCATTATATAGAGAAAAAAAAATCTCACTTTTCCACACATTTATGTTCCTTACCTCCCATTTCCCAATTGAAGCGAAACGGCTTGCAATATTATAAATACTATTTGGTATATCATAATTTGTCCATTGATTTTATTGTCCTAATCAAAGTTCAATACATCATCAAAACAAATAACCTACTTGAATGTCAGCAATTGTTATCAATTTAGTTAAAACTGGTCACAAATAGATTATACTAGTGATTATTCCTTTGCAATGCATATATACTACACTTGTGCCATACATTTGCTCCCATAAACGCCTTTGGCCATGCTAAGTAATTTGTTTTTTTATAGAAATGCCTTCCCCTAAACGCATCAATCAGCTGCTTTTCTTAATTCTCAAACCACTTTTAAATAAATGGTAAAGAAACCAAAATTCTCTAACCCACTTATCTCATATTAGAAGCATACTATCAACAAATTATTTTAACACTTTTTCTATCCCCTTTTCTCCGATCAGTTGAAATTCACCTAGTTGTCACTAGTCTGGGAGAAAAACCAAATGGGAAATGTGATCAGTGAAACTCAACCAAATTTCACTCAATAAGAATAAGTCTGGCTGAAATTTTTTTGCTAGCACTTTTTTCTCTTCAAATACTTTTGGCGTGTGTTTGGTTTGCCGTTTGCAAAGCACTAAGTGCCTTCCACATTCGGAAGCTGAAAAAAACGTGAGATACATTCAACTCAATGTTTTCCCAAACACACCCTTAGTCCAAATTTTCAATTAGAAATTGTATTGTCTCATTAAACAAGGTAACAAAGGTTTGAACTGAATATCAATATAAATTAGCGAGGTAAAACTTCAATTCTGATTGAAAACCAGCACTAAAAACACCTAAGAACAATATATATGTTTTGGTCAATACAAATCAAATGTTCAAGTTCAACAGAATTTCTATATTCCCTGTTGTATTGGAAATTTGTAACAAACCAAAGGGTTGTGTTTATTTACCTCAGTTTGGTCACCCAAGAGAACAAGAACAGCATCTGACAAGGGCTCAACAGTGACCCAATTGTCACCACTACCATCACTCTTGAGAGCTTGAAGGCCCTCCACATCATCCTGAATCAAAAGCGTGATCGCCCCTATATCAGAATGCGATTGCAAACCAAGCGTGAGGTCCGGTTCGGGACACGGAGGGTAGTAGCTAATCGTGATGTTCTGATAAAATTCCCCAACAGCATCTTCAATTCGCGAAGCACGCAACCCTAGACTCTCCGATATCAAAGCCAGCAACTTTTGCGCCAGAACCTTCATCTCGTCGCTGTAACTAGCCACCGTGTCCCGGTAATCGGGGGGATACTCCGGCCACCGGTCAGGTTTCCGCCGAGAGAGGGGGAGCGTGTGGTGGTCGAAGTAATCCCTCCAGTCGAGGACTTGGGCGACGGCGTCATTCTGCTGCTGATCGGAGTCGGCGAGCATCTTGCTGCCGTATCCCTCCGACGCGGCGGCGGAGCAGGCGTACCGGAGCTTCTCCGGCATGGGACAGTCAGTGAAGAAGGCGCGGCCTACCCGGCGCATGGCGGCGAGAAGGGACAGCGGGACGCCGTGGTTGGTAACGTGGAAGGCGCCCCAGTCACGGCAGGCGCGTGCGATGGATTCGCGGGTGGAGGCTCGGCGGGTCGGGTCGAAGAACGTGAGGTCGATCAGAGGAATGTTTTCGGAATCGATTCGGGTGTAGTAAACGGGTCGGGTATGATGGGGTTGAATGTATTGGGGTGGGACCCGGGAGAGACCCGATTGGGCGAGGGATTGGACCCTCGTAATGGCTTCTTCACTGACTTGCATTGGCCAAGATCCTGATTCCAATGTTGGAAAGTGAAAATACGATATATATATATATATATATATATATATATATATATATATATATATCTTTATATCTAAATATAAATTTCATTTTGTAAGTTGATTATTAGAATGTGAATTCCTCACATTATAAAACTATTTTATTTTGTTAAAAAATCAATCAAAATGAAAGCTTATGAATAAATGTCCCCTTTCGTAATTGGACTGAAAATAATAGAAAAAAAAAACAAAAAGTCAGCAAATATTTTATAGACGACATCGTTCTAAATAGTATTTGCAATGTTCAAGGTTTTACTTATCCCTACCACACAGCACACCCCAAAACCTCAAACCTTCACTTGCCACTCCACACGCCATTGCAAGCTGCGTCCTCTCTCGCCCCTTCTCTTTCCACACCCCAAACTACAAACTCCACTTACCGATATCTCTCGAAGTTCCAAAATTTCCCATAATTTGCGACCCCCTTTGCATACAAATCCACTGCCACTCTTATCACTACTGATTTCAACAGTTTCAGTCCATTTGTTGCTCTTGATTTCTGGGTTGTTTTTGATTTTGGGTTCCATAGCTTGGAAACGGGAAGAAGATGGATAATCTTAACTTGGCTCTTGTGTCTTCCCCTAAACCTTTGATGTTGGGACATGTTCCAGCAAGAGACGCCACAGTCAGAGACGTTTTCAGAAGAAAGCCCTTCTCTTTTGGGAGGGTCTTGATTGCTCCTCACCGTTGCAGATATCGTGTTTCTGCACTCTCTTCTTCTCACCATAACCCGAAATCTGGTATTCAGTTCTTAAACTTTGTTTTTTGTTTTATTATTCTCTGTCCATGTGCGTGTTTTTAATGAGGGATTAGAATTTTTGGTTGGAATTTGTGTTTGGTAGGAAAAAGATTCACTGAATCACTGGATTCTGATGTAGTCTAATCGAATGAAATGAGTTCAGTTGAAGTTGAAGTGATAGGTCTGATGACGCCACTGCTGTGTTTGTTTTGCTACTAAAAGGAAAAACTGAATTAAACTCTTTATTATTGGGCTAGAGTCATGAATAAGCTATGTTGACATTGTCAAGAGTTTAAGGGAGTGTTTTGGACAGCCAGGTAGTAGGAGAAGGCACTTTTACTTTACCACCTTTGTGTTGGAAGCTACTCTATTAAAAAAGTTTAAATCTTTTTTTTTTTTTTGTAGTTTAATTATGTTTTTAGTTCATGAAATTTAGAATAATCCGATTTTAGTTCTTCAAATTTAAAAAAAAAATGTGGTTTTATTCCTGAACATAAACCTTTTTATTCCCTAAAAACTAAATTGTTGTATTCCCTAAACACCAAATTTAAGGGACTAAATACAATTTGTAAAATACCATATTAGTTTTAAATTTAATATTTAGGGACTAAAACCATGTTTATCTAAATTTGAGAGTTTAAAATGAACTTTTTTGATGATTTTTACTTCTAACTGTGTTAAAATGAAGTGTTTTTTATGATAAAGTACTTTTTTTTTCTTAAAAAAATTCTATATATTAGTTCTACACCTTTTTTTTTTTTTTTTTTTACGAGTATTAGTTCTACTCTTAGAAGTACTAGGTCTACACTTGGAGTATAGTGTTTGTAGTCAGAAACGGATTGTGAATTTTTGGAGCAAGGTTTGCCCAAGTTTACTTGATAGCATTTTGAATTTGAATCCATGGTTAAAAAATTTATTGCATGTCTGTGTATTTTAATATTTAAGCAATGTATATTTTTCACTCATCTCTTCAGACGCACATGTAATGCATGCTGGGGATACAGTGCAGGAGAAGCTGATAGTTAAGCGTTTTGCTAGTATTTCTTCTTCAAATACTCAAGAAACAACATCAATTGGAGTTAACCCACAGTTATCACCACCTTCATCCTCAACTATGTAATCATTTACTCTCTTTTTTTTTTGCATATTAATTCTCTTTAAAATTGTTGTCTCATGTTTATTATGGGCAGGTACTGGGGTGGTGGTGCTTGATAGATATTTTATTGATTTAATTTGCTGTTATCTTTTGCTTATAAAGTTACACTCTTATATATTTATTTACTATTTACTATATTTCTAGAGGGTCGCCTCTCTTTTGGATTGGTGTTGGTGTTGGGCTTTCTGCACTATTTTCTATGGTGAGAACTGAGAACTATAGTTACAGCTCTATATTACATATACTGATGATGAATTTATCTTTGCTGTATGTTTAATAAATTTTGTGTTTTTGCAGGTAGCTTCAAGATTAAAGGTGAGTGCCACTTTTCTCTTTAAGCATTGATATTAGCTGGTTCATTCTTTGGGTTCGACTATAACTATGGGGGTAAGATGTAAGAAATTTTGCAAAGTCATGGATATAAGCTGGTGCATTCTTTGAGTTTTGGCATAAGGTATAAGGACTATAACTAGTGAGCGTCAGAAGAGCAGATCTTCACCATTAAATCTTAAATGAATAATCAAGATTAGAAAGTAAATATCATGCATCTACTATTTTTAATTGACATGTCACATGTGACCTCCAAATAACTTTTAATCTTTTCAATCATTTATATTCTAACGGTCAAAATTAGCTCCTCTTACCTCTCAAATAAACCATTTTTTACCATCTAAACTGGGATAAAATCCAATTATTTATAGTCTTTACTAATAAGATAAGAGTAAGAAACGTGTTAAATGCCGAGAGTATCTAAGTACTGAAACCACTTCAGCACCTGTTTTAAGGTGTCTGTGCATTCTTTTCTAGAATAATTTTTAATCTTTATTATGATGGAATTTTTACGAAATTACTTGGAAGTTGAAGGCATGTATCTACAAACGCTTTGTTGTCTACACTTCCACAGATAGAAATACAGAACTTATGCAGATTGGCTGTATCTGTTTTTAGGAATTTAAGTAACAGCCTAATTCACCACACTTATATGTTAATTTTGTTTGGATATTATAGTTTGATTGGATAATACACCAATCAACAAATACAAAGTATACCTACAATGTTTGTAAAAGAAACTATAGGTTATTTTGTAGTTGAACATGTTAGCCTTCCTTCTGATTACAGTGTGGGATATTTACAGATGTTTAAATAATGTTTCCGCTTTTTGCTAAAAAGTATGTTTGTTGCATTGATTTACGTTGCTTATTGTTCACTCTTCTGTTGGGAAGCATAGTAAGTAGTATATGGAAATCCGACAGTTTTATTGAACTAGAGAATCTCAGTATTGTTTGTGATGGCATCTTCTATCATTTGTATTTCTTTGTGAAAAGACTGGGAGCATGGATCAAGAGGTTGATATTAAGCCCAAATGAAAGTATTAAAAGTTTACTTGTGTAAGCCTAAGCTTCAATTCTTTCCTTTTGGGCTTAGTATCAGCCTCTTGATCAATACTCCCCGTCCTATCACTTTGTCAATTGTAGTAGATGCTCTGTCTAACCTTATTTTCATGGATTTTATGTAGAATATAAGAACTAACCCTGAACACATATTACATAATTTAAACATGTCTTTTGATTTTCTTTTAGAAATATGCTATGCAACAAGCTTTCAAGACCATGATGGGCCAGATGAATCCACAAAATAACCAATTTGGCAATGCTGCCTTTTCTCCGGGGTCTCCTTTTCCCTTTTCAATGCCTTCGGCAGCAGGGCCCACTGCACCTGCTGGTTCTGCAACTACTCAATCTCGAGCACCTTCAACATCTATTGCATCTCAATCCACTATCACAGTAGATATACCTCCGTCAAAAGTAGAAGCTACCCCAACTACTAATATTAAAGATGAAGTGGAAGTACAGAATGAACCCAAAAAAATTGGTAACTTAACCTTATAATTTCTGCTTAGCAATCCTATTTGTTTCTTGTTGGATAAGACATACTACTTGTTGAATTTTATACATGGTGAGGTGATGTGTCCATTAGGAGATCTATGTGGTTTCAGGTAAATTAAATAATAGTCTTGAAAGCTCTTAGTTTTTGCTTTTTGGCCAAGTTATTTGTTTTAGTGCAGCAATTTCTTTTTAGCTTTTTAACTGGGATCACAGTTCTAATTGACATAACAACACTGACATTCCAGGCAATATTAAAGGATGATTTGGTATTGCTATGCTGAACATGGTATCAAATAATTTTTTTCATGGAATCTTCCATATAGTATTGCCAACTGGTTCAGCCTACCATGAATGCTTCATTAGTCTTGCCAATAATGATCTTTAAGCATTCTTATTTTTATGTCTCACTATGTTGTTTGAGCTCCGGATGCATGCAAGTGTATCGGTTCACAGTTATTTGTGTTATTGAATTCTAGCGGAGTTAATGTGTATTAAACATTTAAATATGACACACTAGAGTGAGGGTTAATGAGGTCTCACCAATTATATATTCAGAAACTAAAATAAGGTAGAAAATGGGATAATGTTGAGAAATAGAAAGTGGGTAGAAGTAGAAAACAGAAAGCAAAAGCTTAACTTTTGAAATTGTTTCATATTAAAAATATTTTGAAATAATTATTAATATTTATTACTTCATCTCCTTGTGTAATTAATTAATAAAATTCAATCAATAACCTTTTTTCTTTTTTAAAGATTTGCATCAAGTTGTTGCTATAAAGGTTTCCCACAAAACTTGAAGGTGGAAAACCTGCATGGAGTTATCCATATAAGTTGAAGAGATCATATCTGATGTCACCAGCTGTTATCTGTAAAATTTGAAACTTCAATTGTTAAAATTCCTAAGATTTTCCACTACAGCTTTTGTAGATGTTTCTCCTGAAGAAACTGTACAGAAGAGTCCTTTTGAAAGTGTTAAAGATGATGAATCAAGTTCAGTCAAGGAGGAAACCCGAGTTCCTGATGAAGTGAGTTTTGAAGATCATGTTTTTGCTAAATTAGTTCAGTGACCTGTGTTGTTCTTAACATGTGATGTGTATTTATTGCAGGTTTCTCAAAATGGAGCTCCCTCTAACCAAGGTTTTAGTGGTTTTCCTGGTTCTCAATCTACAAGTAAGTAGAGTCTGTTGAAATTGAAAATTTTTACAATTTGGTTTTATTGATTGAAAAACCCAGGGAATGTGTTACATCTATTGAAACCTCAATGTATAGGAAATGCATTCACGTAACATGTCTTTAGATCAGTCCAGCCAAATAAATGAGTTGTACTTGTTGTCGTTATGATAGTAAATTTTGATTCATTTTGTTATCATTGCTGAGTTTATCATGGATCTTGTGCACGTATATGCTTTGTAATTTTATTCTTTACTATGAAGTTTTTCTTGTCAACTATCATTTACTTTTTGACTTTGATTAAATATTTAAAATTATGTAAATAAGAAAATGATTGGTTCCAAAAACATTGTTTTCTAATCTCATTGATACTACTGGCTTAAATCAATTTAAACTGTTAGTTGTCTTCAAAATATATATTGTTTGTGCAATTAATTATTGTTCGTTCAATGTTTCCTTCAATGAGCTGCTTTCTAGTTTAATCAACATCCTAAATGTGCCATTATTTATTTTTGGATAGAAAAATCAGTCTTGTCAGTGGATGCTTTGGAGAAAATGATGGAGGACCCAACAGTGCAGAAGATGGTTTATCCGTAATATTAATTCCCTTCATCTTAATAATGGTTACGATTTTTCATTTCTAGTAAAAATTCTTTTGTGGCTTTGTCAGTACTGAGTTAGGAGTATGTATGTGTTTAAACTTTGAGTAGTTTTAGCTTTAAATATATTGAAGAAAGGTCCTTAAATGGTTGAAGCCTTTTATCTTAGAACTTCTTATGGGTGTGGTACTATTACCTGTGAAACTCAGAATTGGAGCTTGAAGTAGTTTCATTCTTTTGTTTATTTCTATTGAAATGTTTACTTTGGAAGTTTGGACGTGTCTAAAGTTCTACCGAAGCCCAAAATTCCCCCCCGTGTCCTCTAGGCACTTTGCTGCAGATAGTTGTAGGGGAAACCTATACTTCTGTATTCTTTCATTCGAAGAAACTTTCTTTATCCCTGAAATAATTGCAAATCTTTTTATTTATTGATCATTGAGTGGAGTGGAGCTACTTGTGCTCTCTCTCTCAGACCATAAACTGTTTCATAATGTGTTCTTGTTACGATTACTTGGTTAAAATTTTCAGATATGATTTACATGCCTGTTTAGATTATTTAAGAACTTTCCCCCCTTGTAATAAAAAAAAATTAACTTTTTTGGGTTTTGTTGCAGCTATTTACCAGAGGAGATGAGGAACCCTACTACCTTTAAATGTAACTCTCTATTTTTATCAGTGTCCTCCTAATGATAGTTTCAAGGGTCATTATTTTTGTAGTGTGTAATTTTTGTTGTTTGTCACCTTCCTGGAAATAAATCCCGTGTAACCTCAATGCCGAGTTTGCTTATTATCACTTTTCTATACGTGTTCAATATAGTATATATGCAACACTTCTATTTGGATATCTATCCTTTTTTATTTGTTGCTATCATATAATGAAAGCACTTCTTTACGTTTAAAAATAGTTTGTAGGTCAAAAGTGATGTTTTCAATTGGTAGATATTACTTTCTACATAACATCTTGTTATAATTGGCCAATGAATAATAGTTGCTGTACTATTGCTGCTTTTAATAGGGATGCTGCAGAATCCACAGTACCGTCAACAACTGGAAGAAATGCTGTAAGTTCTCCATACCACTGTTTTTTCAGATAATTAGAGTTTTTTTGCTTCACTAATATTCTCATAAACTATGGACCAATTGTCATTTGAACTGGTAAGCTGGGAAAATGCTTACCTGCATTAAGCTTGTTTAAAATATTTCTACAATAACTAGTTTTCGGGTGAATGAAAGTTCTCCAGAATTACAATCTAGTTATTAGCCTCTGATTTCATGAATTTGATGAACTGATAATAAAATCTGATCCTCTTTTGTTATCCTTTATGCATTAGAATTCCCCATTTAGAATTAGATGAAAATGGTGGCCATGGTTGAAATATCCATTTTACTTTTTGTACGTCCAGTCCTCCCTCTAACCTATGGGAGTGGAAATTCCTGTTCTTACCTGCAGATTTTGTTGTTTGTTTTAAGTTTCTTTTGTTTGTCATTCTCCCCTTGTTATTATATAGATAAATTTATATTTTAGCTTTTGTAGGATTCATGTGTCTTATAACGACCACATTCAATGTCATTGTATTGACTTGAGATCTCAAGTACCTGAAAATTGTATTTCTTATTTTGCTCTGAAATCCTATGTGTGCTCATCTCAATGCATTGAGTTGAGATCTTAAGTGGCTGAAAATTCTATTTCTTATTTCTCTCTCAACCTTTCTTGAATCCTTCCTCTTTTTCCTTCATGTTTGATTTCAGAAACAACATGGGTGGAAGCACTGAATGGGACAGCCGAATGATGGATACCTTAAAGAATTTTGACCTTAATAGTCCTGAAGTTAAACAACAATTTGGTAAGTTGTTGTTATATCATTGCCTTACGTTTTTTTTAAGTGTCACGTCTTCTCTGAGAGAGTGCAGGATCAAGTAAGAAGTTATTAATTTAACATAATTCAGTTTTTGCTTGATACTCTTGTTACTTATTGAGTTGAAAATATTCTAAAAAACAATAATCACTTCTTTGTTTCCATCTTATGAAAATTATCTGTCTACTTGGTTTATCATCTTTGATTATTGAAGATCAACACTAATTGATCACTATTTTTTTTTCTTTCTGAAGTTGCATTATATGACTGATTTTATGTATGGGCAATAACTGATTTTATGACTTGTTTTTATAGTTTGATTCCATCTGTCTGTTTATCTCTCAACATTCTAATATTCTCTTCGTTGAATCATTTCTATTTGTTAAAAGGATTAGTGACAAAATAGGTCACGGAATTTGGTATCACTCTAGTGCCATGTTTAAAAAAAAAACGAAGAAGAAAGAAACCGATCTTTGTGTTGTATCCACACGAGTATTCATATTTATAATGAGTATTCATGTTTATAATGAGGAAGAAATACCATCATTAACAAATTCGATATCTAATAATGGGAAATATTTGGTAAACTATTTTTCTATCAATTCATATTATGTCTCCCTATTTTGTGAAATCAAACCATATCTCTGAGACTCTTAATTCTGCAGTGTAACGTATTTTTATTTGTTAAAAAGACAAAATGATTTTCAGAAAACTGATAAATGCTTTGGTAAGCTTCAGTTCCATTGAGAAGAAAAACCTGAGTTTCACACATTTCATGCCTCTTTATGAAAGAATAGTATTTAGTATGATTCAGCATTCTTTGCTGACTAATTTATCGTGTAGACATCACTACTTTTTTTCTCTTTTGGTTTAGTTTATTGAATTCTCGGAATCGGAGTCCATCCATGAAACTGATCATTTAAGTCTGAAAATATCACCTCGGTATCCCTTCAAACAGTCTTAACAGCTTAAGAATGAATCACTCTAGGTCTTTTCTCAAAATGCTTTTACTTTCACCAGATCAAATTGGGCTGTCTCCGGAAGAAGTCATTTCAAAGATTATGGCCAATCCTGAAGTTGCAATGGCTTTTCAAAATCCTAGAGTTCAAGCAGCAATCATGGATGTATGTTCTAATTTAAATACTTTATTGGTCTTTTTTTATCAAAACTCTGCTCTGACTGCATCTTCTTGTGGTTGCAGTGTTCACAGAATCCGCTGAATATTACTAAATATCAAAATGACAAAGAGGTATGCTGATACTCATCTAATCGCTAGTCTTGGGTCTTCTTCCCATTAAAAATAGTCATATATGCTTTCTTTTTCCTAGCTGGTTAAAACATAAAATAAGTTAAGTCAAAACTGCACCTATAATTTATGGAATAACACAGAAAAAAGGGATTGTAAACATGAATGTTTGATTTGCCAAGCATGTCATTATGTTTCTAATAAATAAAGCTATGATAGTTACCCTCTCTCTAATTCGTAATATAATAAATGTCAATTTCGAAATTTTGGCTCTTAAATTTGTTCTGATGGTTGCTTTTTCCTCTTAACATTTCAGGTTATGGATGTCTTCAATAAAATATCAGAACTCTTCCCTGGAGTAGGTTCACCATGATTCATCTGTGTTGCTTGTTTGCTGGGTCAAGTTATGCTTGATTATCCTGATGAACAGTGAGAATACCTCTGCCTAACCAACCTCATGAAACCATGCAACATTCTCATGCTCACGGTTACAGATCCATTCTGACATGCGGATAGTAACTGTGTCTGGCCTGGGCCAAATATTGCCATAGTTGGATTTTTTTGTTACACTAAATAGTTGAGATTGTACATTAATGTTTTTAGTGTATCAAATATTTTGTTTTGAGGCATTGTATCTGAAATGCGTTGAGTAGCCAGGTCCCGTAAAAATAGTGGATGCTTCACATAATCTTTCATAAAGCATAACCTGAATAATCTGGGTTTTTGGTTGTTCATCTATGAACTTCTAACATGGATAACTTGAAAGTTCCACGAAGTAGCCTTTGCTTTCTTAAAATTTGACATGAAATTAAAGATAAATTATTTGTTTGGACAAGTTTTTGAAGAAAAGAAGTATTTTTTTTTTAATAAATTAAAATCAATGTATACATACATTAAAAAAGTTATATGGGAAAGTTTTATAATCTGATTTATGTAATTCATGAATATATTATTATAAAATTATTTACAGAGAAATTTATCTACATATATTCAAACTCATGCATGCATTGAATTACATACCACCCAATACCAAACATTTACAACATAAGCAATCAAACAAATGCCAACTGTCAAATCCTATAGTGAACCGTGTCATCGAGGGCTATTCGTTGGAGAAGATAGAGCTTTGGCTACTGTCAGTGTTTTTATGATTTTAATAATTTCAAGTTTGACTGTCTTTTAAAGGGTTCTTGTACCATCGCAGTTGACTGGTTGGTAAAGGCCATTACTAGATTTGTTGGTAAAGTTTGTGTAGACATTCTGCTGCATCACAAAAAATCCAAAAGTATAGCCGTTGATGGTTAATTGAACAAACATGTAACACCGGTAATTTTTTGTTGATCCATATGAATACACAACCGTTGTACAAATTTGGATGCTGACAGCGTAAGAAGAGGAAGCAACGTAGTATTCAACGTTTATTACTGTATGGTATATCATATGAAATGGATTTAATGTCCAATTATGAAATTCTTGGAAAAATAGGATGAATCGAAATATAGCTGCTACACCAAAACTAGGAGCAAAGAACCAACCCGACTGACCCAGTGGATAAATAAGGAATACAGAAACAAAAACAGTAATTGAACCAAATGCGATTTCATACTTAGTAAAAAATAAAAAACAACATTCTGAAATTAAAGTTAATGACTTTGTGGGGACACCTGCTGGGGTCGGACAACACAACTTGACCCTTTAACGGATCTGAGTTGCAACACTCCAGCCCGCTCTGTATTTCAAATTTTGAATGTTTTCTCTTTCATTGTCATTGATAAAAAGGCTACAATCTTTTTTTCAAAAAAGGATTCTTGGGCAGTGTTTTCACCATATTCTAGTTGTAACTCCATTCTCCTGTTCTTTCTATCTTAACACCATCTAGGCATTTTTATCCTCCATTTTTCTTCACAAGTATCGTTCTCTCAAAATTCCATGGGTTCATGTTTGAGTAAGAAAAAAGGGTCTTCTACTTCTGCCTCTTCCCCTCTTGCTGCAACCAAGTCAGCTTCCACAGTTTCTGAGCTGAAAAATCCTTCTGTTATTGGTGTCAATGTTTCGAAACCCAAACTGGAAGCTGACCCGGAAGTGAAACTGAAGAAGGAGAATACTAATAAAGTGGAAGAGAAACATGAGGCGGTGCCAGAAGTTGAGGGGCATGTGAAAAAGGAGATATTCATCATCAAGCACAGGAAGAGCCATGATGACAGAGAGAGAAATTCCAAGTCGCCACCTTGCACAACTCAGCAGAATGCGACCACTGAGTCAATGGGTGACATTACTGCACAACCAGCAGCAACAAACATGGGTGTTGCAGGAGTGAGGACTTCAAGCTGCACCAAAGAAGAGGTGGATGCAATTCTCATACAGTGTGGGAGGCTCAGCAGAAGCTCTTCAGGTAATGCTGTTGCTCCTTCTGGTGAACTCAGAAGAAGGTACTCTGGTTCAAAGAGAAGTTATGATTTTGACCATTGTGACAACACCGTATCCAATGATGAGGACTCAAAGAAGGCCAATGCCAATGAAAGCAACAGTGATTTGTGTGAGGATGAGAGGCACCAACACAGGCTGCGGCACCGCCAGTCACCTAGTCCAAGGCCTTCTTCTCAGGAGAGGAGAAGAAGAACCCCTAGCAGGGAAAGAGAGCAGCAACAGCGGTCAAGCAGCAGAGAGAGGAGAGTTAGTAGATCTCCAGGAAGAAGGTCATCAGAGAACACCACACCTGTCAACGCAAGAAATAATAGCAACACTAGTTCTAGGCCTGGGAAGATGGTTTCTGTGCCTGCCACTGTTTCATCACTAGTAATGGATAAGAGTAACAATAATGGTGGTGGTGGTGCAGAATCTGTAGCAACCACTGGTATCAAGAGGATAACAGTGAAGAGAAATGTGGGTGCTGCCTCACCGCGTTCTCAGTCTCCTGCAAGAGCAAATGGGAATGCATCAAATGCTAATAAAGCATCCAATGAGAATCAGCAGCAGCCATCCCTTAGCCGCAGCTCTTCAAGGAAAGCAGAACAGTCACCTTACAAAAGGAATCCATTGAATGAAATTGAACCTAACTCCCTTGCTTTTCCCCATTCAACAGCCAACAATAACAGCAGTAGGGTTCAAAATAAACCCAAGAAGGAATTTGAATCAGAGGCTATTCAGGTACTATTCACACTTTAATATTTGGTTCGTAATTTCTCAGCTTTGGAGATTCGACCTTTCACCTTTCATGGTTAGTAATGGATTAGACTTATTGTTGTGATTAATATAAGTTATATGTAATGATGTTTATCCTCACTGCAGAGAACAAATAGCAGTAGAACTGCATTGGACCAGGGCGTGAGTTTAAATTGCAAGGCAAAGGTGCAACAAGAGGAAGACATCAAAGTGCTATCTTCAAGTACTGATAAAACAATGGTAGCAACAGGGTTTGACAACCTAAAACCCCATACATTAACAAGAAGCAGATCTTCAAGGCGATCCCGGGACTTAGACTTCAACCCTGAAGCTCTATTGAATCCTCCACAGTCCTACGCTTCACTGCTGCTTGAAGATATCCAGAACTTCCATCAGAAGAGCACTCCACCTGTTTCTCTCCCAGCCTGTGTCACCAAAGCTTGCTCTATCCTTGAAGCTGTTGCTGATCTCAACTCTAGCACCGGCTTAAATTTCTGTGGTGCAGAGGACAAGAGAAGTCCACCAGCTTTTCAGTGTAGTAGGAATGACTACAATGTTCTATTGACTGCCAATGATTACGGGAAGAGGGAACCAGATGCTGAGGACCCAGTTGTAGAATCTATGTTAGTATTCAATGATGATGATGTGATGGAATCAAGCTTGCATAAGTATGTGACAGTGAATAGGGGTGGTTCACTTGGTGGGGTGGACATGGAGGACCAAGAGTCTTCAGGAAGTAACAGCTTCACTGTCGGTAGTGGTCAACAGCACTGGGGAGTTTCTTCTTCATTTGAGCCCTGTTCTGTTGGATCAAAAGATTGCTGGACTTCAAGATTGAACTACTCCAGAGAGGAAGGTCAGAAAAGTCCATTAGGCTTGAGAGGGAGTGTGTCATCTGAAACAGGATGTGATGCGGATGGAGCCAGGAAGAAGTTGAACAGCAAAGGAAGGGAGTGTGATCATCAGCATGGGTGTGGGATAGGGCGTGGCAGGCTTAGTGCCAATAAAGCTCTTCACGCCGTTCCTATTGTCACAGCATCTGCATCCATGTAGTTTGTGCTGAATGAATTCACCTTCATCTTGTATGTTAAATACTCCCTGAGTTTAACATTCCTTATGTTTGGAGTTGCACTCTTTGCAGGCACTTCTCATTTAGTTAAGGTCCATATTTTAACAATACGTCTCACCTCTGTCTTCAATTGTAGCTCTATGCTCTTTATTTCTTCAAACAGGGTGATCAATCATGCATTTATAGCAATTCAGATACTTAAAACGGTGATCCGGCAATGGAACGTTACAATTTCCAAATGAAAATGGGAACAAAAGCTGTCAAATAAAATAAAAAACAAAGTTTATTTCAGTTGTAGCAGTGTTCTTCAATTTAAAATTTTGGGGTAACTCGTCAACAGTATGTTGCAATTGACTCTGGCTGGTTCAGCTTTACTGCATTTCAGTGTAGAAGTTAACCTGTTTGCTGCAATACTATATATTGCTATAGCTGTTGATTTTGATTAGTGCAGCTGAATCATATAATTAATGCATGTTTATTTTGTTCATGAATTCAGATATTCACATATTAAATAAGTTCTTATGGATATACACACATTACATAAGTTCTTAAAGATAATTTAGCTACTTATATTTTACTGATGAAAAGGAGTGCCTATTTATATTGTCTCTGATTTTTGTAGAAATAAATAAGATCTCGCACATTTTAGATTCTTTTAGTGAGTTTTGATTTGATTCTTCACTTTTGATTTTTCTTTGTCTTTTAGTTGTACTAAGAATGCTGAATTGATACAAGTTGAACTGATAACCTGGTTAGCATTGCAAACTATATAATGATCCAATAACATGTTTTCCTTTTGATTAAAAAAATAAAATGAAGCTCTTAATTATGAGTTAAGAATACGCAAAAGCAAGTTTGCATTGATTGAGAACTGTACAGCTCATATGCATAAACTAAATAGTGTAAGAATTATATAGTTAAGTTTGATTAAACAGTAGCAGCATCGTAGCCCCCTAATTGCAGATACTGATATCAATATATTTCTTTCATAACAGATTCACTATACATCAAACCTTGCAATATAATATATACATTTTGTTCAGTCATAATGTAATCCTCAATCTTGTACAACAAAAGAACCTTTACGGAAACAATTTATTCCGATATAAGGCTTGTGTTCTGCCCAGGTAACTTCAAGTTTTTGGTATATGTTGCCTTTGCCTAGGAAGAGGCTCGAAGCCTAATTTAACTAAAAAACCAAAATTGTATTTACACTACAAAGCATGGTCACAAACAAAGCCTCAAAGTCGTGTATCACCCAAAATCCTCCTCCCCATGTCCAAACTCGCTTCTATCGTTCCCAATTTGAGTTCATGGTAAACATCTAATTCCCTGAATAACTGCTTTCCATTGGGTTAGGTTGAAAGAAACAGGCAAAAATGACAATTCATTCAGCAGTGTTTCTGAAGTTAACCATGTATATTCCAGCCACAGTAATCAAGGCCCCAACTAGTTGTACAGGAGAGAAGGTCTCGCCAAGATAGAGAAACCTGAAATACCAAATCAAGATGTGAGTCGTACAAAGGTCCGAAAACGATAATCGCTAGAGCAAGTGGCAAGATAGCAAAGGTGTAAAAAAGTTAGGACCTTGAGGGGTCAAAACTTAAAAAAATTTATGAAAGAATGTCACTGAATTTCCAAAACTTTGGTCGTAAAAGGTCACTTTTCTCCTTGATGACCTTACAAGCAAAAATCTGAAATTACTTTAAAGTCCTATTGCTCATTCCGATTGTGAGGCTGCCTTACCCAAAAATTGAAGCAAACATTGGAGTTAAAAACGTAAGTGAACTGAGCTTGGTCAAGCTACCTGCAGTGCATCATAAATGCAATATCATTATAGTGGTCTATTTCTCATGGTATCAATATAGATTTTGAAAAACAAAAAGAAAAAACCTTCAAAGCCGAATGCATACAAATTATAGCTAAAGATGCATCAATGACAGTGATTACAATATTGAAGATAAAATAACCATTTTGGATTTGACCTGGAAGCAGGAATTTTCCGTCACCATAATAAAAGGAAATCTATTGACGAAGAGAATAAAAGATAATAGGAGAAAAAGACAGACCTTTAGTTGCACTATAAAAGAACACGCCATAGCTGACGGCGCTTCCAAAAATCGATGTATAGAGGAGTGCCAATACATCAGTTGAACTGTACTCTTTGAGACTCCCACTCACCACGGGGTCATTGTTAAGAATTGAGAATAGCAGAAGTGGGAGACCACCAATAATCATATGCTGCAACAGAAAAGAGTAAAGTTTTGATCTATAAGCTTATAACCATGATGTCATTCATCAGTTATATAGCTTCCTCCATTTTGCCTGTTTTTTCCTATTGTTTCCATAGTCAACAATTTTTTATGAAATAGTCAAATGAGATATGAATATAAGACCAGTACAGTACAATCCATTTCACTCGTATCACATACAAACTTATTATTAAAATATATGATAACTCTAGACACATCAGCAGAACTAAATCTTGCCGCAATTATAGTCGTGAACCATAAAGTAGAAGCATATCCAAATTTATAGTTTAGCAAACTTGACATATTGTCTGGTTTAAAACTGATAATGCAAAGAGGCAATATGACATTTTAACAAGCACGATCATTAAGTTTCATAGGTATTTAACGATGGTAATTAACAAAAAATAGAGCCAAAAGGAATTTGAAGCACACCCATCCAGTAGCCATGACAGGATCGGAGTACTTGGAGACCCACCGGACCATGACTGTGCCAACTGCCATACTCTGAGCTGCAAGAAGCATCCACCACTCACCATTACCCCACAGTGAGAAGTTGCTTTCATCAAATGATAGGGCGGGTAGCTGCAACAAAATCATCAGTGCTGGCATTACTAAATAATATATAGACGGCATTTGACAGGCTCACAGAAATTGTATATTTCGAAATAATAAAGAGTAAATTAGGTAATTGCATAAACTCTTGGTTGATGGTAACAACTGCGAAACGTATCCTTAACATCCTTCTAAATCAAATATACAAGAATTCGACAGCTAATTTTATGTTGTGCTTTAAAGGGTACGATAATTAAATTACTAATGTTTGTTTAGAACTAAATGCGGAATCAAATATTACCTCGAGCAGTACAAGTCCAATGACACCAAGTACAAGCCCAGCAGCTCCAACAACTCCAATTGACTCATCAAATAACAAAGCGGCAAGTACAGCCACAGTCAAAGGCTGCGAATCAATTATAACCTGCAATCCACTCACGGTAGATGATCAAAGCAAGCAACAATAATTGCTGTCAGAATTGGAAAGTAGAATTTAAATCAATATAAAATTCATTCAAATCAAATAATAATATAATTTAGATACAACACGACGCAGTTACTATTGAAAAAAAAAAAAAGATAGATGGACAACAACCCTTTTAAAAAATATAACCTCCAACAGCAACGGCTTTTGTTAATTTAATAATAGTAAAAACTTAATTTTTTATGTTTATCATTATTTTTTTATTAAAGCGGAATGTTAGGATGGATATTTAGGAAGGAAGAGTTGTCTATCTGCTAAAAACAAATTACATGAATTGTCACGTAAGATGATAAAATTGATAACGTTTATTAATAGTAATTTTAGAAAAAATATATGTAAATGAAATCTAATTGAGTGAGAGAATTAAACTTTATTCACTAGTTTAAAATAGTAATATATTGTTGTACCCACCAGACATTCACAATAGTAAAAACAGTTATATTGTTAACACACGGTAGGATTAACTTCTAAAATAATTATTATAAAAATGAACAAACTTATTCTGCATAACTATGATATTATGTTAAGAAACCATCACACAAGACCAGTGCATTACAATTTTTTCTATTACAGTATTTTATAAAGGATGCGTTAGATAAAAAATAATTGTACTAATAAGTTTTAGGAAAATGTTCTCAATAATTAGTTTAGAAGAACAAAAAAGCAAATAAGTTTGTCCCCAAATAAATATTAGCTTTAACATAGGTTAACAATCACCATTTAATTTAAAGAAGCTAACATAAAATAAATTTAAAATCTAACTCATACATAAACAAAATTTAGCTTATAAATAAGTTTTATCATGAAAAATCTTAACATGCATAAACTAAATTAAACTTATAAAAAACTCTTTTTTGTTTTTATTTTACTTTTATTGTTTTAAATCTAATCATGAAGAAGTTTATCCAGACTTAATTTGAATGCATAATAATGGTAAAATTGATTAAGAAATTAAGTGGCAACATACGCTTCCTAAACCAGCTGAAGTCCTTTGCAACCCTTCTGCAAGAAAACCCTGTTGCATTCAATAAATCAAACATCAACCCATAAGCATTTATGTATTCAAGTAAAATATACATGCAGCGTGTGAAATGTGAAGAAGAAGAAGAAGAAGAAGAAGGACCTGAAAGCACGTGGCATCAACGAGAGCGAATAGTGTGATGGAAAGCCAAGCGTTGAAGCCAGAAGGAAGGGACCTCCCTCTTGAAGCCGCGAAACCCACGAGAAGAAACCCCGCCGGAATGAGGCGAAAAGCGGAAACGAAGAACGGTCCATATTTGGGAAGCACCTCCTTCATCGCCACCATGGACGTGCCCCAGAAGAAGAACGGTGACACCAGCACCGTCCATTCCCACAGCGCTTCTGCGAGACACGGCATGGACGATGACGATGAAAGCGGTTCCAATTCTTTCTCTTCCGTGTTCACCAGGCACTCCACATCTTGTCCGGTTCCCAAGCAATCCACAGCGTCCGGCGGTGGCACAGAATCCGGCAAGGCGGTTCTGTTGGAGCATGGGACCCTAAATCGAAGCGAAGGTTGAGCGGCGGTGAAATGGGGACAGGAGGAAGTTGGGAATGTGAGGGTTCGGATGCGAAATTGGGAAGTGAAGGAGTGGTGGAAGGCGGTGTTGGTGTTAGTGGTGGTGGCGACGGCGAGCGTGGCGGAGGGAGAGGAGCACCACCACGACGCCATGGTTGAGAGTGAGTGGGTGGTGTTTGGTTGATGTGTTGCGTTTAGTATCAGAAACAGTAACTGGAAATTTGTGGTGCATGCAAGTGTCATAAAGGAAAATAATTTAAATAACATAAAAATATTAAAAATAAGTATAAAATTTTATTTTCATTCTCGAAAGAAGAACAAGTTCGGGCCTGAAAGTTAGTTGGGCCTGATTCTGGTCCATTAGGCCTATTGACGGAAATTTACGTCGCCAAATCCAATAAGGTTTTATACATTGGTAAGCACTAATTGGTCTCTAATGTTGAAGTTGAACCCACACACACAAAAACAAGTTATATATTTAACATAATTTTCAGTGTATTGACAAAAAATTACGAAACAAAAAATACTTAAAACGAATAAGTGTTCAACAGAGGAACAAACGAAAAAGTAAGAGCTTACAATATCCAAACACCACCTAATCCAACTTGATTTTATTTTAGTTAAGAAAAAACACACATGAGATAATAATGGTGTCTAAAACAGAAGGATTAGGTAGGTGGAAACTCGAATTTACTATTTTAAATTAAATTAATACACTTGTTGCTTATTTTATTTCTCATATGCTTTCCGTCTATTTTTTTAATTTTACGAAATCTAACAAAGAAATGTTAAGAGTTTTGACTTTGTCTTTGGAACGCGTTATATGCCGCTGAAAAAGCATCCATTCAATTTCAACCTTTTCTTAGCATAAAATATGTAAAAGTTTTTTACTTAAAAGCAATGCAATTTGATTACGCGAAGAGAGACGAAGAAAATCCTCGTGTAAATTACATTAATCATTGTTAAAAATTTGTTAAATTAATTTTATATATATATATATATGTTTTTTTTCTTTTTCTTTTTTATCTTCACTCTTCCTTCAATTCATGCAAATATTATATTATATCTTTTATAGGTGGATGACCAAATAAATTAGATAAGATGAGTCTTATCGTACCTTAATAATAAAAAGATAGATTAATAATTTTAGTTTTTGAGCTGGTTTTGATTTATTCTAGTTAACCCATCATCTTGATAAATTAAAAATAAAATGGTTTGATCTGACCTATTATCCTTTTTAAAAAATATTTATATATTAAATATATTATATTTTTTTATATTTATTATAATATTATAATTTAAATTATAAATAAAAATCAATTAAATTAAATTATTAATTAAGTAAGAATTTTAATATAAATATAATAATTGTTTCCATTTATCTAATAAAAATATTAATTAATAAATAAAAACTTAAAAATTATGTATATAATTAAAAGTATATTTTTAAAAAAATATATATAAAAAAATTTATCAACGAACCCACCTATTAACCCGTTAATCCATGAGAAGATGGATACTGCATTCCATCTTATTTTTTTAATGGACCAGAATAGGAGAGAACAAAATGTGGCATACTCACCAATTTTTGCATCCTTATTATCCACTATTGTCCAGAATCAAATGAAGCATTACATTGTCAAACATTTGTGATGTTGAGTTTGAAACTAGCAAACAGTTTTGAGTGCACGGCTATTCCTTTTCAATGATTTATAAGTTTGGTTGGGAGTTTTTTTTATAAAATAGTTCGAGTTTAATAGAACGGAAATGTATTACATTTTCTTTCAAAGAATATATAATTATAGTTGTTCGACCACTTCGACGGCATTATATATTGCCATCAGCATTATAAAGACACAAGGTTGAATAATCGCCAATTGATAATTCTGCAGACAAAATTAAAACCAGATAGTGACCCTTTAAAGTTTTAATCTTTCAAGTCAAACATTAATAGGAAAGCTTCAACTTTCTCATATGCTATTTACCTGCTCCTCTGCGTGTTCATCTTCCCACCCTCTTTCTCCACTCTCGCCCTATTCAATATTCATCCACCTATATATTAAATATACATAAGAGAAGTTAAACAGAGAGAAGACGAAGAAGGAATATATATATCATCAAGAGCTAAAGATAGTTTTGTCTAGTTTCTACAATATTTTTGCTGTATGATATATTATTAGTTTCTTCTTGCTATTTTGATACCAAAAAAATGATGGCAGAACACCAAAGAATTCATCCTGTTCATGATGTGGAGGCACCACACAGACCTTTGGTGCCTGGAAATGGTGCTAAATCTGATAGGGTTTTTCCTAAACGCACCTTTCCTGTGATGCATTCCAAGCCACCAAAGAGAAGAAGAAGCTGTTGCTGCAGGTTTTTGTGTTGGACACTTTGTATATTGCTGATCTTGATCATTGCTATTGGCATCACAGTAGGGATCATATACCTTGTGTTTAGGCCAAAGCTCCCCAAGTACTCGGTGGACCAACTGAGGATAACTCAGTTCAATGTTTCTGACAACAACACCCTCTCAGCCACCTTCAATGTGGCAATCACTGCAACAAATCCAAACAAGAAGATTGGGATATACTATGAGGGTGGAAGCCACATAAATGCTTTGTACATGGACACACAATTGTGTGAAGGGTCTTTGCCAAAGTTCTACCAGGGTCACAGGAACACCACGGTGCTTGATCTGTCTCTAATAGGTCAAGCACAGGATGCAAGTGCCCTACTGAGTAGAATTCAGGAGCAGCTGCAACAGACCAACAATATTCCCCTTGATCTTAAGGTCAATCAACCTGTGAGGGTTAAGCTTGGTAAGTTGAAGCTCTTCAAAGTCAAGTTCAGGGTTAGGTGCAAGCTTGTGGTGGATAATCTTGGTGCTAGTAATGATATTAGTATTTCAAGCAGTATTTGTAAGTTCCGGCTTAGGCTATGAATTCACTAGTGCATATTAATGTTAATTAGTGTAGTTTATGTGCCATTGTTATTTCATACTACTATTTTAGGTTCATCTTTTTGTGGTTTGTTTGTTTGATATTTTTCATAAGGGATGGAGGATCAGATGTGGTGTTTCTCTCCATCTGCAATTTGAGAATCGATATACAGTTCTTGTAATTTGATTCTATTTATTCAGCCACTATTTCTTACTCACAAATTAGAATGTATATTATCTGTTTTACATGCTTCATCAATCACAAATATTCTTAGTTCTTTGTGCACCGGTAACACTAACTTCATTGAATCATAAGAGATTACATTGTTTATTTCTTTCGATTCTAGGATCAGTTTCATTCATAAATGAAGTGAATTATAAGATAAAATATAATTTTAAATGAATTATTATAATTTAACATAAAATTACTTTCAACGTTTCTTTTTCAGTTGATGATACACAAATTTATTTAATGAACTTTTGTTGATATTTTATTAAAAGAAGTCATTAATATTTCTGATAATCCAACATAATAAATAATATATTTTAAAAAAAATATTTAAACAAAATATCTATCAATTCATTAAGGAGAATAACATTCTTTAATATAAAACAATTATTTTTTTCTTTTTTTATGTTTTTTTTTCACTCTATTTTATTATTCTAATTAAAAATATTATATTAAAATTTGATAAAAACATGTTCAAATATTTAAAAAAAAAATCAACATTAAAATTAAAGAAATTAATTATTTATTTAAAATTATAATGATAATAAATAATTTTATTTATAATAATAGTAAATAATTAATTTAAAATTATTTATTATATTAAATTATTTAATTATCTAGTTAAAAATATTAAGTATTTTTTATTTTTATTTATTAATTTAATTTATTTATAATTAAATTGGATTATGATATTAATATGATTAAAAGTTTTAAAAATTTATTTATTAATAAAATATTTTTTAAAAATATTTTATTATTTTAAAATATATTATTTATGATATTGATTTTATTTTATTTAGATTTAAAATGTTTTATAGTCTAAAATAAGTTTATAACAATTTTATAAAAACCATCTTGTATAGTTTTTTATTTGAAAAATAATTATTTTGTTTTTTAAATAATATTTATAAAAAAATTTATCATATATATATATATATATATATATATATATATATGAATATTTCTCACAAGATTGACATGAAAAATATTGATTTTTCTGTAATAAACATAATTAAAAATAAAAATATAATTGATCTATATTTTATTTAATTAACTTATAATTTCTTAACAAAATTCATTTAGTATAACTCTAAATAATTTAATTTATTGAAAGTATAATGAAATAACTTTTTATATATAATTAAATGTTTATGTGTGACAAATTATATATTTACACAATATTAGATCATAAAAAAAAAAAAAAGTAAAGAGCGTTGGGCTCAATCTGTTTAACCGAGACGGAGAGTGTAACCAAGACTATCGGATATCAAAGCTAGCAACTTTTGCACCACAACCTTCGTCTCCTCACCGTACCTCGTCATTGATTGCATATAATTGAGTGTAGGTGTTCGACGAAATGTCAAACCGAGTTTGCATGAAAAAGTGGTTGTTGACACCAATGGGTGTGAAGTTTGTGAGCAGACTGGAACACTCAACTCATTTTTCCATGTGTGTTCGATCCAAAACAACGTCTGCTCAGTATGTAGCATCGAGATTTCGAGACCCCACGTTTGAGAAACACATGGACAACTACAAGAACCTTGTCAAGGTCATTTACGTTCAAGACCTCATCCTTGCAAACCCAAAAAACCCATCAGTCTCCATTGATTTCCTGTCCAAGCTCTCCCAGAAGCTCCACCTAAACCGCGGAGCCATTGCATTCCTGCGCAAGTTTCCTCACATCTTCCACATTTACTATGATCATTCCAAGTTGAAGCCCTTTTGCAGGTTAACTGACGCTGCTCTTGGTATTACACGGCTGGAAGCGGAGGCCATCAATTCTTCTTTGCCTGTTGTTGTTGAAAGACTTGTTCGGATACTGTCCATGTCTGCATCCAGAATGGTGCCTCTTAGAGCTGTTTTTAAGGTTTGGAAGGAGCTTGGGCTGCCTGATGACTTCGAGGACTCAGTTATATATGCTAATTCTGGTGTTTTTCAACTGTCTGATGCGCATGAACAGAATACTCATTTGTTGAAGCTGGTTGGTGGTGTTTCCAGCAATGGCTTTAGGGCGGCTGTCGAGGATTGGAGGGTTGTTGAGTGCTGCAAGGAGGACTGCAGTGTTGATAGGATGGAAATGCAGTTCAGTTTCAGACATGGGTATCCTCCGGGAATGAGGTTGAGCAAGAATTTCAAGGCCAAGGTGAAAGAGTGGCAGAAGTTACCATATGTGGGGCCTTATGAAGTGCTGGGTGAGAAGAAGTCTAAGGCTGGAATGATGGCCATGGAGAAGCGAGCAGTGTCGATTGTTCATGAGTTCCTGAGTTTGACAGTGGAGAAGATGGTGGAAGTTGAGAAGATCAGCCAGTTTAGGAAATGGTTTGGGATTGATTTAAATATAAGGGATCTCTTCTTGGACCACCCAGGGATCTTCTATTTGTCAACTAAGGGTAAAAGACATACTGTTTTCCTGAGGGAAGCTTATGAACGAGGGCGTTTGGTAGAACCAAATCCTGTCTATGATGCAAGAAGACGGCTACTTGATCTTGTTGTTTTAGGACGTCGGGGTCTGCCAGCTGTTAATTCAAAGTTGCAGGATTCAAGCAGCTGCAATGAGGTTAGGCGGGAGGAAAACCCGAAAAGACATGATTTGTCACCATCTTGATTAAGGTGCCTTGTTTTTTGTTTTTCCATGTCTACGTTCCTTAATATACTTTTGTGTTTCTTTTGGCATATACCCACAATTGCAAGGATAACAACTTTGATTTTTAACTTGGTTAAATTTTCTGCATAAACCAGAATGATATATAGGAAAACTTCCTAATTAATTAGAAAGTTCTCTTCTGTACTAGATGGTTGTATGGTTGAAACTCTGAGCATAAGCTAGCTCTATCATGTTATTTTGTTTCGGCTTGTTTGAAAATTTTCTGTGAAATTGTAGCTGACTTTCAGTCTTTATTGCATTGAAAAAATGCTAAACTATGGTTCCTTCCCTGCTTACCACAGAAGTTTGCTACAGAAACCATAAAGAATACATAATCATTGTCCTTTATGCATTCCTACAGATCACTTTTCTTGAATGGCTCAATCAATGAACTCTCTGTCAAACCATTGTTTGACTGGAAATAATACCATAATAAATAAGCTCCATGGTTTCGCAAGCCTTGCCTATGGCATAACTACCATACAGGACATCCATCTCCCACTCTAATGCAAAACTATCTTTTTTTTAAGTGGTTTTGTTTATTTTATCTGTATAAATTCATAACCTGGCCTTCAAGTTACCTAAATAATATAAGAAGAAAAAAAATGGATTTTAGACTTATTTTTATGGAAATAGAGTTCCCTTTTGTAGCACTCAAATTGTAGTGATTTCTTATTAGAGTGACATTAAACAAAGGCATGTTCCATTTTCAGGAATTGGCTATGTTGAATAATTTATGCCATTGGACTTCATCAAAAACCGAAACATGAATAAAAAGGACATTTAAATCAAAGAGTCTCAAAGATTTCTTTTAGTGTTCTCTCAGCTGTTCTATCCAACTTTTGACTATATTCCATTTCATTCACTTATTTACTATGAGATTGGCGGTTCATTAAGGAAGACATTTTAAGAAACACTTTTAGGACAGAAAAATAAGGATGAAAATGGCAATAAGTTTCTCTATAAGCAAAAGTTTTCTCATATTAGCTTCTCTAAAAGTTGATTTACAATTCATGCATAATGAGTTTATTATGGAGAAATTTATTCCATATTTCCTTCTTATTTTCTTCCCCTACAAGTGTTTATGGACAAAGTTACCCAAACAAACCCTAGGTTATTGTCAATATAAATTCTTTTTTCCTGTAATAAGCATCTGTCTTACTAGATTTTCGTTAGTTGTTTTGCTCTAACTGAAGGATACTGATGATTTGGCATTTGTCCAGCCCTCCAGGCAAGATGAGCATATGTAAACAAAGATGGGAACTAGCAAGCGAGATTACGGAACATTAATTTATGTCCCACCTTGAGGATGAACAGCAGGTCAATGGTGAATCCATTAACTTATTTAGTTTCAATGGTGCCTGTGGAGTTTAGTCCCTTGAGGATAGTGATAGCTGGTTGGAATGATCACGTGTTGAGGACAACGATGTAGGCATATTTCTGTTTGTGCTCATCTCTGTGGCTGAAAGTTCGTATATCTCATTGATATCAAGGTGCGTTATAAACTTGTAATTCAAATGTAGATATCTATTAAATTTTTATTATCCATCTATTATATTTCTTGCAGTGCCTTGTAAAATGTCTAATATACCCATCCAAAAGTCCATTACAATTGCACTGTGCCATTTATCATGCAATAGAAGACATGATTGAGTACAAAATATGGATATTCGATTATTTATTTCAACATCAATTTCAGACTTGAACTTAATGGTGCAAAAACCATAATCGCTTACGTAACATTAAAAACTGTTCATTCGTGTGATTAACACTATTACAGTTGTATATTTAAAATTAAATTATTATAACAAAGGATAGGTTTATTATTACGTTACAATGTAAACTTTCCTCTCTTTTTTTTCTCTTATTTTCAAGCAAATATATATTTTTCATTTTTTTTTTAATTCTAATTAACTGGATACCGAGAACCTCACTTTTTACTCTCTTTTTTCTTTCCTTTTCACTCCCTTACTTTCCATTACCTGATCCAAACAAGGCTTGGAAAAACAAGCATCTAAGGAAAAGCATGCAGCACCGCTGCCATTCTGACCCAATACAGTTAATTCGATGATGTTCTGTTGATATAATTCATTCAAAGTTGAATTTATGCAGTTTTGCATTTTTAGTGTAATTAACAAGTATGATGTTAATGCTATTAATGTACATAATCTGGTATTAATGTCAGTAATCTGCATAATTTCTGGTTACTTGCTTCTATATGCCTTAATACTGTTCTTAGTAGTAAGCTGAAGAAGCACTGCATACTCATCATCTGGTACTGTCCCCAAATCATTTACAGTGATATTTGCGTTCCTTTATAAAAAGTTTGAATGGAAACTAATTTGCTTGTTGATTTCTGATGTGAGGAAGGATTTATTTTCAGTAGAGGCTTTTAGGTATAGGGTGATTTTTTGTGGCTGTCAACAAAAAGTGTTTATTCTTAGTATAAAGATTGACTTGGTTCTAGGTTCAATTTAATTACACAAAAATCACCTTAATCATTTCCATGTTTAATGACAATAAAAAATTCATACAAAATCAACTGATGTAAACACAACAAAATTCTTTCAAGTCCCCACCCAATTAGGTGTTTGGCTCTCACCCACTCTCTTAGTTTTGGTACACTTACTAAAACCCTATCCAAATTGTGCAAGCTAATGCAAAAACATTCTATTTTTATTAAAAATTAAGGAATTAGTACTTCTATGCTAATTTCCTAATTTTCTAAAATTTATTTTCTGAATTGCTAAAATCAAATTTGGTGTGTACACAAAGGTGGTTAAATGGAATTTAAAAAAATGTGTTAGATTTTTAAAATTGATTAGTTCAACCAAAAAGATCCTTAACTACTAGCTCCATAGCATCTATAATTTACATCCTACAAGCATAAAATGCTAGATATGACTAACAATACTAAATATAACTACAAGTGATGAGTAAATTAAGAAAGCATATTACACAATAAAATGATTTAACATCAAAATAGAAACAAGGAAAAGTAAAATAAACTGAAAATTAAACCGTAGAAATTGCAAAATTATGTTACTCAATTTCTTGGAGAGTCTCAGTCTTCTCGATCATCTTCCTCATCATTATCATCTTCCTCATCTCCATTGTCATCATCATCATCTGGTTCTCCTTCTCCTTCAATCTCCCTTTCAGGTTATATAGCTCTATCAAAGAATTGTTTATCCTCCTTAAACTCCTCATGCCCAATCTGTTGTCCTCCATTGGGTCTTTATACAGCACTAGCAGCTCCACTCCTCTTGGAAAAATAGGACTGTCCCTAGGCTATGCAACTATCTGTTGGAACTAGTCAGGTGAAATCCATGGGAACGGCTTGGATGGGTGTTGGTGCTGATGGATACTCACATTCTATAGAATGAGTCATTAAGAGATGTATTGGCCCTGCAGTGAGCTGCCATTTGCTAATATAGATGGTTGAAGTGTGTGGTCATTTTATAGGTAGGGGGGTGGTGGTGCCTTGGGTTTGGGGGTGGCCCTTGTTGTGATAGTGTGTTTCGACATATAATGCATTAACAGGAGGGCGTAAACTTTTTATTAGATAGGTGAGTATCTGTACTCCATTTTCTTTGTATTATCTCGTGATAGAGTCAAAAGAAAACCCAATGGCTTAGTGACATCCCGGGAAGAGGGAGAAGATAGCACAAAATTCTTTTCTTCATTAGAAATGATGTGGCTATATCCACTGATAGCCTATTCCCAATGCAATAGATAAGGATAACTTTATCCATATTCACATCTGAGACATGAGTATTTTTGTTACTGTTAAAAGTCATACATCGCCTACCTCATGTCATTTGGTATGATTTAAATATATGTTAAGTTAATCCACATATTGCCAATTGGTTTTATGTTGGAACCTTAATATGGTATCAGAGCCAAAGCCTAACATCTTTCCGGTTATTGTCATGGGCCAAAAATTGCCCTTTAGTTGGATCAAAAGTACCCTTTGCCTGGTCCGGCAGGCTTCGTTGGAGGGGGTGTGTTGAAAGTCCCACATCGCCTACCTCATGTCATTTGGTATGGTTTAAATACATGTTAAGTTACTCCACATGTTGCCAATTGGTTTTATGTTGGAACCTTAACAATTACATTAACTAGGAGAAAAGTCACCCAAATTTGGGTTAATGTCTTCTTGCTTGAACGGAGTATTTTCACAGCATTCTTAGTGACACCAACTATATATGTGTGACCAGCTATGCATAGATCCCGAGCGATGGTAGTTGGTCTCAGGTTATGGGATTGTGTTAGGCATCTATAGTTGTCCCTATGATGGGATGTGTAGGAATTCTCAAAGTATTCATTGATAATGTCCCTATCATATCTGATGTGGTGATCTCTCACTCAATAGATTCTCTTTGAGTTTGTCTTCACTCGTGGATAAACATTAACATAGAATTCACGGACTATATCTTCATTAATTTTAGTAGATAGTGCTACCAATATGCCCTAATTCCTTCTTCTAATGATCTCTTGAAAGTTCTCATGTTCCTCCTATCCTAACTCTACTCTTCTTTCACACAAAAAATGTTTGGATTTCAGCTCCACATATCGTTGCTACTTGGCCCTATTTAAAATTTTGTGGCAATTTAAAAGGTCCAATAATCCATCTTCTTCTATTGCCTCATGTTCTTCATAAGGTAGATCACGAACTTGAAGCTGAGGCTGTCGCTTTCCTCTTCTTAAAAGCTTAAAGATCATGATTATTGGGCCATTTAGAGAGTCACGAATTTTTCAATAGGGTCAAACAACAATGTATGTGTAGTTGGAAATCATATCTTTTTTGTTTAAAAGAAGATTAAAGTTAGGATAAGGGAACATGAGAACTTGTAGGAAATTATTAAAAAGAAGAATTGGGACATATTAGCAACACCACCTACTAAATTAATGAAGATGTAGTTTGTAAATTTTGTGTTAATGCTTATCCATGGGGGAAGATGCATTCAGAAAATATTTTGGATGAAAGGTCATCGCATCAAATATGATAGGGATGCTATCAATGAATACTTGGAAAAGACCTACACATCCAAAAAAAATATAGACACCAACTACCATTGTTCAAGATCTATGTATAAGCATGTCATACCTATGAAGTTGGTGTCACTGGGAATCATGTGAGAATACTCCATTCGAACATGAAGACATTGGGTCAATTTTCAACAAGCCAATATAATATCAAACACTCATGCCTCGGATGTGAACATAGATAAAGTTGCCCTTATCTATTACATTATGAATAAGTTGTCAATAGATATAGTCAACATTATTTCTATTGAAGTGAAGAAATTTGTCTTATCTTCTCCTTCTTCCTGGGGTGTCACCTAGCCATTAAATTTTCTGGTTACATCACAGGATTGAATGGAGTGTAGATACTCACTCATCCAGTACGAAGTCTATGCCCTCCTATTAATGTTTTATATGTAGAAACTCATAGTTGCAACCCTCTTGATGAGGCACAAGGGCCACCTCCATACCCAAAGCACAACCATACACCTAACCTAACTATCACAATTGATTATTCTAACATACAAGCTTTCATGACCACACAGTTTAGCCATCTACGTCAACAAATAACAGCTCACCATGGGGCCTACACCTCTCTTAATGACGCATTCTATAGAATGAGTATCCATTAACACCAATTGATGAAGCCTTGAGCCCAAAAAAAGAAGACCAAGGGTGTCTTAGGAGGATTATTAGAAGCATGACTAGAAAAGACACCCTTGCATCTCCTAAAACCTTCTCTTTACTTTCCATTTTAATTTCTTAAGCTTAATTTTAATTGGGCTTATTTTCCTTTGTTTTATAGGACTTTCTAAAGGCACCATACCTTGGATAAGCTCACCCCCATCACATTTTGGGCTTTGGAGCTACCAAATACTTGGAGGGGCGCACCCCCCTTCTCTCCCTAAGTGCTGCCACGTTTTTTGCACCTTTTTGGAAGCATCAAGTCCATTTTTGAAGTGTTTTTAGCACCCCTTTGCAGCAGCTCACATCTTTTGCCTTTTAGGAAGGTGTAAACCTAGTTTCTAGACCATTCTTTAGGGTTAATTTACATATAATTTCAGCTGCATTTGATTGTAAGTTGGGGGTCATCCAAGCCTATAAATAAGGTTCCCATTCACCTTGTAAAGGGACTTTTGGATGAGAAAAAAATTAGTGAGAATTTTTCAGCTTGTGTTCCTTACCCTCTCTTAGCCTTATCTTGAGTGTGATTCAAGTGACAGCACTATCACTTATCTTGGGTATCCATCACCCAAGTGGCATGACTCATCTATTGTCATTCCACTTCATTTGGTTCTTATCTCCTTTCCACTTATTCTATGTTATGTTGATTTTTATTTCCATTTGACTATCATGTGTTTGATTAATTGTCCTAACATCATATTTCATTTTCCTCCTCTTGAATTCCATTTGAAATGAACCTTCACATCTAAATAATATCATGTTATCTTAATATCCAGTGGGGATTTTCTTTGGGATTTTTTTCTTTTTCCTCTAAAATCAATCTCATCATCAACTCAAATCATAATCCATAAAAGGGGCCTACATCATTTGGTTCAAGGGAGCACAAAAACAACTAAAAGGCAGCAGAAAGACAATGGTATTAAGCATTAAACATAGGCAAGACAGCAAAGAAACTAGCTTTGATACCAAATGATGTAAGCCCTTTTTATGAATTATGGTTTGAGTTGATGATTAGATTGATTTTAGAGGAAAAAGAAAAAAAACCCCAAAGAAAATTCTCACTGGACATTAAGATAACATGATGTTATCTAGATGTGAAGGTTCATTTCAGATGGGATTCAAGAGGAGGAAAAGGAAATATGATTTTGAGACAATTAATCAAACCCATAGTAGTCAAATGGAAATAAAAATTAACCTACCATAGAATAAGTGGAAAGGAGATAAGAATCAAATGAAATGGAATGATAATGGATGAGTCACACCACTTGGGTGGTGGATACCCAAGATAAGTGGTGGTGTCACCACTTGAATCACACTCAAGATAAGGCTAAGAGAGGGTGAGGAACACAAGCTGAAAAATTCTCACTAATTTTTTTCTCATCCAAAAGTCTCTTTACAAGGTGAATGGAAGCCCTATTTATAGGCTTGGATGACCCCCAAATTACAATCAAATGCAGCTGAAATTACATGTAAATTAACCCTAGAGAATGGTCTAGAAACTAGGTTTACACCTTCCTAAAGGGCTAAAGATATGGGCTGTTGCAAAGGGGTGCTAAAAGCACTTCAAAAATGGGCTTGATGCTTCCAAAAATGTGCAAAAAACGTGGTAGCACTTAGGTAGAGAAGGGGGTGCACCCCTCCAAGTATTTGGTGGCTCTAAAATGTGATGGGGGTGAGGTTATCTAAGGTGTGATACCTTTAGAAAGTCCTATAAAACAAAGGAAAATAAGCCCAATTAAAATGGAAAGTAAAGAGAGGGTTTTAGGAGATGTAAGGGTGTCTTTTCTAGTCATGTTTCTAGTAATCCTCCTAAGACACCCTTGGTCTTCTTTTTTTTGGGCTCAAGGCTTCATCACCAATACTTATCCGAATCGTTCTTATGGATCTCACCTAGCCAGTTCCAGCAAATAGTTGTTTGGCCTAGGGATAATCTATTTTCCTAGGAAGGGTGGAGTTGTCATTGTTGTAGGAGGAAAACAAACTAGTAGGCATGAGAAGACAAAGGAGGAGGATGAATAATTCTTTGACAGTTCTACAATCAAAAGGAAGGCTAAAGGCCTCCATGAAACTCAGGGACATAATTTTTACAATTTTTGCGGTTTAATTTTCAGTCTATTTTACTTTTTCTTATTCCTATTTTGATGTTAAATTCTTTTATTGTATAATATACTTTCTTAATTATACTTGACATTTGTAGTTATATTTAGTATTCTTAGTTATATCTAGCAATTTATGTTTGTAGAATATAAATTATAAATGCTATAGACTAGTACTTAACGATATTTTGGGTTGAATTAATAAATTTTAAAAATATAACACATCTTTTCAAGTTTTGTTTAGCCACCCATTTGTGTATAGACTTTTAGGGATTAAGTGAAAAAAAAAATTGGAAAAAGATTTTTAGGGATTAAGTGAAAAAAATAAAATTGGAAAAACAATTACTTGATTGGAAATAAAAGGAACACCAATTTTAATTTTAGCAATTCAGAAAACAAATTTTGAGAAGCTAAGAAATCAACAGAGAAGTGATCATCCCTTATTTTTCAATAAAAATAGAATGTTTTGGTATTAACTTGGACAAGTTGGACAGAGTTTCAATAAGTGAGAGAATCTTGTTGTATTTACATCTAAGTTGAGAGTGGGTGAGAGTTAAACACCTAAGTTGAGAGAATTTTGATGTATTTACATCAGCTAATTTTATATAAATTTCTTTATTGTCATAAAGCATGAAGACAATTTTAGTGTAATTAAATTGAACCTAAAGTAAAAAAGTCAATGTATATATTAAGAATTAACACTTTTTATTCGCAGTTACAGAAAATCAGATTACATTCAAATGCCTCTATTAGAAATAAATTCTTCCTCACATCAAAGGAGCAAGCATTAGGTGTGTGATAATTGCAAATTATTGATTGTGAATGCAAACTACAAAACACGAATTAATAAATCTAAAAAAAAAAAAAAAATAAAGAAGTGAAGGAATCATTGTTCTGTAGTACATGGCAAATTACAGACACAGGTGACAAGATATCAAGAGACTAAGGAAATCAGAGTGACAAAATTGGAAATAATACAAATGTTCTCTCTTTTGATGGTCTACTTTGTGAATCGGAAAAACAAATTTTCTTGAAAGTCTAACCATATTACAAGACCCATGTTGATTATGTTACATGATTTGATTGAAAATGAAATACAAAATTAAGTTGTAGTAACCAGTAAAGACTGATCAGAGAAACACTCACTTAGAGAGTTATATTATCTTAGAATTAGAGAAAACTACCTTGGAATAAGGACATTGTTTTTCTGTTATCCTGTTTGTGTCATAAAATACATTTGTATCCTATTGTTATTTGAGAAAAAGGATGTCATTAATCGTTGATAACTAATCAACATCGAATTGAAGGTTTTGTTGACGTTAATGAATTTTATTTTTTTAATCATACTTTATTTGAGGGCAAACAAAGTTCTTAGTTGGAGGAGTTAATAAATGACAAATATTTATGTTTTTACCTTTTACACTTATTTTATTTAATTATAAGGAAATTAGTTGTTAAAAATTTTAGTAACTTTTAATTTGCACATTGTGAGTTTTGAAGAATTGACTGGTAAATTAGTACAAGTTTTTGTTAAATGCAGGTAAAATTCAATAAATTGCTGTACTGCACAAACAGCCAAATAGGGATGGCAATTAAACTCTGTACCGTGGGGACCGACCCGTCCCCGCCCGAGTTTGATGGGGAAACCCCGAGTTGATCGGGGACGGGGTCGGGTTCGGGTTTCTCCGCTTTAAAAGTCGGGCGGGGCGGAGATGGGTAATGCAATCCCCACCCAGACCTCGCCCCGTCCTCGTCCCGACTTTATATTTAAATTTAAATTTTAAAATATTAATATTTTAAAAGTATTTCATTTTCTTTTTCTATTACATATAAGATTATTTTTTTTATATTTCACCAATTTTTATTAATCTTCTACCCACTTTTTAATTTTTTTTATCTTTCTCAATCTTTTATATCAATTAATTTATTATATTATTCTCTCCCTTATCTTTCAGTTTTTCACATTTTCTTAGTCTTTCCCATCAATTTGTTTTTTTTTTCAATCTTTTCAACCAATTTGATGAACACAAAGTTAATCTTTTTTCTTTATCTTTTTCTAAATATTTTACATCAATCTTAGTAGTAACTAATATTAGTTTATTTATAATTTATATTTATTATGCCATATTTTTTTATCTTATTATGCTTATTTATCATATATCAAATTTTATCTTAATAAAATAATTGCATTTTAAAGGATTAAAAGAAATTAATAATTTAAACTTTTATTACTTCAAACTAATTAAATAAGAATTAACTTATTAAATATTTTCTTATAAACTATATATTGACAACTTAAAAATGAATTAACTTATATGTATAATTAAATATTTGAATACGAGTATTATAATAATAATGTTATAAATATTCAAATATTTGAATACGGTGTTATAATAATAATAATAATAATAATGTTATAAATATTATATATATATATATATAAATAAAAAATAATTAAATATTTCTTTTACATGTATATTTTAATATAAATATAATAAATTAAAATGTATATTTAATTAATAATAACTATAAATTATAAATATTTATTTATATATAAAAATATATAGTAAAATTAATTTATTATAAATATAATTATCTTTTTAAAAATAATATAAATTGGGGACGGAGCGGGGTGGGGAACCCGAAACCTAACGGGACGGGGATGGGGACTTAATTCCTAACCCGCGGGGATCGGGGATGGGGACGGGGACGGGGATGGTTAAAAAAGTCGGGGCGGAAACATGTAGTCAAAACCCGCCCGTTGCCATGCCTACGGCCAAAGCTTTAAGCGATAAAAAACTTCTTAGAAATCTTTCATTCGACAAGTGAACCAAGTCAATTACAGGATAAGCTGTGAAAGGGATTCTCGTATCATGAGACTTGACTAATATCATATAATTCTAATTTTCATTCAATTAAAACTTTGAGCATTGAAATAATTGTGTAAAACAAATTGATGAATTCAGAAAATTGTGCATAAATAAAATTCAATGAAATAAATTATTGAATTAAATTTGATTGATACTCACTCCACAATCTATTATCTATATGTGCATATCTTTAAATAAAGATTGATTTGATTTATTTAATTCAAGTTAAACAGAAATCATTTTTCAATATAAATTTATTTCTAGAATCATAAAATTAGATTCCTCTACATCAGAGATTAAAAACAAAATCAAATTAATAATTGAAGAAAGAAATTCATATATATATATATATATATATATATATATATATATATATATATATAATTAAGTTATAAGTTACACATGATAAGAGAAGAAAAATCCTAATTCTACAAAGGTGAACTCTAATTTATCCGTTATCTAGTTCTTCAATTTCGCGTTGTTCTTCTCGCCTCCGTATCAATTCTTCTTCTTCTTTTTCTTCAATTCTTCTATTTTTAATCATTCATTCAGCGACGTGTAATTTGCTCAATTTACACTGAAATACTTCAATTAGTTCGGAACCTCTATTATTCGCTGAGAGCTTTTGCTCTCTTGGGGAGTCATTCTTTTTTGTCGCGAATTCATTCAGCGAATTACCTTGTTTCTCGCCGAATACTTCTCAAAAATTATTTATAACTTTGGTTCTTTGCTTTTGCACTTTTGGTCTCCCAAATTGGAAACTGTCTAATAGATTGTTCTGACTCACCTTTGGATTCGCTTCGTGGATGATAAACCATTGAGTTGTTTAACTCTTTGTATAGTACTGCAATCTATTAAATTTTATCTGCATTTAATAAAAGACTCACAGGAATTTACTTATGAACTCTTTAAAACTCACACTATACATCATTAAAAGTTATTAAAAGTTTTAACAATTACGTTCTTTACAATTACATAAAATAAGTGTGATAAATAAAAATTAATACACGAAGATGTTACCGTTAATCATTTCTAAATTGATGTTCAATTACACATCAAACTTAGCATTCATGTGTTTCTGATCCTCGCATTCTTTACAGAAAGGTTACAGGATTTATTAGGATGTTAGGAATGCTGTGCAAAATCAACTAGAGGCCTAATTGTTGTCAAAGTCCAATAAAGATGTTGCTGTGATAGAGAATATCAAGGATGAGTCCAAATTCAAACATATCAACAAAAGACCCAAAGATTGGGATAATTATGTACATTAGTTGATATGTTAATTTGTCAATAGGATTCATTCTAGAAGGAGTTTGTTAGGGGAAGATTTTATTCTGCTTCTTTATTTTTACTATTAGCACTTTTCTGTTATTGCTTTCGGCACTTACATGATGATTTTCATAAACTTGATGTACCCCGTTTCGATGTTGGATAGATTTTTAAAATCTCTCAATTTTTCTCTTACCATAAAACTGTAGAACACGAACGACTCATTATTGCTTCCTTTTATTTGGATGGTCAACCGCTAGCCTGGTACCAATGGATGTTCAACAACCATCAATTAATTTTGTGGTCTCAGTTTCTGCGTGCCCTTGAGCAGCGATTTGCTCCTACATCCTACGATGATCTTCGCGATAAACTTTTCAAACTCACACAAACTTCGTCAGTTGCCGATTACTTGTCAGAGTTTGAAAGCATTGCAAATCGAATTGAAGGCCTTCCATCTCCTTTTATATTGAGCTGTTTTGTTTCCGGATTGAAAGCGACAATCCAGCGGGAAGTTCTTGCTCATCAACCCGTTTCTTTAACCCAAGCCATCGGTTTGGCTCGTTTGCACGAAGATAAGGTTCAATCTCTTCCGCAAGTAATCCACGTCCAATTTCACAATGGTCGGTGGTTTCTCGCACCACTACTCAACATACACCGAAACAACCAACACTTCCCAAATCGTTTCCGTCGTTATTGCCCGCTCCTCAGCAAAAGTCCGTTATAAGCAATTAACAAAAACTGAAATGGATGAAAAAAGAGAAAAGGGTCTTTGTTTTAATTGTGACCAGCAATACTCCCAAAATCATTGTTGCCCAGCGAAGTATTTTCTTTTGGTTACTTTCGAGGAGAAACCCGATGAAACTTCTGGTGACCTTATCAGTGCCCAAGACAACTTTTCATTCCATGACCCTGGACCTTCTGATTTTGTTTTAATAAAGACACCCCAGGCCCAACTGAGCCTTAATGCCTTGTCCGGATTGGGTCATCCGAAAACATTCTGAATTAAGGGACAAATTGAGACCCAGAAGATGGAGGTGTTAGTAGATGGTGGAAGCACCCATAACTTCATCCAGAGTGGGGTGGTACACCGCTTGGGCATCCTTCCCAGCCCTATTGCCCCTTTGAAGGTGTTGGTGGAGAGCGGCGAAGAATTATTATGTTCCTCTATTTGCCAACTAGTTAACGTAATGATACAAGGGCACTATTCTCTCTGGATCTCCACGTTTTGGACATGGGTGGTTCCAAAGTATTATTGGGAGCCCAATGGCTCAAGAAAATGGGGCCAGTCTTGATTGATTATGAGAAGATGACTATGAAGTTTGTGCATAATGCCAAGTTAGTGGAATTACGTGGAGATACCTACTCATGACCAACTCCTATTTCCTTACACCAGCTCTCTCAATTGGCTTCTTCCAGCACCGAAGCCCAATTTTTCTCCCTTACGTTGTTAGGGCCTTTTCAGTCATCCACCCAAGTTTCTACTCAATTACTTGACCCGAGGCTCCATTCTCTTCTTGAGGAATTTCCTGCACTTTTCACTGAACCTTCTGAGTTGCCACCAATGCGGCCAAAGTCATTCCCCTCATCTCAGGTGCCGCTTCGGTGAATGTACGACCCTACCGTTATGCGCACTCTCAAAAGCACGAAATCGAATGCCAAGTTCAAAAGTTGTTGTCCAATGGATGGATTCGGCCAATCACGTCCATTGTATCCTCTCTTGTGCTCTTGCTCAGAAAGAAAAGTTGTGATTGGCGTATGTGCGTTGATTATCGCGCTTTGAACGCGATCACAGTGAAGGACAAATTTCCTTTACTCACTATTGAGGAGCTTCTCGACGAATTGGGATCTGCTATTTGTTTTTCGAAGTTGAATTTGGCTTCTAGGTTTCACCAGATCAGGTTGCAAGCAGACGATGTAGCCAAAACTGAATTTCACACACATGATGCACATTATGAGTATCTTGTAATACCGTTTGGCTTGTGTAATGCTTCGACGACGTTCCAAGCGACGATGAATGATGTCTTTCACCCTTTATTGCAGAGATTTATTATCGTCTTCTTCAACGATATACTGGTTTTCAGCTCTTCCATGGAACAACACCTCCAACACTTGCGTGAGGTATTTTCACTCCTTTCTAAACATCATTTTCACTTACAACCCTCGAAATGTTGTTTTTGTTAGGATACTATAGAATACCTTGGGCATATTGTGAGTGTTGGTCGTGTCTCTCCAAACCCATCGAAGGTTTCTACTATTTTGGCTTGGCCTCTACCCAAAAACATCAAGGAATTGCGTGGATTTCTTGGTTTTACAGGCTTCTATCGTAAATTTGTCCGTGGTTACATCACCATAGCTCAACCAATGACTGAATTACTCCGGAAAGATAATTTCCATTGGAATTCTAGCGCTATTGTTGCATTTGAAGCTCTCAAAACCACAATGATTTCTGCACCAGTACTTTCCCTTCCAAATTTTTCTCTGCCTTTTGTGGTTCAGACAGACGCTTCTGGAGTAGCAATGGGAGCGGTTTTTTTACAATTTGATCATCCAGTGGCATATTTTAGCAAAAACTTTTGCCCGCAAATGATACAGGTTTCAACTTACATCCGGGAATTACACGCCATTACTAGCGTCGTAAAAAGATGGTGGCAACACTTATTGGGACTTTTTTCGCAATACAAACGGATCAGCGAAGTTTGAAGGAAATATTGACACACGTGATACAAACGCCAGAGCAGCAATTCTATTTGGCTAAATTACTCAGCTATCATTACGATATTCAGTACAAACCTAGAAAAACCAATATAGTTGTTGATGCCCTTTCAAGGTCTATTGTGCCTACCACACCCTTTCATTTGTCCTCACCATACCACAATTCAATTTCCTTGAGGCGTTGAAATTGGAATGCCAATTAGATCCCCAATTTGCAACTCTTCAACATTCATTGGCTACTGACCCAACATCTCTTCCTGGGTTTAGCACACTAAATGGCTTTCTCATTTTTCAAGGCCGCATTTGGATTCCTACTACTTCTAAATTTATGTCCCTACTCCTTAAGGAATTTCATGAAACTCCAATGGGTGGACATGCTGGTGTCAGAAAATCGTTAAAAAGGCTAAGTGGAAATTTCTACTGGGAAAATATGGCCAAGGATGTCATGCAGTTTGTCTCCCATTGTGTCATTTACCAGCAAGTAAAATACAGTACTAAGCGTCGGGGTGGGTTGGTTCATCCTCTCCCTATTCCTACGCAAGTCTCCCTATTCATACGCAAGTCTGGGAGGACATTTCCATGGATTTTATCACAGGGTTGCCTCCTTCTCACGACTATACTGTTCTTTTGGTCATTGTGGATCGCTATTCAAAGGGAGTCCATTTAGGAGCACTTCCATCACAATTTACCACCTACAAAGTTGTTGAGTTGTTTGTTTCAATCTATTGTCATCATCATGGCCTTCTTAATAGCATTGTTTCGGATAGAGATCCTATTTTCATCAGTCGATTTTGGTCAGAACTGTTCAAGTTCAGTGGTACCTTGCTTCGCATGAGTTCTTCGTATCACCCACAAACTGAGGAGCAGACATAGGTGATGAATCATTCCATTGAATAGTACTTGCGTGCATTTACTCATCATAAGCCTTCTCTTTGGTTTAAATACCTCTCTTGGGTGGAGTACCATTATAATACTTCGGTGCACTCTGGTACTGATCTTTCACCATTCCAAGTCATATATGGCCGCTTGTCACCTTCCATTCCATCTTATGTGGCAGGTTCATCCTCCATTATTGCTTGTGACTCTTTGTTGTCTTCAAGGGAAGAAATTTCTACATTCCATCATCGTAACCTTGAGGCGGCTCAACAGAGGATGAAACTAAATTCTGATAAAAGGCGTCGTGATATTCAATTTGCTGTGGGTGATTGGGTATATCTCAAATTGCAGTCGTACCGCCAGGTTTTCTTGTCAGGAGAGAAGTTCACTAAGTTAAGCAAGAGGTATTATGGATCCTATCGCATTCTAGAGCGCATTGGCCTTGTTGCTTATTGTCTTGAGCTGCCTTCTCATTCTAAAATCCATGATGTTTTTCATTGTTCATTGTTAAAGTATCATCATGGCGTTCCTCTTGCTATTATTAATGAATTACCTCCTAATTCCACTGAACATCACCACACCCTTTGATTACTCCTTTGGCTATACTAATTTTCAAAACAGTTCCCATAGACGACAAACTCACTATCTTCACTCTGGTGCAATGGCTAGGCTTATCTCCTGATGACACATCTTGGGAACTTTGGAAGAACATTAGCGAAGTTTATCACCTTGAGGACAAGGTGTTTCTTGATGAGGGAGGTATGTTAGGAATATTGTCCAAAATCAACCAGACACCTAATTGTTGTCAAAGCCAATGAAGATCTTGTTGAGATAGAGAATGTCAGAGGCCCAATTGCTATCAAAGCCCAATAAAAATGTTGCGGAGATAGAGAATGTCAAGGATGAGTCTAAATCCAAATACATCAAAGACCCAAAGATTGGAATTATATGCATTAGCTAATGTGTTAATAAAATTTATTTTAAAAGGAGTTTGTTAGGAAAAGATTTTATTCGAAGTTTTATTTTTACCATTAACACTTTTTTATTATTATTTTCAATATTTACATGATAGGAAAGAAGGGAATAAGTGAGAAAATTTTATGTCAATCTTTTCTTTATTAGTCCTTGCTTACGAGAGATTCTATTCCTTTTATCATAGACACATGAAAAAAATTTACTCAATAGGTGAAGAAAAAGAAAAAACTTGTACAAACATTCTCATTATATTTGATTTGATTGATTGATTGATTGATTGTTGGGACTTCATTTATGCGATAAACTTTTACACAAAACCTCCCCCATGCCATAATCAATTCTTGATTTACGATGGATTTTCTAATTTCTGAACGCAAGGTGTCTAGTCTACTCAGTGCACGTTCTGTTGACGATAAGCTATAGAGTATCGCACGTTTTCTTCACGATAAGTATCGTCGATATTTCAATTTACTTCACTTCACGCATTGTGTCGAATATTTATTCTATACTTCACTGGTATCAATGAAAAATTCAAATCTTTAAATTATTTATATTCAATAAAAAAACGTATCTATAAAATAGAAAGACATAAATATTAATTTTTATAAACTTATGAAATATTTTAAAAAATAATGAGAATGAAAATCTTATTCATATATAAATAACAGAAAATATTTTATAATAATGATTATTTATATTTTTTATTTTTATTGATTTAAAATTTAGACCTACATGATGATAGCTTTATAATTATTATATTTCACGAAATTTTTTATATTTTTAAGATACGTATCCTACTGTTTTAAGATTAACGGATACGAAGAGTATTTAATACTCGTATAGTATCCATACATATCTCAAATTTGAATGAGTTTGGGTTCAAATCTACGAAACTGTTTACATAAATGTAGCTATTATAGTTTCTTCCAAAAAGATAACGCATGTAGAAGTTGCGCAACTCACCTCAAAAGTTTAACATGACAAGAAATTTTGCTGTGGTGTATAAAGTTAGAATTTAGCTGGGTAATATTTGAATATTGTATTATATGGAGTAACAACTTAACCATTCCGATTCTTCAATTCAAGATTGTCAAAAGTGCCATTCTTTTTTATAAATATCACTACACCATTGTACCTGTCCTCAATTGCATCTTTACACCACAGAAATTACTCTGCTTTTGCCAAAAAGCCAAAAACAGCTGCAAGATCATCTTTTGAGCCATTTTCTTGCTGATACCATTGCTTGACAAATCCCACAACCGCTATGAGCTATCGCCAATTACAGGGTCAATAAAATCACAACAAAATAGCACCATGGTAGATAGTAACAAACAATGCCATGTTACCCTCTCCTAACACTAGGTTTCACTTGTGTCAAACACACACAAAACATTTAGGTTCAAATTTCAGGAGGGAGAAAGTAAGAATGTCTTCAAGTGTTTGATTTTTTTGAGACAAACTTGTGCCCTCTCAAGAACCAAATCAACCCTATTTTTCCTCTTGTTCTTCCTGCTTGAGGAGTGCTTTATTGTGTCATTCTTGGGAGTTTCATGCTCAGAACTTCCACTAATCTCCTCCTCCATCCCTACTCTGTCTGCCGAAGTAAGTTTTAAAGTATAGTTACTCCTCTTCCTTTGCTCCTCCAAACTGGTGGATTCTGTTTCACATAAAAGACAAAACATCTCAAAAACCATGTATGTCTCTTGGCATGACAAAGAACATAAAAAAAGAAAAAGTAAAGAAAACCTTCAGTATCAAAGAAAACATGGTGGGTGTTGCAGTAATTATTTTCTGGAAGCTGTTCAGAATCCAGGTGCTTGGTCTGGAGTTGAAAGATTAACGACTTGAGCTCATGCTTTAGATACTCATGTTGGTTAGGATATTGGGCTTCAAGCAGCTCCAACTCTTCCTTTGCCTGTTCTTCCATCCTGCTTCCTTTCCCTTCATTCCAAACCATCACTTCATAGTTTATGCTTGCTGGGTTCATTCCTTCATATCAAGAGCTTCCTTTTTAACTTTCTCTCTCAGACTCTGCCACTCCCTTCTACCACTGACGGATGAAAAGACTGAGTTGGTGAGATTAAAGTTTTCGTGTTTGTCTTTATATTTTGTTTAATCTAATCCATTATTAATAATGTTAAGATCATGTGAAAAAATAAAAGATGGTAATTTTCCTCCATCATTTAGTCTTTTTTTTCAAAATTTTTTATGAAAATCAATTAATTTAACTCCTACACCATATTTTTCTACAGAACTCCTATAATAATAAATACTGTATTATTGATTTTCAGTTAAATTATTCATTTAATTGTTATATTGAAATAAATTTTATCTTAAAATTTCTACACCTAAACATCATTTTTTAAAACTTTCATATATATTATTTGTAATCTGTATTGTTTCCTTTAAATATAGTAGTAGCAGCATTATTTGGCAACAGAAGGCAGAAAACCTGGAAAACAGCATTGTTGGGTTTTGGGAAGGTGGAAAGTTATGTCGGCTTCTGTTGGGTTTCCAAAGCTACTCATTTTATTTATTGATGAATTTGTGTGGTGGGAATGGAATAGTTTATAAGTGGCAGTGTCCTTCCTGCAAAATATTATCTCTTTTCAGGAAACCTTGGACCGCGTGTGCGCATTGAAAACTCTTTTATTCACAGGAATGTTCCAAATTGTTGTCTAATGGGTCTCTCTGTCGCTTTAAGTCCTACGTTCAATTTAAAAAATATACATATTTGGCAATAGTTTCTAATGTTCAAGATAATATAATTACCTTTATAAACTATATTTTTTAATCAATTTATTCATATTTAACGTAATCTTTTTACTTTTCTAATAACTAAATTGATTATTTAATCTATATGTATTTTAGGTATTTTAGTTATTAGGGTGAGTCAACTTAATTTATACGAACATTAAAAATAAGGTGAATTTAATTTATGTTTTAGTGAATGATTTTATAATCCAATTCAATCCACCGTAAATTTGGGACTTATAAAGATTAAACAAATACTTTTTTGAGATAAAATTCTTGTAAGAAACTCAAAATATACCTTACTAAAATTAGTTTACTAAAAATTTTATTCTAACAATATAATACAAATTTACATTAAAAAAGATATAGAAGACAAATAATTTCTCCTAAAAAAAAAAAAGCGCATTACACTTCTTCTATCATTATAAAAAATAATAACAATAAATTGTATAAATACTCCACCATCTCCATCATTCCTCACCCTATTTTTTTTTCTCTATACCTCAATTGTTTTCTTATATACTTCATCTCCTCAAACGATATAAAATAGGTCAAAAATAAATTATTACCTCTCATACTTATATTATCTTCTTTTGAGCTCCAACACTATACTATTATAGTAAAAGAAATGGAATTGAGTTATTTCTATATTAATCTTAATAAACTTATATATCATTTAATAAATTTTTATTTATGTATTCTTTTTCATTTTTTTGTTTCTGGTTTTTATCTTATTTCCCGTGATACTGGTCGTTTATTTTGTGTTTATGTTATTTAATTTATTCTCAGTGATATAGTAATCTTTTTATTTTATATTTTTACTATTTAATTTATTTTATAGTAATATACTCATATATTTTATTCTTTATCATCTTTTAAACTTTGATTCAACTTGTTATGTTTAATGCATTTTTTATCCTTAAAATTTTCTCTCTCGAAACAAATTTTGTCATGTTTTTAACTTCCATCCTTTTATTATGCTGCAATAAAATCATGCCGCTGATTTTTTTTCGAAGACTGCTTGCATAAGTTGTTTAGAAATAAAAAATAAATATTATTTTATTACAAATCAATATTTAAAAATAGAGAAAATTATTTAAAATTAAAAAACTATTTAGTAATAACAAATTTATTTTTTTAATTTATATTTTTAAGATCATAGTAAAATAATGTTGTTACAAGATTTACTTTCAGCTTCCCATACCAACTAATTTTCGAAGAATTAAAAATTTGATTTTCAATCACAATAATTATAACCAGAGAATTGTGTTTCTTTAATCTTATTAGGTTTTTCTAACCTCTTTACATTGGTTGGGGAAAATACAGTGAGTGAGAGGAAATATTTTATGAAGTTTTGATGTTTGATTCAGTTTTTTGAATGGGAGAAGATAGCAGTATACTTTGATTAACTTTATATTTTATTCTATTGATAAAAAAAATGCTATTACGTGCTTTAACATATTGATTAAAGAAATAAAAGTGAAAAATTAAAAGAAAGGTTATTCGCACACCTCTATCGTAACCTGCTCATGCCACTAACATCACAGCTATAACAAAAGTGATGAAATTTTCACTTTTTAAAGATATGAAATTGGTTTTCATTATTAAGACAAAATAACATTGCATACATGCAAATTGTACAGAAACCCTTCATAAAATAAACAAATAAATCAGGTATGATCCATAAACACTAATTAACATCTAAACTCCAGATAGATTTGAATGAGGGGATAATATTTATTTAAAAAGAGCTACAACTAATGTATAACTTTAACCAAAATTGTACTAATTTGAAAACTTTATTTTTTATATTCACTCCCTTAACAACTCTTTTGTAAAATATAATAATAATAATAATAATAATAATAATAATTTTTTATATTACATTATTATTATATTATAAAAAAGTTGTTGAGGATTTGTCCATGACAAAAAAGTTCTCAATGTATTATTACTAAAAAAAGTTAAAAAAATCAATGCAGTAATCTCACGATTCTAGAAGTGCATCCACCTTATTATTTTGTGCTCTGGACAAAAATTTCATGCAGATAGGTGGCTTCACTCCTGCCAAAGCTAAAAACGAGCTAGGAAGTGTCCAAATTCCTTCCCCACAAATCAAACCAGAAGCCACAGCTGATCCAAACGTATCAGCATCAAACTTGTCAAGCTTGCGCCAAATAAACAAGATCAAGCTGCCAAGACACATATCAATGGCAAAATAACTTCCAATGTAAAAAGGTATTGCCATAGCCATAGGAACAGGAATAAATTTGGCCCTCTCTTTTCCAACCAAGTCTCTTACAAGATTTATAACTATTGCCCCTCCAAAGAATCCACAACAAAGGACCAGACAATATTGTGGAAGAGCTGAGACGCCATCTACTCCCAGTATTGCCATGTTCCGATAAACAATAGCATAAGGGGCAGGATATGCTGAGTCAGCAACCCCAAGGTTGCCAAAGGCCTTATAAAAAAGCCAGAAAACACAAGGAGATATAACACAACCAATGGCAGTTCCAAAAACTTGGCTCACAAACATTGACCTTGGTGAAGCCATTGTCATGTAGCCTGTTTTGAAGTCCTGCATTAGATCAGAGGCTGTGGATACAATATTCATCATTACCCCACATGCAGCCAAACCAGCTATAACACCACCATGAGAAGCCCCTGCCCAAGCACCAATAGTGAAGATTGCTAATTTTCCATATGTGGATGCAAGCGACCAGTCTGTTAGTCCACACCCATAGGCATTACAAAATGCCAGCGCTGGTGCAATCACGTAGATCGCAAGAATAAAGTACCACTTGAGTTGGTGGAAAATGATGGGAACAACGACAATTGAGATTACTGCAATAATAACGTAGCCAATAATAGAAAACCAAACAGGAATTTGGTCTCTGAGGAACATGTCAGTTCTGCACTTATCATCGTATGAGAGTGATGAACATGAGTCAGGACCACTGGATGATGTCCCTATCTTCTTTTTGCAGAATTGCTTATACAAACCAATAAAAGTGCGACCAAGAACTTTGACAAAGTTGTATAGACCGTCACCAAGAATCATTGCTATAGCTATGAAAACCTTCAGTTAGAGAATACATTATCAAGACCAATCAACTAAAATATGTTCCTAAATTAGCTTCAATATTATTCAGAGAAAAATAGTTCATTATGTTGTATTGTGTCATATTGATACTATGTCTGTCAATTCCATCTAAGTTTTTGATATGTTGTGCCAAAGCAATAATGCATGTTATACTTCTCATTAATATGTTTAATCAAATAATCATTTTGATTCTGTAACAACTTGACAAAAAATTTATTAAAAAGTTATATCACAGTTAAATTTATTCTTCGGTATACTATATCTTGACGTAATATTGTCCTTATACCTATTGTTTGATCACAAAAAGCTTAAGTTTTGATATTTTTAAATGTTGAAAGAAAACTTACTTTGTAACCTTGAAGGCCATGCAAGCTGCTTGGCTTGAGGTCTGCAGAGTACCAATCTCCTTTTCTAGCATCAATGAGAGGCCACATGATGCCCCAAGACAGAATTCCACCAATCAAAAGGGATACATTTATTATATATGGACATATCATCCCCACACCCACATATGTAGTCGAAAAGTCAAAGAAGAACCTGTTATGTAGATAAACAAATTGTAAACTAAAATACATATATAAAACTATAAACAAATAATTCATCATACTTTTGATTGGTTCATTATTAAAGTAAAAAAGGTAAGTTAGCATTTGAGTTTCTTTGAGTCAACGTTGAATAACTAGCACTCATTATTAAATATAAAACATTATAATGGAAAGAGGAAAAATTAGTATCCTTAGAAAATAGAAGTATTGCATTCAATTTCCTATTTTATTTCATTAAAAAGAAATTTGTAGTCACATACTTGTTTTTGTAGGCTTCAAGACCAAATGTAGGGAAGCTGTTAAAGCCACAACCATCACTAGCAGTGTAAAACCACTGGAAGAAACCCCACAAGAAGCTAAAGGAGAAGTACTTTCCCAGCACCCGTACTTGTTTCCTAGAAAAGGAAAGAGTTAATTGGAAATTAAAAACATCTTATTGATTCATTTATATAATGAAAAAGAAGGTTCTACAATAACAAGGCCTGAATTCTCACTTAGCTAGTTTGGCACCCTCTGCTGTATGGAAACTGTTGATAAGATGCGCTGTTGCAGTACCACTAGGATATGTCAACTGGAAGTCTACAATCATAATCTAACAAAAAAAAAAAACTCAATTCAACATGCATAGAAAGTTCTATGCCACAAAAGAAATTTTACAACTAGACATTGAAATTATAACCTTATCCTACATTTGCATTGATGCTGGTTATAATTATTAAGTGGTGTTGTTCATTACTTGATGCCCTTAGATTAGTGTACCTTCCTAAGTGGAACCACTGAAAAGAGGCCCAAAAAGCTAACAACAGAAACAAATGCTATCATCCATCCTAAACTTGGGTCCTTAATATCCTGTGACCTGTTAGCTTCAGGAGATTGGTTTGCTATTTCTGAACTCATTCCAAAGATATAGCTACCAAAACCACCTGTCAAGCAAATCTTATCAAAGAAGTGTCAGCAGCAAAGAAGGTTTATTCCATCGGAATTGCAGTTAGTTGTTAAAGCATTGACCATAATTTCAACTTACTATATTACTTCTCAAAAATGAAAAGCCTAGAACATGTATAACTATTATACCACTCTACTTTACAGATCTATTTTATTATTCAACAAACTGAAAAAAAAAAAAAGTGTTTACAAATGATAAGGAGATGTTGTGAACTTCATATCAGCATAGCTGTGCATGCAAAATTTAAATAGAAGAAAGTTATATATATATATATATATATATATATATATATATATATATATATATATATATATATATATATATATATATATATATATATTATTGACATCATTAAGCATTTGATTCATCATAGAAAACTTCAAAGGAAGCGGTCACAAGGACAATTAACGATGTTTACATGAAATTTATAAAGGATCATTCATTCCAAGGAAGAGTCACATTTCTTACTACCTTACTGCTATTTCAAAATCTTGAAATTGCACTGGAGCAACAACATAGATCATGTTCAACTCGACAGCATTCTTTATTCCCGAGTGTAAGATAATAAAAAATAGTTTGAACGAAGTTTTCTATGAACATATTCAAGAGAGAAAAAATATAATAAACTTCTTTACCAACTAATAAATTTAGATTAATTATTTGAAGAACTAATATGAATGAGAGTCTTGCATTAACTAGTAAACTAAAACTAATATAAAAATTTAAAGCATAGAAAAAAGTTGAGAGATAAATTATGAATAGAGATTACCACTAAAAGCAATGCCACCAGCTGCAACAACACATGTCTGAATAACAGTGTTCTCTTGACGAGTGAATGGCTGATTGAGCAATCCCAATTTGGAGAGCACATTGGTCCACATCTTCACAAAGAAGAACCCTAACAACCCTGCCGATATGTTTAGCGAGGGAATAATCCCCGTTGTTAAATTGAGTTTCATGACAATGAATGTGAACAACACTGCCAACACCACACTCACCACCATTGCTCTCAAGGTGATCTGCTTCTCCCATCGAGGCACCACCTTTCCCTCAAACGCCTTCTCCACGGATGCGTCTTCAATCTCCATCTCACGCATTTTCCAATCTCTGTAACTCTCTCTCCCTCTCCACTGTCACTTTTATTGCCTTCTAATTCTAATATTGGCATTTTCTTTTTTGTTGGATTATTTATTACAATAATTCCAAGGGGAGGTTTTCCATACTTTGTTGAAATCGCAAGGCACATCTCTTCCTACCTTCACTCCCATCCCAAGACCTTCCTTGCATCTCACATGGCTTAAGCCTCCCTTTGACCTTCTCATTCCCTCTATTTTCATTTTCTCCAACAATCTCAAATTTTAAATATATAGATTTATACAGAGATTTATAACATCTCCCACTGTTTTTCTGTAATTTAATTGTCTTCACCATTAGGTTTAGGTTAGAGAAAAATAAATGATGTGATCAAGTGAGAAAATCTGAAACTTACTCCATCATCTCCAATAAAAATAATTCTTTTTCTCTTCTAAAATATAAATCTATTATATAACATAATTTATTAAACAATTCATTATTCATTTTAGTCTAACAGAAAATCTCTTCAAAATTATAAAGAACTTATTTTCTATTATTTTCGTTGTTTACTTTATTTTTACTATAAATTAAATTTAGACAACTTATGCTATAATTCTTTTAATAAAAAATTATTTTAAGTAATTAAAATTTTAGTTAAGAAAAAATTTTCTAAATATTTTTCATAACAAAAGTAAATTATTTTTTATATATATGATATCTATTTATTAAAAAATTACTATTTATTTTAATCTAATACTAGTATTATGAAATATATATTTTGAAATAAAGTTAAAGTTTATTTTTCATTTTAACTATTTATTTTCTTACAACATCATTAAAATAAATGATTATTTTACTTATTACATAAAAATAAATAATAAAAATAAAGATCAAACTTCTATTCTTAAAATAAGAATATATATATATATATATATATATATATATATATATATATATATATATATATATATATATATATATATATAACACTACTGTAACTTACATATACTATTAAACTTTTCACACATTTTTATAGATTTGATTAATAAATTCTGATTACATCATTTATTTATTGTGTGTCAAATTTTAAAAAAATAATAATAGGATGTTAATAAATAGTTTATATTTATATGTATCTTAATAATTATATACCTTTTTAAATATCGTGAGATTATATTATAATTTTGATGTAACAATTTTATTGCGAGTATTATATTAGTGAAAAAAAATCTTTCAATTTATTGATAATTAATCTGCACTAGTAAATTGATTGATTACTAATTAAATACATTTTTTCATTATTTTTTTAATTTACAATATTTGAACCATTCAAACCAGCAACATGTTCATAGTACTCAAAAGTATTAATTATTTATTCTATTTATATAAGTAAATGATAATCTTCTTGAAAAAGAATAAATGATAATATATGAATGAATGCCAATTTATTTTAATGAAACTTTTTGAAATAACTGGTGATGAAAACTAATGAATTGATAAGATATTTAAAAAAATTATTGTGTTTGAATAATGATACAAAATAACTAGTAAATATAGTGTGTTTATTGATTACATAAATTTAGTACAACTTTTTTCGATTTTAATTCTGATCGCGGGCAATAAACATGGACAATGATCGAATTTCATTTTAGTTAATAGACTTATTTAAAACCCATTTTAAGGTCAGTGGATAAGATAAAAAAAATAAGGAAATAACATATTTTACTGTACTCCATTATTTAATAAATAAATAGCTATTTTATAAATTTGTAGAACTTTATTTGAAGAACAATTGCTTTTGGGTGTAGGGTTTCGGTGAAAATGTATTTCGGGTTGGGCTACTGATCCATTTTGATTCGCAGAATTGTTTTCAGGTTATGCAGTTTTTTCATCAATTTTTTTTAAATAAAAGTTAAACTATGTACTAGTTAAATTAATTGAAAAAAAAATATTTTGATATTACATTGCAGCACTAAAAATATACGTTAGATGTTAAACAATTATTATAAAAATCAACAATATAAATATATTTATTATTACATCAATAGAGTACATGATGGTGTGAAAAAAATTACACTATTAATATGTTTGAAATTAATTCATACAAATATTTTTATATAGATTAAATTTTTTTTAACTGTTTACAATTCACTAATGGTCGGTGTCAAAAAAATTTCCCTGTCAACCAAAATCAGAGATAATGCTGGGTATGCCTTTAAATAATAAAATGCAAGAAACTTTCCATCCAATATAACTGTACATGTTACATTTCAAGTGTACAATTAAATATATATATATATATATATATATATATATATATATATATATATATATATATATAACATTTAAAACCTAAGAAGATATTAAATTGGTTGTATAAAGATCTTTAATTGTAAAACCTGAAAAAAAAATTCAGCTAGGGAAATAATTTAGCACAGAAAACGTGATCAAGCATTACCCATTTGTTTCATTCATGCTTCTTAACAAGAAAGGTTTTCATGCAATTAGCTAATTGAGGATAGTCTTCAAGTAGTTTTCGTTTTGAAAGAGTTTCATCCTCATTTTGTGGTGTCCACAACACCTTCCCAGCCTGTAAGAAAATGGAGCTTGTGGTGATTACTGTTGAAGAAATGACACTAATTCAAATACAAAAATGGATTAATTTGATGAGTGATTCCTTACCAATAATTTGCTTGAGAGAACCGTTCTAAGCTTTTGTAAGGCCTTCTTCATATCTGCAGCTCCATAGATGTTAGGAAGCTTATGTGCTCCTTTAGCAGCTACCAAGATTGTTATCTGGTACAAGTACGTCATTAAGCAGAAGAACAAAAATACAAATTATTTCATTTTTGGATTTTTCAACTTTAACAAGAAAGGGGTTTTTCTGGATTCAATTTTTTCGATCCAAACATAAATGTGTGCCTAATGATGAGACAATTAGGAATGAGTTACATCTCGAAATATCTTCCTCTTCTGCTATACGCGTGTTTTTAGTGCCTATGAAGTACACATACGAACTTTTATCTAGAAATATTTTCAAGATAAAAGTGAATGGATGTATCCAACGTGAGTAGTAAATCGTGCACTTCTACCAACCGACTTTTAGATGATACAGATTAGGCAAGGAAGGATGAAAAAAATTGTGGAACTGAAGCACTTGAAATTTTTTTAATACTTAAATTAAGAGTGGAATGAAAGTTTATACTGGTACACAAACATAATATTAATTTGGAAAATATACGCAGAAAGGGATCATACCATACCACTATGTACTCGTTGTCAAACCCGTTGAGAAGTTTCTCTTCTTCAAATATTTTTCTTTCATCTTTAATATCTTTTGCATCAAACTGCAATAGAATGCTAGTTGTTTATATCGCTATTGGTGATATTAGATACAAAATTATGATTTGCCTAACAGCTGAAATTTAAGTAGAGAACACTTTTGCAAAGGTCAATTACAATAACCATTTTGCATGCTGGATTCAAAGACATATTGAAGTACATTTTAGACTAGAATTTTAATAATCAAACTATACCATTGAGTTTTCATTGTTAAACGCGTCACTCTGGGTTATTGTGCTTCTCTTTTCTGTGTTGTTCAAACTAACCAATGTTTCTTCATCAAATTTCTCCCTTTCTTCATTTGATAGTTGATTATAGCATTTCTCCGCATCATCTTTACTTTGCTTTAGACCCACCTGCCAAAGATGGTTCATTAGAGATTACATCTTCACAATTACAATTTCCTAGCTACATAAAATTTAGATACATATATTTTGAATAAAACCCAATAACCGCTGGCAATATAAAACTTCGATGCGTATATATTAACTTATAAGTCATTGATGGTTTGGTCCAGCACAAAGAACCCAGCAGAACTGGAAAACGGTTTCCAAACCAAATTGTTGTCAAGAAATGGTTCAGTTTATTTTTATATGGAAAAAGGTTCGGTTTGGTTCTCAAATAGTTCGATTCAATTCAATTCTTTTGAGCACCTCTACTTTGTTTATGATTCGGTTTAACACAGAATTGTACTGAACCAATCAATGATTGGTCCAAACTAAATTGAATTATTTTTAAAAATGGTTCAGTTGGATATTTAATGAAAATGATTCAACTCTTATGCTTCGGTTTGGTTTAATTGTTCTAAAAACTCTTGCTTATAACCAACAACTACTATTGAAATTTCGCCTTGGGAGAAGGAATGGACTTACAAATGTATATCCTGCTATACAGTGACCAAGATTTCCAACCAAACTATGTATTGTATCTGTCACATGTTAAATATTAATACATCAAATACAAAGCCTTGTATAAATAATGAAATGTTCGATGTTAGCAAAGTCATAAAACAAAATATAAATACACAGACTAAAGAACTTTGATACTATATCGTAATTATAACCATAATTTGCAGAATTACAGACAAGAAATTTCCTAGCTGCCCACTAACATGACAAAAGACATTTCCTAGGTGCACAAGAGAACGTTACTCACCCATCGGTCATATTTCCGTACATGCTTTTCACTCCATCTAATTAATCACAGAAGTTTCTACCTTATTTTATGAATACACTGAGGTGATGTGCTTCTTAGGGATGTGCAAGAAGCATTATTCCCAAAATATTAGTGCTCATAAAGTTTATTAGCTACAACTAGTAACCATGGCTTTGGAGGAAAAGACTCAAGAAAAATGTAACCTCCCTCCATCAAATCCACACCAATTGATAAAAAACATAACACTATCTATTCACATAGGTTCAACAAAACCGTATAAAATAAAATCTCACAAGACCCACATCATAACTAGAAAAGTTTAACAAGCAATACATGACACTACCTGTCAATAGATAGCTCACACCATCCGGAGAGGATGTATCTGCAGTTTCTGCAATCCTAGTTAGATCCCTTTGTATTGAGCTTCCCTTACCACCCAACATTGCAACCTTAAACAAGACACAGCAACATATGGTTAAAAAAAACTCAAAACAAAACGACATGGACCAATGACTGGCATAATGCATGTACTCTCTAACACAATATACCAGTTCAAAGCAAAAATGTCAAACTAGCAAGTGATTACAAAAAACTGAACAAAAAAAGCATTATCCTAAATCCAAATTCTATCAAACATTTATACATCCTCAGCATAAGACTCATTATTAGTCATTGGTAGTAGTTGAAGAAGAATCACAGCAACAAATGTTACTAACCTGAAGCTTGAGCACAGTAACTGAATTTGCGTTGTTGTTTCTAAAGTATCCAAACAAAAACATAGCCAACATGAAGAATAGAAACAAGAAGGGCACTCCACCGTGACTTCCCTTCACAACCTCAGTGTCATGAGAACAGGGGTGATTATCACAATGATGCACCATTCTGTTTGATTCTGAATCCCAAGTGTTAAACTGTGAGGACGAAGAATCTGAATCTGAATCAGAGTCGAAGAAACTCCCACCCATAACGCCTCCGGAGGAAGCCGAAGCCATGTTAAGGTTGCAAGACAACAACAAAGGCAAGAGCACAAACAATGCAATAGCAATAGCAGCAACGTATCTTCTCAACAAGGCCATTTTACCTTCTAATACCGTAAAAATTAAATTAAGTCCTGCATTCATTTAAATATGTTCAGTGGAAAAATATTCTAATTCTGCACGCAATTGCATCAAATATTAATTCTAATGAATAAAAATGATGAAAATTGAAGCCCTTTTTCTAAAGCATATATATTAATGGATGTCTAAGATTTCGTTGAGATCAAAACATGTCGAAGATTGACGATTTCAAAGTCTTTCTATTTAAACCATTACTTACACAAACTTGTCAGATAATCTCAAACAAAAATCAAACGCAATAGTGGTGGAAGCACTTTTCTTATGCATACCAACTCATCTTATACAAATACATAGAATATAATCGATGACAATATCAATTGAAATGCAATAATTCTATACAATTTACAATCAATATGGAATCATTTACATATATGAACGAAGAGACGGAAAGTAAATGCACAGATTTCACGACTTCACAACGTATTACAAGACTGTACCTAATGTCCAGTTTCCTACGCACCTTAAGTTTGTAGAAGAAGATCAAAATCATAACCAATCTATAGAATCAAGTTTGTGGAAATATTTGAGAATTGAAGCATAATTTCAATTATTAAAAAAGGTTATAATTTAAGGTCACAAAACACGTGAACGGTGAATGGCGGTGAAGAGAAGGAAGGCACTGAAGAGCAAAACGCGAAACACTAATGTCGTTCTGGGCCGAAGGAAAAATATACTTTTTTTTGGGCCGGTCCAAGAAATATTGTTACCCGACCCGGATCCGTGTGAAGAGAAAGTTACCACTTTATGAGGTTCTTTTCTTTGACAAGAGAGAGAATGTTGTGTTTTGGAAGTGTCAGAGAGAGAACAGCAATGGCGAGGCGAGGCGAGACTCGGAACCAGTCGTTGTTGACTCGGGCGGTTGTGGCGGTCTTCGCCTTCGTGAGACAGGCCGAGTTTGAGATCCTCTTCTTTCTTTTTTTCTTCATCGCTTATCTTCTCTTCAAAGACATCGTAAGTTCCCATTATAACCTTCTTCTCGCTGTTTTGTCATCTCCCATTTCTGCAATTTCCTTTTTTTGTTCTTTTCTACATGGGTAAATTGACTATGGTTTCATGCTTTTGACCCTGTAATTAAAATTAGGTTCAAATTTTGACCTTTGGATCTCAATTTTGCTTCAAATTCAATTATTATGCATGATTAGTGATCAATTTATGGTAACTGTGAGGACCCTGTTATTTTATTATTATTATTATTGTTGTTGTTGTTGTTGTTGTTGTTGTTGTAATTAATTAAATTTTAATTATCGTCAATGAGATATTTAACAAAATTTTAACCATATTGGTGTTGTCTCCTTGATACATGAATAAAAAATTTATCTTCCTTCGTACATGAATAGATGCACAGGCGTGGAAGAGATTTATGGAACTTATTTGAGCTTGTAAAATTGTGTTTAGCTTGTTTAACAAGTTTATCCGTGAAATTTGTCTTTTAAGCTTATTTCAACAAGTTGTGTGGTCAAATTTAAGATGTAAGTCCTATGTGAAATTTTAACTAGGCTAGTTAGCCGAATGCATTCCTAAATGATTGACAGCATGACATTTTTCTCCATCTGAACCCTATCCTCTCTGCCACTGATCTCATATTTTGTGGTTTTGGCAGTGAGTTATAACTTCTACCATTAACTGTTTACTTCAATTGCAGACATCAAGGCCCGAATACAATCAATTGTTTGTAAAGAGGCCTGGTGGACCAGAATTTTGGCCTTTTTAGAAGAGTAATGTTTGGTCTGGTGGATGTCTTTGTCCATAGAGGAATTCTTAGCGCACCATGCAATAATTTGTGGATTTTCCTTTTGTATTTGTATCTAAATGTAACTTTATAGGTAAAACATGTGAAACTATAAATTTGTACAATGTTCTGTTCCAGTTAGTTGTAGCAAAATCAAGTATAAACGTTTGTTTTTATCTTGCCGTCTCTTTATATCACATTTCTTTTTCATTGGATATCTATTTCCCCTAGCCTTGGATGGAAGTGCTGTGATCAACGATTTCAAATCTGGTTTACGGTTTACTCTATATGTTCCCTAATCCTTCTTATGTTGGATTAGGTGACATATCTTGGCATTTTTTGAGTTGCTTCAACCAGAATATAATCCTTTTTCTAATTTCTTCTCAAGAAGAATTTGAAAGATTACTTTTTCATTGTCATGTTGCTTAACAGAGTTCTTTAATTGATTTAACAAATAAAACATAAGGAAATTTTGTGACCACAATTGGTATCTTTATTAGTTTGCCTAAGTTGAGCATTGATCAACAGTTAAATCTTGTTTGTAAGTTTATATGTTAACCATCTCTCTCACCAATATCTATTAAAAACTTAGAATGTATTAATTATAAAAATTGACTACTTAACAAGTTAGTAATGCACTGCAGATTTTGTTGTAAGAAATTTTCATTAGCTTTTGGTTGCCTATAAAAGTTGAAGAAGCAATTTCAAATTCTTTGTTGCAAGAGATTTTCATCACTATTTATTAGTTTATCTATCCTGACGAAGCAAGACCACACCTTTGCCATGAACTAATATCAACTGACCTCACTTTCTACCCCATTCTCTACCCCCCTTCCTGTCCTCAAATTGAAAAGTAACAGAAGAGCAAGATGATATCAATCTGTACTTTAGGAGATTTTGATGCTTTTTTCTTCTTCTTTTTTTGTTCATTTTAATAGCAAACTGTAGAAATTTACGCCACAGTAATCCATACTGCACATCTAAGATTTAATCGAACAAAGATGAAATCTATTAAACAAAAAAAATGTGAGATAAGTTAAAGAGTAATAATGATATATATATATATATATATATATATATATATATATATATATATATATTATATATCATTTTCAAATTCTTCTTGACATCCAATAAATAAATCATTCCAGAATAGACAAAAGAAAACCTTTTGCAAAGATATTACAGGTAGCTTAACCAGTAAATGTTTTAACTATGTCATTTTCATAACATAAATTAAACTTGACAACATACATGACAGAGTTTTATACAACGCTCTATCTAGACTCTAGTCCATCTTCGTTGCCCAATTCAGTTATCTTCTCCACTGGTACTTTAGTTACATCACTGCGTACTCCAATATCAGAAACGTATCTGCTAACACAATACATGCCACATCCTACCAATGCAAGACCACCAAAGCTAAAAGTCATCAATATAAGTGGTGAAGAAACTACAACACTAGCAACAGCTACGCAAGATGCTGCTTGTCGACTCGGCCCTCCACTGATATTTGTGGCTACAAGCAAACCTGTTTTGCAGTAAATTACAAAGTCTTCACAGTTTTCTTGAACTCATGGTAGCCACCAAATCCATTCTCAAGAAGAAACAAAGAACGTTGAAGGACATCTTCAGTTGGATCAGAAGATGCAGTGGTGCAAGTGCCTCCTATAGCTTTGGCTACAAAAAGTGCGGGTGACACACCATATTCAAATAAGTATAGATCACCACCAGAGAGAAACAAATTAAGTAGGAACAGATGACACCATCAGTTCTTGTTTGGTCACCACATCTCGGACATAAAGTATCAGAAGTAAGATGAAGGGGTGGCGAACTTATAAGGAGACGGTCCAAGATTGTTCCTGTTCCAGTTTCTTGGCTTGCTCCTCTGGTGAAGTGGATCACCATTCCCTCACCAGCACAGATCCCTGAAATCTTACACCAAAAGATAAAAATTCAGTAACAATGTTACATCCATCATTTATAATTGGACAAAATAGGTTTTCAATTTAAAAAGTGTGAAAAAAAAAAATACTACACTACTATACATTAATAAGGACAAATGCCATTTAATTTAAAAATTGTTCTGAATGGTCTCTTTCTTATTTTGAATTCTCTTAAAATGCAGAAGATGTATTTGAGATTTCTGATGCCACACAATGCGAAAGAGTAACATACAAAGTCGCAGATTTGAACCTGACGCAAAAATGGTCTACACACCTTTTCTCTCTTTCTCGTTCAATTCTTAAAAAATGGTCATGCACGCTTTTTATTTATACTTTTTTTTTTAGAAAGAAAAATAATATTTATTTAGTTTTTTTTTTAATTAGAATTATCATATATCACTCAATATGGTTATGTGACATTTCATCTGTCGTATAAAAAACTAATTAATGATACATACTAGAAGTTAAAATAATTATTTTCAAAAATAGATAAAAAATAAAAAACAAAATTTAAAATGAAACAAATCAATTTTCACTACTTGCATATTAACAAAATTTATAATTTTACTATTTGCCTAAGGTATGTGTCTCGAATTATTGGTAAATTAGTTTTTAAAATAATAAATATTTTTCAATTTAATTTCAGAATATACTATTTTAAGCAAAAAAATTGTTAAATATTAATTACTTTAGTCCTATCTTGAGACTGAAAAAATAATTATTTTAATCTACTTGAGTTTATCTAATTTCTTGCCTGGCAAACTGTTAAAATATTACTTGCATTTTGATTTTAGAAAGCTAGAATTAATAACAAGGGCTCTAAACCAAAATATGGGTATCATAAAAAATTTGTTAATAGTTTTATTTTACTTTCTATTTAAAGTTTATTTTTCTTGTTTATAATAGTTCTATAAGTTCAAATATATCCATTCACTCAAATCAAAATTTTAGTAGTTGAAATAAATAACACATAGTTTTTTCTGCAGTGACAATTCGTATCTTATTGTACAAATTCAAACTTATTTATTCTTATTTATTTGTTATTATCAGCACAATGTAAAATATAAAGCAGAAGGTTTCTTCTGTATTCATTTATCTCAGAATTCTATATATTATTAACAACTTTCAATTGCTTTCACTATAAACATAAACATAAACATTGACATTGATAACATGTTAATTCTTCTACATTGGCCTCATTTTCTGCCCCTCTGAATGTGAGAAGGTTCATTTTATGATTTTCCTTTTAATAAAAACCTGTTTTCAAGCTATTCATTTTCTCTATTAAGTTTCATCACAAAGCCTTGTAATAAGTTAAAACCATCTCAAAGCAATCACCAAATTCGAATATGTCCAATGAAAACTCTTCTAAACATTCCAGAAATAAACATAACAAAGCGCAAACAAATGACAATCTTATGCTTATATGTTACTGGGAACTTTGACTGTAAACATTTAACAGAAGGCTAAAAATATTTTAGAACAAAAACCAAACTTAAACACCATAGACACCAGAGTTTTCTTTCACTCACTTATTACTTTGTCTAATGTGATCTTCACCGATCTCTATCTGATATATTATTAATTTTTCCTCTAAATTAAAAGTATGATTAGATATTATGTAAATATTGATTTAGACCACATAATCTAGACCATGTAATAATTTCTCCAGACCATGTAACAATGTCTTGTATCCAATCTTCTTTGGCCACCTCTTGAATCCTCTCTACTGAAACTTTTGTTACATCACAGCGTACTCCAATGTCAGAAACATATCTGCTAACACAATACGTGCCATATCCAACCAAAGCAAGACCACACAAGCTGGTGGTCATAAACACAAGTGGTGAAGAAACTATGGCACCAGCAGCTGCCAAGAGAGATGTTGCTTGTCCACTTTGCCCTACACTGATGTTTGTCACTACAAGCAAGCCTGTTTTGCAGTACATTGCAAAGTCTTCACAGTTATTCTTGAACAAATGGTAGCCACCAAAACCATTCTTGAAAAGAAAAAAAGCACGGTGAAGAACAGCCTCTGTTGGATCCGAAGATGCAGTGGAGCAAGTGCCCCCTCTAGCTTTGGCTAGAAAAAATGCAGATGAGACACCATACTCAAACAGGTATAGATACCCACCATAAAGAAAACAGTCCAAGCAGGTTCGAGTGACACCTTCAGTCTTTGTTTGGTAACCACATCTAGGGCATGGAGTGTCACGGGTAGCATGATGATGAGGTGGTGAACTTATAGGAAAACTGTCCAAGACTGATCTTGTTCCAGATTCTTGAGTTGCTCCTCTTGTGAAGTGGATCACCATTCCCTTACCAACATATATTCCTGCTATCTTACCAACAAACATGGAAACATGCATAGTTAATTATAATTTCAAAAACTATCTACGACCTAAAAGTGTGTAAGATTAGAGGAAGCAGAAGAATATATAAAGGAGAAAAGAGAAGACCGTGATGAGCAATGATGTAAGCCTGCCTCCAAGAGTAAATGTGATCGCCTGGTTTCAAGTGCTCTCTATCAATCTTATTGGAAAACACCCCCATTTCCCTAATTGATTACCAAGTATGTCAAACAAACGTCAAAAATCAAAACAAGTGACAAAATAACTTATTTGTTGTTTAAAAATTTTGTCAACAAAAATTTTGTGATCCAAATATTAGTGACGGAAATACTGAAAACTATTTTCCGTCACTAATCTTGGTCACTAATATGGTTTTAGCTAGATACTCTGATATTGGTGTGCATGTTTTCTAAAGAAATGAAATGAATATATATATATATATATATATATATATATATATATATAACATTACTTTGCTTCTGCCCCTTCTTTCACTTTCTTCAATTTGACATTTACCACCTCCATTCCATACTTAATAATATTTAAGGGTTCTTATAGTTACGAAAGGATACAATAAGATAAGCTAAAAAATTAAATTAAAATATAATTATTTAATATTTCATTATTTATACTAAAATATTTATAATAATAATAATTAAATATAGAGATATAGCTAAAGAAATTAATGACACTTTAAATTTTTAAAATGTCTATAATTTAAAATTAATATGCTGAAATGTCGATATACATGAAAGGGAAGTAATATTATAGTCTTTTTGTACATCGTTTTTATGTTTTTAGTATTACTATGAGACACCTGTTTTGATTAATAAAAATTGTAAATGATCTCTGTTCAATCTCATCATCAGTGACTCAAAGTGCTTTAAATCGCCCTTGTGTTAAAAGGCAATACATGTGGCAGTGATTTTATCTTCCATGTCACTCAAAACAGTAATTACTTTGCACAAAACTTAGGTGCAGAGTTTATCTTATTCAACTAAAAATTTAAAATTTACCTTATAGAGACGAAATAGAGTGAACTTGTTTTTATTAAATGATATATAAAAAAAAACATCTTCATTTTAAAAAATAATAAATAATTAAATTAAAATTAAATATTTATTTAATTACAAAATTTTTATATAATTATTAATTATTTTTTATTAATAAATCGTTTTTAAAATAATACTTTTAAATTATAGATCTCTTTTTTAATATTATATATTTAATATATAATTATAATTTTTTTATTATAATTTTTTTTAAATTAAATTAATAAAATAATATTATATTATAAATAAATAAATAATATCTAAAATTATTTATTTAATTTTTATAATCACTTTTATATTTATAGTATTTTATTAAATAATAATTAAAAGTATATATATATTAAAATTTCAAATATGTGAATAAATAATAATTTATTTTAAGTGAGGATAATTTAATAAAATAATCTATTTTTTAAAACTTTATACTTTTTTTATGAAAAAAAAATATGGTAGAAAGTGACATTTTCTTTTCATTATTTTCATTGTTACCAACCAATAAATATTATTACTTTTTCCTCATTTTCATTATCACTTTTTATTCTATATATTTTTCTATAATTTAATAAAATTTTAATTAATGATATTAATTATACCTATAATATTGTATTTCAGATTTGTTTGGTATGTCCATTTTATATTAAATTGTAGATCTTGTAAAAAGAGGTAACAACAACAACAAAATAAATATATATATATATATATATATATAACTACTTTTAATTATATAGAGGTAATTAAATTACTTTTTTAAAAAAATAAAATATTTTTATCAAAACTTATTTTATCTTTTTAAGTTTAAAGATCATTGTGTGAAGTTGTTAAAAAGAAAAATATAAATTGTTTTTTTTTTAATTTTATTTTACTCAATGTTTAGTTTTCTTTTATATTTTGAAGAGAAAAAAATTATTTATTGAAATTAAATAAATTAACTTGTATTTAAAATTTTTGGATTATATTTTATTTATTTATTTGTGGATGAAAATGAAAAAAAAATATTTATTTAGTTTTGTAATAATCATGGATAGCCCATTGGACATAGGCACCACTTGGTACACTAAAAGTCATTAATTTATGAGAGTGTCTCATGACACTTATTGTTATATTTTATAAAAGAGATTACATTAATTCATTTTAAAAAAATATTTTGACAGTGAAAATAATAATAATATATCAACTGAAATTGTAAAAAATAAATAGTAAATTAATAATTATTTAGCTTAATGTTTGTTATTTTTAATAATTTTGATAGTTTTTTTTCAATAATATATTTTTTATTTTTATTTTTCTATTAAAAAATCATTCATATCTTCCCTCTCTATAATAAATATAATAAAAATAAATAAATATATAATTGATAAAAACTAATTAATATAATGTTAAATTTTATAAATTATAGATAAATAACGATATTTTTTAAATCAATAGTTAAAAAAATACAAAACAAACAAATATTATTCTCCACGTCCTATTATAATTAAAAAGATATAATTAATAAAAGAGTAAATCAATACAGTTTTTAACTTTTTTTAATAAATGGCTTTCACCACCGTTTAAAAATTAAAAATAAGAATAATTTATATATTTTTTAATACACCTTTTTTAAAGATAAAATATTAAAGTTTCAAAAATATTAACCCTAATAATATAAAAGTTGGACACTATTCTTATGATTAATATTTTTTATTTATTCACAATGTATTTTTCTTGTGTTTGATTGATCTTTGATTTATAATGGGATTCTTTTCTTTTGCCAAATTGCATACTAATTAATTACCAATTAACTTGTTAAAATGTATTATTAATTTTGTATTTTTCTTCATTTTTTTTAGGTTCTCTCCAAACTAATTAATTAATTAATAATATATTTTTAAAAAATTATTTAAAATAACATGTAAGTTGATTTATTCAACTATACTAATTTATTATTTATATATAAAATTCAATAATACAAAATAATTTTGTTAAATATAATATAATTTTTTTCGTCTTCTTCTTTATTTATTTTTTTAGTTTTCTCTTTATTTATCTACCTTTTGTTATTCTTTTCTCTTTCCTGATTTAGTGTCTTTTTTTCTCTCTCTTTCTTATGTTATTCTCTCACTTTATCTTATATTTTTAATTAAAAATACTACATTGAAATTTGATAAAATAGGTCTTTTATTATTTTTGAAAAAAATTATCCAAAAAATATAATAATTTTATATATTATATGATAAAATTGATATATTGCACATATTATTGTATGTTATAATAATTTTAAAAAAATTATTTAAATTTATATTTTTTAATAAATATATATTTTAAAAATTATTTAATCTAACTAATTATTATTATTCAATCTAATTATAACTATATTAAACTAATAAATAAAAAATAAATAAACTCATAAATATTTGACTTTTTAATTAAATAAGTAATTAATTTATTATGATAAATAATTTTAAATTAATTATTTATGTTATCATAAATAAAATTATTTATTATTATAATAAACTACATTATTTACTATTATCATAATTTTAAATAAATAGTTGATATTTTTTAAATTTTAATCTTGATTTTAATATATATTTATAAATTTTAAATAAAATAATTTTAATTAGAAGAATAAATAAGAGAAGAGAGAGCAAAATAAAAAATAAAAAATAAAAAATGAGATTAAAGGAGAAAAGAAAAATTGAATAAATAAATTATATCTAAGGAAAAAAAACTGTATATCAACAATAAATAAGGATAATACTATTTTAAATAAATAAACTGGTAAAAAATTTAAGTACTTTTTTTTTAAAATATGTTATTTATTGAACTGATTCTCTCCAAACAACTTTTATTATTTATTCTGACCGCTCTTCAAAATTTTAGAGTTATTTTTCTATATTATGATGATAATAATATGTTTTTTAAATTAGTTTAAAAATAACTTAATTTTTCCTCATATATGTTTACAAAATAAAACTTAATGTATTGAATAAAAACAAATTTATTTAAAATTAATTTCATTATTAACATCTATTCATATATTATTTAATTTATTTATATTAAAAGAAATATTAGTTATATATTTTCATTGGTTAACTATATTTTTTTTAATTTTTTAGAATATTATTTCAATCTTTATATTATAACAAATAATAAATTAAAATTAATATAAGTTTGATTCTTTAATTAATTTTATAACGATAGAAAATATTACTAAATTTAAATATAAAAAATAATAAAAGTTATGTTTATTGTTTTATCAAATTTATTAAAATTAAATATTAGATTTAATATAAAAATTAAAATTATACAATTTATCAATTTAATATATAAAAAAAACACAAAATCATAAATAATTATCAGGTAAAAGTATATTTTTAATATATTTTGTTATTAAAAATTCATAATTTTTTTAAGGTTATGTCATTGATGATAAAATAGATCTTTTTGTTTCACACCATTTCTAACAAGAAGATGACTATTATAATAAAAATGGGTTATAGATTTAGTTCACCAATTAAAAGACAGAATGACACGTGATCTTGTCAATAATACTTCTTTTAAATAAAAAATTATATATATTTAAAATATAATTTTTATTTATTAATTAATATTTGTATTAAATAAATTAAAAAATATTATAATTATGTATTAAAATAAATATTTTTTGAAATTTAATTTATTATTTTTTACCATTTAAAATATAATATATTTACATATTTTAATAATATATTATAAAAATAATATAACATTTTAATTATAATTTTAATATATAAAATGTTTATTTAAAACGAGAGGACTAAAAAATTATCCATCCGTCCCATAATTTTTTTACGGGACGGATCGGCGGACCTAAGTCAGACCCGTACTAGTTGATGATTTGAATGGATATAAAAAAAAAAAAAAAAAAAAAAAAAAAAAAAAAACTAATCAAACTTTCAAAATGAAAGAAAAAGAAAATCAGCAGTTTATATTTTAAAAATGTAATTTAATTTGTAATTAATTAGTATTTGACTTGTCATTGGAAGGTACACTTTTTGGAAACTTACACCACCTTTGTCTTTCGTTTTTTCTTATTTTCTTATCTTTCCCAACCCTTCTTCTCCGTCACACCAATTTCGCTCCCCATTTTCTCTTCCAATTTCAATTTCTCGTTCCTCATGGCTCGTCTCGCGATCGCCATTGCTGTCGTCGTCGCCGTCATCCTCGCCCTCTCCGCCTCCTCCGCGGCGGCGCGTCCTTGCAGGACCTTCATAATCTCCTCCTACTCCTTCCGCAACCCTAACTCCAACACCTTCGCCACAATCACTGAGATCCGATCCTTCACCCCTCTCTTCATCACCGACAAACCCTCTTCCTACGAGGTCTTCTTTCCCCACGCGCTCTCGGAACCCGAGCGCGTCAACCCACGCGCCCCCATAGGGCTCGCCTCCGCGTACGACTTCTCCTCCCTCCGCGACCGCACCAAGGACATCCTCAGCGTCGCCCTCGCGCTCCTCTTCGGTGTCGGCTGCGGCGCCCTCACCGCCGCCACCATGTACCTAGTCTGGTCCGTTTTCTCCACGCGTCATCGCGCCGCGGCCTACGACGATTTCTCCTCAGACGAAGAGATCGAGAGCCCCAAGAAGTTAGGCTACGTCAAGATTCCAGCTGCCGAGACCGTTGCCGCCGCTCCGGATCCGGCGTCGGCCAAGGGCTCGGTATAAAAACCCGGAAAGTGTGATTGGGAATATCTCTTCGTAACCATGTTGTTGATTTGGATTGTTAATAATTATAGGTGAATTTAATAGGGAATATGTCGAATGGTGCGAACTTTGGCCATGTATGGTGTCTGGTTCTTCTATGTTACATGTTTACTTTGAATTTGGTGTATTTGCGTTGTTTTAGTTCTAATTGGCAAACCATGGTCTTTATGGTGTTAATTATTTCCTTGGATATGGAATTAATCGTGATATATACTAGTATTTATATATTTATTCACGAGTCTTTATCTGGAAGCTTTGCTTTTTCATCATTTTGTTTTATGCAGGTTCTGGTGATTTGTGATTACTATATCTCAATTTTGGGTGTGTCTGGGTGAATGCTTGCATAATTGACTGAGGTTGAGCTTTTCTATACTTGATTTTGAATAAAATGATTCTGCTTGTAATTGATTTTAAAGTGAAATCTGGGTAAAGTGTTTTAAATCTGATTTCAGTGTGCTACGGTATAAAATTGTTGAGTTAATGTGATTTTCAATGACTCACCCCTAGGTAATGGTATTTCAAATGTGATTTTGGATAGCTCAAGGAGAATCCAAATTGAGTTTATGTTACGTGTCTGGGGAAGGGTTTAATTCTGGGTGGAGGTTTTGGTGTGATCTGGTATAATTGGGTTGTTCATGTTCACTTCCGTGAGCTTCTTCTGCTTTATGTTGCATCCATTGAATGGTCTGTGAGTGTGTATTTATTATTAATGTTGTTGAAATCAGGGAGCTTCTAAATTCTAATGTTATTAGTGAATATTGACTCTTATTGGTAGTGCTAAACTACTTGAATTTTTATGAAACAATTCGCTATTTTGCACATTTGGGCATAAGTTAATACTTTGTGCTGTTCAACGTATTGAAAGTATTGGCAACAAATCAGATTGCAAGATGAATAATATTTGGGATGAAGGAACGTAGATTGATTGTGGTAGTATTTTTGCCTTGCAAGTATCCAGTTTTGCGGAATAGTTTGTGTCAATAATTAGCATCTTGGAAATAATGCAAGCTATTTGCATTTTAGTTTTGGTTATATAGGACACAAGATACTGCACTGTAGTTTTGTTATGAGTAAAACTGCAGCCCTGTATAATGTTACTTTTGTTCTTTTGCCCTTTCCAACAATGTAGGTATATCAGTGAAATCTTGGGTTGTAAGATGTTTGTAGTTGCTATTTTTTGGTTTTCTTCCTGGTTTTGAAATAAAAGCTGCAATGATAAAATTTTATTAGTCAGAGATTGTGAATGTGAAGTCAAATGTTGTCGGTATAGTAGGTCATTGGCCTCTGAAACAACTCACAGTAAATGAAAAATGGTGCATTCAATTTAATAGGGATTTGATTTTAATAAATTTGAACCCATCCCTTCTCAGGACTGCAATTGAATATGAGTTGAAAGTCCTTGTTTTTAAATTTGCAGCCTCTAAAAGTGATAAATTAATGGTAAATTTAAAGCCCCAGTTAGGTGATTTGCTTTTATTAGCTAAATAAAAATTTCCGTTGCCGGGACTTGAACCCGGGTCTCTCGGGTGAGAGCCGAGTATCCTAACCAACTAGACTACAACGGAGTTCTTGAAAGTCAAAGTTCCTTATAATATTTATTATATTCTATTCCTCATTTTGTTGTTTTTCAATTTTAACAGCAAATATCTTTAATTTACTTATTTAAAATCATTTCTAATTTGCAGTCATTATTTGTCACCCATTTTTTTCTTGGCAAACCGACCCTTTATGTTGTCTACAAGGTAATAAAAATTATTGTCACTAACTCTTGAAAATGGTAAACAAATTATTATAGATTAAAAGTAAAATCTTTTTCCTAAAATGAATTATATTATTATGTTCTTATTTCAATTTTAATAGTTTTTATCAATTAAAATTTTCTGAATGCGGTGTTAAATAACTAATACAAACCATAATTACGCCTTATCTAATAAAAGTAGAAAACACAGCATTCCTGAAATGACTCAAAATAAAGGAAAGTAAACAGAAAACGTTACGTTTTTAGAAAATTACAGTAACCTACTGATAAGATTTTGTTAAATTATTTCTTATTTTTTTAATATTTACGGTAACTTCCTTTACAAGGACATTGCAATATTTTTCATACACTTAAGTAGGTTAATGTAATGAAAAAAAGGTGTTAATTTAGTAATTTTTAAATAATTAATAGAGATAAGTATAAAGAAAAAAATTGGATGTTATATAATTTTACAAAATTTGAAAGACGTCTCTTATAATTAACTCTCAACATGAACCTGTTTACTCCTTTACATTACTTTTTTGTTTTATGTTCTCTTAACAAGTTCTTATCAGTCATCATCATTCGCATAACTTGGGTGTAAAAGCTTTCGTACCAGAAATTGCAATCTGCCATAATCCAAACCCGAGTACAGAAAGATGTTTGTTATTATATTTAATCACGTATCCGCCTATAAAATATAGCCAATAAGCATTGCGTAGCTAGTAACTGATCAGAAAGAGAACACATTGTTAAAAGGTTCAAATATTTGTAAGAAGCTCATCCCTGCAAAAATTATGTTCAGTAACAACATACTAACATTTACGACACATCTCAGAAGGGTATTTGGTAGATGATGATTTTGCTGAGAATATAGTAAAATACAAATGAGTTAAAAGTTCGACCCCTTTGTTGGGAAGTAATGCCATTGTAGAATACAGAGACAGCTCAAGCATAACAGCCTTCACTAGTTTCCTATATAGATAGTACATTAGTTCATGCAAAAGTTTAATCAAATATTATGCTAAAATAGCAGTAACACTAACTCTAGCTTGCAGTGCCCCAAGTTCAAATTGGCACACAACCATGTCCTAAGTGTTTTTTTTTATCATAAATGTATATTTTCTTCAATGCTGATAGAAACAATAAAAGGTGGTGAAATGGGCTACACAACATATTCCAACGACAGTAATTCATGCACATAGATTCTCTTGACCATGGATCCTAAAGGAATGAATACATGTTTCAATTATCTCAGTACTCAAGTGATCCAATTGATGGTGGACCAGAAACAATGTCCTGAGACTCAGCACCAGCCCCATTCAGCCTTTGTCCTGAACCTAGAGCAAGGGATTCCACTGCTTGTTCCCCCATTTTCTGAATGTCTTCAGGTGAGAGTATCTTGATATACCAAACATTATTGACGAATGATCTACAAGATGTAAAACACACCATTGAAGAAAATGTCATAAAATATAAGCCAAGGGAAATAAATTAGCATAGCATACTTTTTATTAAGAAATCAAAGATGAAATATTTCAATCACCAAGAGTTCATTGAGTAAACCACTAGCACAATTCAAACTAGTACTTACTCCCACGGATCGTCCCCAAGGAGAAGAACATCATTCTCCCTGTCAACGAACACAAGCTGCCAGCCTGATCTAAGAGGGTCTTCCAACTTTCCCTCAATTCCAAACATCTGAGCCAATTCCTCCCGCAGTTCATGATAGCTGCTGAACCGGGATATGTCAAGTGAGCGCCCAACTGACCCTGATTTGTATACCTGTGAAATGATAAAATTAAACAACTAGTTTACATATAAATAAGGTCTGAAAAGGTCACAGGTACTCGAAAATCATACCTTGACAAAGGTTTGAGTCTGGTTTTGTGGGTCAATATGCCCTGCACTTTGCAATAACTCTGACGAATCTTGCATGCAACCAAATAGTGAACCCTGGAAACCAGACTCCCCTAATGGCATTGTAGAAGAATTAGTATCCGCAGATGGGGTGCTGTAACCAGGGACTGTGGTGGGAAGGAGAAGGCCAGATGAATCAATATTGACACCAAAGAGTGTTGAATTCTGGGCATCTGAGTTACACTGTTGTAGCACCATTGTAGAATCTTTTCCAGAATATTGTGTCTGTGACACAGTGCCTCCATAAGCATTGACCTGCACAGGTGCATACTTTTGAGTCCATTGCTGTTGAGGTAACTGTTCAGTCAGCAAGGATGGACCGCTTCTTGATAAATTCGCGAGACTTCCACTTCCTTCAGGACAAAGAGAACTAAGCATGTTTTGTCCGGGGGAAACTGAAGCAAGGAACTTCACGCTTGAATCCAAGAAATCTGGTTTTGAATATGATGGTGAAGGAACGCTAGAGTGCTGTCTCGGGTGGAGCTGGCCACTTGGAATTAAGGGCGAGTCTTGATAAGTATGTTGCTGCTGTTGTGCTTGGACTTCTTGATTGTTATGTGGTTTCTGAAGCAGATGCTGAGAGAGGTTCTCTGTCAATACATGGGCCTGTGGCTGCAGCATGTTAGAAGACACCGATTGTTGAATTGATTGCTGCTGCTGAAGTTGCAAAGGAGAACTGCTGTTTCCTGATTGCTGAAGATAGTGAAAAGGCTGTTGAAAATTCATCATTTGTTGCTTCATAAGATATCCACTACCTAGATTCTGCAAGCCAGTTGCCAACATGGCTTGGTACTGTTGATTCTGATCACTTCCTAGTAAAGTGGGATCTAATCTCTGCTGCATCCAGGGCAACATACCAGCTCCCTGAAAATTTAGGGAATTGAGACCTTGGTCTACAGGTCCACCCCTCAGCCACATCAGCCCATTACTTGCTTCATCTCTACCATCTGTAACAAGATTTAGTAAAGAAAGGGCACAAAAGAAGGCGCTCAAAATTACTGTGTAATTTGCTTGGAAAGACAAGGGATGAATGACACTAAAACACCAAAAGGTGGATCAAGTGACTAACAAAACAAAATCTAATCATCAGGTACATATATACATATATATATATATGTATATATATATATATATATATATGTATATGTATTAGATTGGAAGAAATGTGAAAGATAGAAAACTAATTTGGCTGATTTGTTTTCCATTTATAATATATTGTCATTTGAACATTTCCTAACATATATACAACATTTTATTCCAAAAATATAAAAATAAATCACATTATGTTTGGACAGAAGGAGAACACTATTGAAAATGCAAAATTTTCCCTTTAATGCGTGGAGGAAGGGAGGAAGGAAAAGTTGTAATATAAACTTAGGATAGTTGCTTTTTAGATCACTAGAAATAATTTATTTATTTTTCTAAAATTTGAAAAGTTTCAGTTACGTAATGTAAAATGCCAATTCATGCCCCATCAAAATCCAGAAGAAAAAAAAGGAATTCTTCACTGTTTTGGGAGGATAATTATTCATGCACCTAGACATCCTCCTCTTGCGGGTAAAATCTCCTTTTATTAAGAAAAAATCATGTTGTATTTCACTGACATTCTAGTGGGTAATTAGAACAAAATCTACTAAATAACCAGCATTGAGAAAATAAAAATACCATGCAGAGACGATGAGCCAGGATGCCATGGACGTTTCAGTCTAAGGGGAAATAGTGACGGATACATGGGGAATGTTGTTAATGGCTCAATTTCCCAGAGAGATACTCGCGGTTGTCTCTCCCCAGCTGTTGATTCATCCCAACCAACCTACCACAATAGAAAAAAGATCAAGCAATAACAGTTATTTTAAAACGTCTAATGAAATCAAGCACCAAAACCTTAAAATGCTATTGCCATAGAGCAGCTTTGGTACGATAACAAAGAACCATTTAGTGTCATGCATAACATTCCCTTATTTATGTAGTAGAAGTAATAAAAGAAATCAGAACAAAAACACATAATAAGAGGAAAGCAGAAATAAGCTAGATTAGAATCTATAGTTCCCTCCCGTGTATCAAACATGTACGTGAAACTACAATGGCTTTTCAAAAACAAATTAAGTCGTTCATAGCTTTCAATTGACACTTTTCTTATTTTGAACATTCATTAGTTAGAGTAGTAAAAAGCCTTTAATTGACAGTATAATATTATTTTTTCTTTCATTTAATGGGGCTAGGGTAGGAGGAACCACACAGCTATTAAATTCAATTTTCAAAATTTTATAAGCTCTGATGCATCAAAGGGTTATTTCAGGTAATAGATGAAGAAAAAGGGCAACTAAGTCTCCACAAAAGATGGAGGCATGTTACAAACACTGCAATAAAACTTATTGTTTGATAAGAAGAGATGAATATCAAATAAGTTATATGAAAAAGATTGGATGTTATGATTAAAGCCAGTTAGATGTCTAAAATGACTATATCCTTATGCAGTGTATATAACAAGGAGTATAATTGTGAAACAGTATTTACTGCTATATAGTCTTTTAACTACAGTGCAATGTATTCTTCCATACCTTGACAGAGCGCCAATGAGAATTCGGCCACCGAACCAAGTCCAAATCACTTATGCCAGTTATTGTACCCATATACCTTCAAAAACAAAGATGACACATGGATAAGTAAAGGAAACAATTGTATGGCATAGCATTACAGAGTCTAATATTTTTTCACTGGTCTCCACTGTCTTTAGATTAAAACCCTAGCCTTTTGGTTCATGTACCAAAATAAATATGATAACAATAGAAAGTAAACTTATAGGCAAAGCAGTACAGTTACAGACTCCCAAATTTAGCAGTTGGCATATACTTTCTTTAGATTGCAGCTGCTAAAGTTTTATCCCTCACATACTAACTTAAGGCTAGCCAACTATGCAATTGACCGATATGATATTTCTCACCATGTCATTTGCCACACAGATTTTATAACCGGGCAAGACTCAAATTACAGACAAGTTCCCCAAGAAACTTGTATTCATCTATACTACGCATGCATCCAACATATCAACCTTATTGTAGGCAAAAGCAAGAAATTACTATCTTTATTTATTTAAAAAGGCACAGATTCTGTATCCTAAGTATGTCTATCTCTGAAAAAAACAACTAACTGGTGGTCAGAAGAAATGTCTCTGGATTAGATTTCCAAGAGCAAAAGTACTAAAGGGAAAAAAAAAAAAACACATGTGTCAAGTACCTGCGGACACTTGACTCTTCCGTCTCAAAAAGCATCCTGAAACGCATACCAACAGAAATGCGTGTATGGTACACAGCTTTGATATATTTTGAAAGCGGTATCACAAACTCAGATGGACTAGCCCTGGCAATGATATATGTTAAAAAAAGCATTTTAATTTCCTGTAAAGTATCATAAGTGGAAACATAGACAACATTTACAACCTTGGATTATAAAACACAGTAAAACAGCTATTGGTCGCTGCAGCATGGGCAGCAGCTGCAAGAAGTCCAATGTGCATGCTATCACTGGATAAAACTGATGACGGCATTACAGTTTGTGGTCTATTGGCACGACGTATTCCCAAAAGAAGTTGATTCTTCTCATTCCTAAACGTACAAAATACAGGAAAGGCATAAAAAGAATCAATCTCCAGCATTCAGGGTGAAAGAAAAGATTGCTTAATGACGTAAAAGTACCATATGAAAAGCACAGAATCTCCAGCCACAAGTCTCTTGGCACTAACAAATATACTCCAGCCTGTAGTAAGAAGGTGTCGTTTTGGCTGTCCTGAAATAATATGAATGCAACATGCACATCAGCAAGTGCAGAAAATACTATGAGCTAAAAGTTTGTACGCATTTAGAAGTAGTACAATTAATAATGACATCAGTAGACATCTCCAATTAACAATTGTGTGCTTAAGTGCCATGCTACAGTTGTAGTAGAATGAATGACTCTAAAACCAAAAAGTGATTCATGACATGAATATTAACTAGAAGTGAAAATAATCATTTTAAAAAGTACATTATTATTACATTTACTGGTTCATTTTTCTCTTGCATGGAACAACTAGCAGTTACCAAAGCACTAAGAAGAGGATTGAGATATGGTCAAAATAGCTGTATTGATACAGTTGATGGTTTGCATGCACATCGGTGAAACTTGAGAAAAAAATAGAAGAAAAAAATCAGCAAAATATATTTAACAAAGTACAAACAGGATACTTCCCATATCTTATGTCATTCAAGATATTACATTAATCTGCACTTCCCAGTAGTCTTATAACGTTTTTAAACAGGTCCCCCTCATAGTTTAAAAATTATAAAGGAGTCATCATAATTTCAAACATTTTTTAATTGTGTCCTTGTAGGGACCTGACATAATCTAGATCAGGGACCACATTGAAAACATTTTTAAAACTATAGGACCTATTTGTAGTTTATATCATACAAGAACTTAATTTAAAAATTACCAAAAAAGTATAGGGACTTGTCAGATTAAAAAAATCATTAAAATATACTAGACAGGCTAACTACTAAAGTGCCTTGCCTCAAAGTGTAAGGCCAAAGTCCCTAATCCACACAATAAACTAACTAGATCATAGACTTCAATCAATAAAGAACTAGAATCCTACCCCGAAAAATATGTCGAAATTTCCATTCAACATCATGGAGATCCCTGGCAATTAGTTCCTGTGCTGGTGGCTGCTGGGAGAAATCCTGTGTAGCATGCAGATATAAGATAAATGCATCTATACCCAAAGAGATTAAAATACAAAGGCCAAATATGAACCATACCAGTGGAGGGAAAACTTTCTCAGCAGCACGTCGAGGAACAGAGAATCCTCCATGTGTACTGGTGTCGCTGGCCGTTAATGTCTTGCAAAAATAATTTGATGGCTGCTTACTTGGAATGCCCAATTCCATAGGAAGAAATGTATCTTTCTGCTCTTGCTACATCCAAAGTTAAAAAAGAAAGCTCAGCTCCAGAATCATAGAGGTCTATAACACATACTATGAGCTAATCAAAGAACAACACAATACCGGAGTCAATGGCTGCAATGTCATTTGAGCATACACTTCATCTGTCTCAACATCTGCCTGAAAATTAATACATGCTCCAGTTCACTGAGTTTACTCTAAGAGTAGGCAGCAATACCTCAATCATCATACATAACTAAAAGGAAAAACATAGTATACCCACATGCATTGTGACATTGTGAAGTTGACATATTAACTGGGGTGGCAAGCTAGGGTAATTGGGAATGTGCCCATCAATTTCTCTGTTAGTTGTGGCAGCAACCTGGAATCAACATTCAACATATCCATCTCAATTTCCATTTATAGAATCATTTGAATTGGTTTCAATCTCAAGTTTACATGAAACACTCTGGTCCTTCTGTGTTATGCAATTGACGTAATCTAGAGTAGAATAAGTAGTTAAAAAAAAAAAAAAAAAAAAAAAAACCTGCTCACTATGACCCTGAGGGAAGTAAACCACACGAGTCCCTGCAGTTGGTAGGGACACCAGGGGCCCCGCGCAGGCATGCCATAGCTCAGAATTCAGACACTTCTTCTCCCCTCCTAACCATCATTACCCATACATCAATCAAATTATCAAAAGAAGAAAAGGAAAACAAAAAACTCACAAGCATGTTCAAGCAACACAAAAGGGGTATGAAAGGGACACCTTACATTTATATACAAGAATGACAAGAAGCCACACTAAGAGCACAGAATGTTAGCTCAATTTAACAAATAATAATAATAATAAAAAAGGTAAAAAGAGAGAATTGGAATAGAATGGATACCTTCAAGTCCCTGCTGCCCCAAACCTGATGTTGAAAGCTTCATATCATCAAGCTTTACCTTCTTTTGTTTTTCTCTTTTACACAAAGACACTGGTGTACCAATTAACCAATCACATAAACACATGAAACCCTAGTTCAAAGCCTCTACCCTCAATTTGCTTCAAGCCATGCATATGCAAGCATTCCCCAACAACACCCTCCTCCTCCACCATGAAGCCAATGCACTCACTCCATAGCTCACAAACACAAAACACAACAACCTTAAAAGAATCAAACAAAGCCCAAATCCAAACACCACAACATCCCAACAAATTCACAACCAGTCTAGAACCCCAGAACCCAAAAACAGCCCTGCAGACTCCAACAACAACAAAGTTTCCTTTTTTAAAATTTTTATTTGCTCCTTTTTTGGCAAATTTCAAAGCAGAAAGCAAACCCAATTGGAGTTAACCTGCAGCAACGGTGGCACGTTCCCCGAGATCGCCATGAAAGCTGAGAATGAAGTGTGACGTTGAAACTAAAGGCTCTCTTTTGTGGCCTATCACTTTCGATGGAGACCCAAGTCAGGATTTTTTGGCTTTGAACCAATGCAGAGATAGAGAGAGTGTGAGTGTGTGTATGATGAGAGAGGAGAGAGAAAGTGACAGAGAGAGAAAAATAAAAGAAGAGTCTTTGCCATATATAAGGGGGTCCCGACCAAGCTGGACATGGAGCAGTAGAGAGAGAAAGCGTAGGAGAGAGAAAATCCATGTTAGAGGGTTATGGGCTGATGAAACCATCTCAGCCGTTTGATCTTCCGTACCTTAAAATCTGATCCGTTCCTTCGTATTGATGTGACAGCAGGCATGTGCCACCATCCTTCACCGGTCGCTGTCAGAAGTACGGAGTATATAGAGAAAAATATTAGTACCATAAAATAATTGTTTATTGTTATTATTATTAAACATTTTTTTTGTCAAAAATTAAAATATCTGTATAAGCGCGTGCTACGCAAATGGATGTGAAGGGTAATAAGTAGAAGAAAAAGATAAAAGCAAAGATATTATCATCATTGAAAGCAAAAGCAAATTGGTCGTCCATACAATTTCGCTTCATCTTTTCATCCAGATAAGGTAAGGTAAGCCTCTTTACCTGCTTCTACTTTCTACTATTTCATCACTTCCATTTTCTTTTTCTCTTCTGCTATCCTAATTTTCTGTTCATCATTCCCAACACCCTTCATCAAATCTACCAACTTTGCATTCAATTTGTTATGGGTCAATTCTATTTCTTCATTTAATCGTAGTTCGTTAGATGTTGTTTTCATCATAAAACATGGTACTAAATCATAAAAATTTGTCTTTTAAAAATAAGCCAGGAATAAAACAATTCAAGTGAAATAATTAATACGGTCGATGTTTTCAGGAGTTAGTTTTCATTGCAATGGATTCAAGATCACTGATTTTGCAACCAAATTTGATGTACTTGTTTCCAACAACATTCACATGTTATGTCAAACTGAAACCTTCTTTCCAGCATTTACAGCAAAAGGAACTATCATTGAAATTCAGTAGAAGAAGGGTGGGATTTTTGGGAATCATAACTCCCTTCATATTGGGTGGAGAAGACATTTTTAGGACACAAAATGCTAATGCATTTGAGTTTAGATTTATGGCCCCTGATATGACAGCAGAAGAGGCACTGGGTGGTGTGAGAAGTCATGCACAAGATTTGTTACAAGTTAAAGATTTGTTAGAGTCAGAATCATGGGAAACAGCACAAAAAACTCTAAGACAGAGTTCAGCACGTCTGAAGAAGGATATATATCTCATAATCCAGAGCAAGCCTGGAATTGAGAGGGCAGAACTGAGAAAGCTTTATTCTACTCTCTTCAACAATGTTACAAGAGTAAGTGTCGTAACATACCCCTCATCACACATTACGAAATGTGCATTTTCAACTTCATAACTTAAAATATGTCAAGGTTATGTATTCATTATCTAGTTTATGTTTTTTCTTTAATCATAGTTTGTAGAGTGGTTTGATTTGATCCATTCAATACGCATATAGCTTCATAATTTTCTTAAATGCATGGTGGCTTTTATAAATTTATCTTAAATTGACATTCATACATAACAAAGTTATTTTTGTTATGAAAAGGATGTATAAAATATCGACAATCATAGGAAAAAAAGGGGAAATGAAGACAAGAAAAGGGATTAGCCTAACTGAAGTTCTTCATTTTGCATATTATTCAAAACTTACAATTTTACAGTTTTACTTAAATATTCAGCATTTATCGTTAATCATTTGTTGCTTATTAAATAGGGATTTTAATTTGTGTATGATCTTAAATTAAATTGACAGTATAATAGTTGATACCCAAAATCTTTTTGGTAAATTGAGACTTAATAATCAAATTAGCTTTCTGATTGTGAATTGAAACTCTGACACAACTTTGTCACTATCGATTGATAATATTCATATACGGTGAAACTATTGCAGCTAGATTATGCAGCAAGGGATAAAGATGGTCCTCAAGTTTGGGAGTGTTATGAGAACATTGTTGTGGCTGTGAATGACATTCTATCCAGAATATAATGTTCCCTGGCCTTGGAAAATGGGGATTGAACTGTTGTTATTGAAAAGCTTATGTCAACATTTGCCAAAATTGCTGGTTGGAATGGAAGAAGTGGAGTAATGAAGATTATGTACTCAAAAGTAGTTTTACAAGGAAAGGACCCTGTTATATATAATAATCATAGATCAGAGTTTGATCATGAAGAGTTAGACGAAATTATTGAATGTTTAATTATATTTGACACCAAAATTACCAAGGCTAAAGAAAACAGAGGAAAGCATATAAATTTTGATACAGAGCAATTTAGTAGATTTTTGAAATTGTCAAGTTCCAACTATGAGGATACATTATTTTATTATTATTATTATTATTAAAAATTATGTTTGTTCTTCTCCATGAAAAATGTTTAAAAAAGTTTCATTATTGTACAAAAAGAAATCCATACAATTTTTTTTTATAAACATTCATATAAAAGAAAAGAAACTACCTTTGTATTAATAGTGATGTGTTATTTATAATTAATTTGAAATATGCATGAGAAATAATATAAAAAAAATCACTTAAAGAAAGGATATACAAATATTATCATATTTTCTTTTGGTATGAACATTCAATCTATTTTCAATCAACCTTAAACCGTACAATGTTTATGTATCTTAAATAAACACTTAAATTGTTAAGGAATTAAAAAAAAAACACATTAAAAATTATAGAAGAACATCTATTCATACATCGTACTAAATTGTTTTTTTAGGAGAGTGTCGTTTAGGAATATTCACTACTTATTCATATAATCTCAAATGTATCAAAATGCAATATTATTGTCTGAAAATCTCATTTTAAATAAATCTCAATTTAATAAAAAAACCTTAAAATTAAGTCAAAGTAAACAGCTACTTTTCACCCTTTTCTTAATTATATATATTACAAAAATTATTTTAACATTATTATATTTTTTTCCTCTCAAAATAAATAACATTTTCCCTATCCCACTTTTTTCTTTGTTTTGTTTTCTTCTATTTTGTATTTTACTTTTTCTTTTTATACTAATAAAAGCCTGATAAAATAATACATTGTTCATGCATATGTAAACATATTCAAATTGATTAAAAATAAATTTTCAAAACAATATTGAATATATATATATATATATATATATATATATATATATATATATATATATATATATATATTGATACATGAACAATGCATTAATTTGATTTTCAACTTTCATCTAACTTATTTTGATAAATTAAATTTTATATTTTTATGGAAAGAAATAATCATTTCTCAAAAATAATATGTACTAAATCATTCCACGTAAAAACTAAAGATAATAAATGATGAATATATATAGTGAGAAGAGAGTAAAAGGATACTATATTCGTATCATTTTGTCTTAACCTTAAAATGATAATTTAACTTGAATTTTGACAAACTCAATGACAATGATGGTATAAAGAGTTGAACAGTTAATAATACTTATACCATAAATACCACTAAAAAAATAATATGGATACTTTAGTTCTAAAGTTTTAAACCAATAATAATATTGGAAAAATAGTTGAACATTATTACACTATCTTATCACTATATACATCACAAGTCCACGAGCATGAACAATGTTATAAAAACCTTCAAAGCAAAAGTACGTGTATATTTATTTATTTTTAAGATGAGTACATTATTATTCAACCTTTTAACATGGTTAAATGTGTTAAGAAAATAATAAACTAAGGTAATATGTCAAGAGTAAAAAATGGGTGAGGTGTATATATTAGGTCAATTTAGTCTTATATCATCTTTAAAAGTAATAATCCTTTTAATTATTTAAAGTAAATAAAAAATATATTTTAGATATAATAATAATAAATAAAATAAATATTTTAAAAATGAACCCACACACAACCAAAAAAAACATTACAGTTATTTGCAGCACTTTGTTTTTTTTTTTTCTTCTTACGAAAACAAAGGTATGTGGTGAAAAGAAGTCAAATGTAGGATTGGCATTCACACGCATCTTTGTCTTGTTTGTGGGTCACTCACACTACACACACCAAACCCCTCCAACCAAGGAAGCATGTATTTTTATTATTATTATTATTAGTGCAATGTTTGTTAGACTTTTTTAATAAAAAGAATATAAAAACATTAAAGTTGTTGAAAATCTCTCCCAAAGTGTGCACAAAAACAGTGAATTTTGAGTATCCTTTGAGGTGTGAAAATTGGAAGACCAAGCATGGCGAGGGAGAAAGTTGTCGTGACTGTGGAAGACACGAATAAGTTGATTTTGTTGGCTTAGAAATCAGTGTGATCTTTGCATCGTCACTGTTTGGTTTTGATGTTGTTTGTGTGACATTAACAAAATAATTGAGTTTTGTACTTTTGTAATCTCCTCGTTGCTTCTATCAATCTTTTCACATTCGTAAAGGTTTTGTTGATAGGGAGACATAGTTTTTTTTTCCTCACTATCAAGGAAACATCAACTTAATTCACATAATCCAAATTAGTGCTGATGTTTGTGTTGTGGGGTTTTGAGTTAATCATAGTTAATAAGAGTTAATGAAACTTGTATTATACTTTTAATATTTTAAAGCCAAAAAGAAAATAAAATAAGGGAAAGACACTAATTACGTAACGTCATGACCTTAAATAACAAGTGTGGTGGAAGATTGTAGAAAGCTTCAAACCATGATTATTTTCTTCCTCGTTTCATCTTCAACACGCACAAAAAGGTAAACATCATAGTGAAATTAAACAGGAATGAAATCATACCCAAGTTTATATATATATATATATATATATATATATATATATATATATATATATATATATATATATATATATAAGATTATAATTTTATGTGAAAGTTTGTCTTATTAGTCATTTATTATTATTATTATTATTATTATTATTATTATTTAAGAGATAAAGCTAAAGAAAATTTATTTACATTATTTTCTTTTAATCTATTTAAATTTTTTTAAAGATAAAGATATTACGTATTAGATTTTAAAAACAAAATACCTCAAAGATAATGAATGATAATAAATATGAGATTAAAATATTTTCATGGAATAAAGATATTTATTATGAGGTTAAAGATAATTTCATTTCACTCGTATCTTTTAGTTCTTTGAATAAAGGTTAGGTTCGATATATTCATTACTTTTACTTAATTTATAAGTCAATATCAACAGTGGTTTACAAGATCTTGATAATTGATCTTAAAGAGACAAAGTAATATATTATTAAGAAATGAATATGAAAATAAAAAATAATAAGAAAGGGTAAGAGATCAAATTTGTAAATATACAAACAGATATATTTAATAATAATTAAGTTTAAGGACTAAAATCATAAATGTTAAATTATAAAACTACTGGGAGTATGCCCCATTACCTCCCAAGCTTTCCTACACCTGGTTTATATGTATATCTTTTTCTTTCAACTCTGTCAAACACATATTTTAAAAATAAAAATGTGATAAAATAAAGTTTTAAAATAGACAATACCTAAACACATAATAATGAATAATTATGATATTATTATACTAAACACATAGTAATGAATAATTATGATATTATTATAGTAGATATAATATCAAGACACACTTATTCCTAAATAGAACATTCTTGATGAAACATATCCCAAAACACATCAAATTAGCGAACCATCATCTTGATAAGCAATAGTAAGTCTGAAAGACATCGTTAGTTTAAAATATCAAATGATCAGAGTTAAAATCAAACTAAGTTTTATTCAATATATGTTTATTTAAGTTATGTATTTATACATTAATTATGTTACATTGTATCTTAACAATAATATGTCATGATATTTAATATTACTAAATCAAATATATTGTTATAATCACTAAATTTCATGTTATTATTAAAAACACACTTTTGGTAATAGTTTTACATAAGTCTACCTTAATCATTTTTCTAAATCAAATTCACATTGGTTTTAATAATACTTTATAAATTAATAATACTTTATAAACTGTTGTTTCAAATAAAATATAACTTGACAAAAATAATTATTAAGCAAAATTTGTAACTTTGTTACACTTAAAAATAGAAAGAACAAAAAAAAGTTTTGTTTATAGCTTAGAAATGTCTTACATAAGACTTACTCAAATAGTTTATTGGTTTATATTATAGTTAGACTTTGATCTTAAGATTTATATAGAGTTGTCAAAATAGGTGGTTCAATCTAGTTTGGTTTTACTCGGCTAAGTAAAAAAAATAAAAATTAATCTAATGGTCCATCTTAACTTATATTTTAAAATAAGCCAAAATTTATTGTCTAACCCGACCTCATGTTTTTGTCTAGTTAAATTGTTTATTTACATGATTTTTAAATTTTTGTTTGAAAAATAATGTGTCATTAATTTATTTATTTAAAATTAATTCATAACCTATTCGAGATAAAATAAAATTATAAAATACCATCGTACAAGTTGTCTATACATCAAAAGTAAAACATATCCTATTAAAAATATTATATAACACATATTATAGTTTTTTTTTTCTATTAAATACATGTTATAAACATTTGTAATTAAAGTGTTTCTATTAATTGATTTAAAATTATGATTCAAAATTTTATTTATCTCTCATACTCAACAAAAGTAAATGAAAGATTAAGTTTAATAATGTATCTATTAAAAATACACTACATTTAAGAATGTGTCGTCTTAAATTATTTGTCCTTAAAACAAAATGTGATGATAATAACAAATAGGAAGAAAATGACCAAAACAAATAAAGTTTATATTTAAAGTTTATTATTCTTTCTAAATTAAATATATATATATATATATATATAATATAATATATTATCAAATTAATTTATTATGCATATATTTTTAATAAATAATATTACTTTTATTTTATTATAAAAATAATTAATATTTTATAAAATGGGTGAATCCATAAACTTACGAGTTAGCCTATAAACCCATTCAGACTTGACCTAAATAGGTCAAACTAAAATTTACCTAATTCTATTTAGGTTATAATTTTTTTTGCTTAACCTAATATATTTTTTGAGACTTTTAGACTAATTCATAGGAATAAGTTTATTTTAACACTCGTAGATTTATCTATAACTTTTAGTGTATTTATTACATTTATTGTATTCTTTTCGTTAAACCATTTAAATATGTATTATAATAATAATACATAATTAATGTATAATTAATGTATATTATTATTTTGTTATACATAATATTGTATTTAAAGAATAATACTTAATATTAAACTATATATAATTTATTAATTAAAATATCTAAAAAAATATATATTAATAAGACTATTTTATTATTTACATTTCTATTTAGTTGAAACACTTATTATTATTTGTATTCTTATTTTCTTATACATTAAAGTATTTTTATTGGTAAACATTTATATTATTATTAATATTTAATATAATTTTGTCCAATAAATTATAAAATGACACGGTGACCAATGAGTCTAAATTAATAAATCAACCTTATCGAATTATTTATCATTAACACCGTACATTAAAAAAATTATAATATATTTTCATTTAACCATGAATTATGACTTGGAAAATATTATCTATTATAATAATAATAATAATAATAATAATAATTCAGTTGAATTTAATTAATTAATAAAAAAAATGAAAACTTTCACTATAACAATTTTAAAACAATTAATGCAAACGCAAAATTAAAAAATTAAAATTAATAAAATACAAGATGAAATATTAGTGTTGAAATAGATAATGTAAATAAATGATTTTTGAAGTTAGATGAAGAATTGGAAGATGAGGTGGAAAAGCAAAGATTGTCCAAAAAAAAGAAATGTTGGATGTTGAAGTTTGAACGATGGAGTAAAATAAAGTGATGGCATGGACAATATTGTTTTCTCTCCTTTTCGCCCAACTCAAAACCCTTCATTCCTCGTTACCCAATTTTAACTTACCCCTTTTTTTCCCCTACAAATCATATTTCAAAAAATATATATTTAAAAAAAAATACAAATCGATAGATTATATTTTTTTCTTACACTAGAAAACGGTTATAAAACAAATCTTTATATATAATTATAGATAATAATAATAAAATTATAATTATATAATAATAAAATATGAAAAATGAAAAAGTACGATATCACCAAAAGATAAAAAGTTTTAGAGCTTAAAAAAAAATAAAAATTCTTCAATGTTAAAGAAAAAAAAAGCCATCGCGACTTGATGTTTTAAAATATGATTTACTTATTTATGGATTTTCATTTAAAAAAAAAAACGTTGCACTAATATAATGCCTTTTCCTCTTTTCATAATTTTTGAAGTTAAAAAATTGTGGAAGAACATTAAAACAACTTATCACAATTAAGTTTAATATAACTTTCTATTAAATTTAATTAGGTCATGTTAGATTATATTTATTTAGTTCATATAAAAATCTAATTTAATTATAATTGAATCGAGTTATTATCAAAAGGAACAATTATTTTTTTATTAAAAATACCTTAAAATATATAAGATTTCCAATATTTTATGATAATTATAAGATAAAAATCATATATTTATAATGCATACTTAAATAGTATTTATATAATAAAGTTTAGAATATAGTTCAAACTTTGATGAAATACATAACATAAATATATTTCTGATGTGTATCTCAACAATTTATTTAGATGCAGAAACACATTATATATATATATATATATATATATATATATATATATATATATATATATATATATATAAAATAGAATAATGGATACGTAATGTTCAATTAATTCAATGCTAGGCTGTTACATTCGGCCTTAATAATTATAATAATTATTAAGAATCAATTCAAAGAGTCTGAATTAAATAGTATTATTAATAATAAAAACACATTTCCAATAAAAAAGGCTAAATTATTTTGATAGTAAATTTAGATAATTTATTCAACTTGATATTTATATTATTAAAAGTTTCAGTCAAATATAAAATTAGAATCAATTTGATTATCGTGTGAAATAGTACAAACAGCATTATCAAATAATCTAACAGAAGAGAACAAATTAATATTAGTTTAAAAACTGAAGACCTAAATGAGATTTTTAATGACATTGAAACCAAATTAAATAAATTATAAGATTTTGTCTTAAGATACTGAACTTTGAAATGCACTATTGTTTATGTTACTGTTCCTTGTGCTCTTTATTTATTTCAATTATAATGTGACATTTTATAAAGTATTAATGTTTATAATCTTGAAGATCCATAGAAAGTTTTAATTTGATGGACACTTCAATTGCTTTGGGCCTCCACTATACATAGATCCATAAACAAAATATTCACGCTTCTCCTTTCATTTGGATGACAAAATTAATGTTTGTAATAGAATTTAGGGTTTGAAAATATAATAATATTTAATAAAATAATAATTTTAATAATATACTAAATTTATTATTAATAATAAAAATCTTATAATAAGAAAATTATCAATTGAAACCTAAAAACTCCTCTTTTATATCATTTAATTAATTAAACTTTATGTTTGAAATTAATGATAATAACGATTGTTTTTAAAAGCAGTGGACAAAACAAGTCCAGTTAAAGTTAAAATTACGATAATAACCATTGTTTTTTTTATAAATATTAATGAACGTCATGTCACGTGTGACTTATCATATACTCAATATAAAATTTGAGAATTTGTTAACAGGAATGTTTAATTGGGAATTTGAAGACGCAACCCAGCAAAGGCGATTGATAAACAAAACCATGAATCAAGTCATCATTTATCCTTTAATCAACTTTTGACAACCATGTCTACGCTGTTTTGGTCTCCCACGTACAACATGTTTCTCATTTCATTCTTATAACACCAACCACCCTCGCCCATCACACTCCAATTACTGCACCCAAAACCATCTATTTTGGGTCAACAATGATGCTGCAACAACACCTCAAACTTGTACCCTTAACTCTCTTCATCTTGTGGAGCCTTGAGGGTGGTGCCCTAGGAGACCCTCAAACTCGTCTGCTCAACAAGGGGTGTAGCCAATACAACGCCTCGGATTTGACCAACTTCAACCAGAATCTAAACGCAACTCTGGACGACCTCAGGGTTCAAGTTAGCAACCAAAGCAAGCACTTTGCCACGGCTCAAGCAGCCAGAGGACAGAACCCTGTCTATGGCATGTTTCAATGTAGGAACTACCTCTCTACCAGTGACTGCGCCGCCTGCTTCTCCGTCGCCGCCTTCCAAATTCGCAACTGCTCCGCCGGAGCCAACGGTGCCCGTGTCATCTACGATGGTTGCTTCCTTAGGTACACCACCTATTTGTTAATTAATATCATCGCATCTATTTCTCATCCCTAATAATTCATCATTTGGTTGACATCATACATCGTGTTACATACATCATAAGTGTCATTATTCTATCAAAGTTTGTTTTGTACAAAAATATTTTATTAGTGAAATGATATAGGTATTATTTTTTTTGAATGAGATGAAAGATAACAATTTAATAGTTGTCGTGTCTAAGGTGGAATTGCAATGGTTGGACTTTTGGGGAGGTGGTGTTGCATCAATAACTTGATGTCATGCATTTCATTATCAAGTTATCAGTTCGTGTTCTTCTGTTTATTTTCGTTTTTGCCGCCATGGTGGGACACACAAATTTAATTCTCATAATTCTAATATATATATATATATATATATATATATATATATATATATATATATATTTTAATATTTAATAAAAATATTTATTAGTTTTCTATTTTACCCGTTTATATATCATAATGAATATTTATGAAAATTAATTAAAGATTAACTAAAATATAACAATGTAAATGATAAAAAAAGTAATTAATGTAATATATTTTGAACTTTTAAAATGGCAGTTAAATAAAGTTTAAAAACTTCAACCGTTAAATAGAACACTAAATTTAAAATATGATTTGAAAGACCTTATTTCAATCGGTGAATAATTTCCTTTTTGGTTTAGTTAAGAATCGTGGTTTAGAATTATAGACGCTTCATACGAGAGGAAAAAAATGCAGATAAAAACATTTATGTGGTCTGAATAAACGTTTATATCATCACTCCAATTAAAATAATCTAAACTATACGTAATTTTATGTTTGGTATGTAATTAAAGTGTTATTAATGCATTATCCTATATATACTTATTTTAACACAGTTTTTTAATAATTTTATCCACTAAAATAGTGATACGTTCAAACAAATTTGTTAGAAAATACGTTGCTTCGGTGTTTTTTTTAGATATTAGTTTCCCAGAAATTTAATAAGAAAAATAAAATATTACCTTCAATTAAAATAATTTTACGTAAACAAATTGAGAATATATAATATTACTTCTATTTCTTTATATTATTAATTATTTTCTTTTATATTTCCCCTTATTTTCCTATTTCTCTTTTTACCATACAAAATAAATGTACACGTATATTTTAATGTTATTTTCTTTTATTTTTAGTCATCTAATTCTCATTTTCCTTTTCTATCTCAAAATTAAAATATAATAAAATATTAAAAGAAATTTCATCAATAATAAATGAAGAGAAACACATTAATAATATTTATATATAAATTTATCTGTATCAATCATTAATTAAAATTGATATATTTAAAATAATCAATAATCTATATAATGAATAATCTTTAGTGAATGAATTAAATGTTTTGCTTCTAGATGTATATAAAAAAATTGTCTCAGCATATTACTAGTTCTTATTTGACCATTGGGCATTTAATACTAGTATTCTTTAATTAGTGGTCACAAGATCTTGGACTTGACCCTACCATAACTAATTTAATGAGTAATGTGACTAAATGATAAACCATATAGTAAAATTGAAGTACAATGCACATTTATATTAATATGTTACTGGCCTATTAACTTTATAACAGTGGAAGGGGTAAAATTGGTAAAACAAATAAAACCAAAATGGATACAAATTGCTTTTATTTATTTGGTAAAATTTCACCTATAATAAATTATACTAAAAAAATTCACATACTAATTTAATAATAAATATATACTAATATTTTTAATTAGATGATTCTTATATTACTGTAGATTTTAAATTCACATTTTCCATAACATTATATTCTTTTATTCAAATAAAGAAATATTTTTCCTTTTCTTTAATTAAAAATAATATAATAATTAAAATTTAAATATAAAAACTATAAAAATAATAATAAGATTTTAAAATATAAAATTTATATAATTTTTTATAAGTAAATATTCGAATCGTTTACTTATTATATACTAATATCATAAAAATATATTTTTACTAAATTGTAAATCATCTTATAAAAATATATATATTTTTGAGAAAATAATTTTTTTTATTTGTAAAATTAATGTTTTAAAATATGTTTTTTTATATTTTAGAATTTAATTTTTAACTTTCATATTTCTTTTATATTTAAAATTTAGTCAATATGATATTTTTAAGTCACACAGATGTCATTAACGCTCCTACAATTTAAAATAAAGAATTATATTTTCAAGTTTTTAATAAAATTACATTTTTTTATTTTTAAAATGACATTCATTTCCTTATAATTTTATTAAGGGACATAAATATATGAAAATATAAAATAATTTTATTAAGGAATATAAACATTATTTTATTAAAAATATATGGGAGGTCAATTTCTTTAAAATTTGAGAGGATATATTATTAAAAATTTAAGAAGGTAAGTGTATATTTTAAAATTATTTAGCGTTACATCAGGACAATTAAGTATAATTTCCTCTGTCTTTCATTAAAAATATAAGTGAAGTGAATATTTATTTTAAAACTAAAAAAGAGAAGTGAATGTTTATTTTAAAATATAAGAGTCTCAGTTTAATAATATCTCAAGAAGGTAAGTGTAATTTTTCTTATCTATTATTATGGGTACAATGTAATTGCCTTCTTCTATTTTACAACAAGTTTATTACATTAAAACTGAAACTACATTAAATATTTTTTGTTTTTTTCATGACCGAAACATAAATAGGAGCCTCCAAATATCAAACCAAACACAGATGTACTGTTAAGATGTAAAGTCAATTGTTGTAAAAATTCTGTATTTTGGAAAGATTTTAGGGTTGATACAAGTTATAAATCTTGATCAATTATGTTTGTCCCTTTGAGTGTGTAAGTAGTACACCCTTCTTTCTTGTTTTATTGTCTAAGAAAATTGTGGGTACATTAACACATACATTAACATCTGTGTTTGATACTTTTGAATGTGTTGTTGAGGTATGAGAGCAGTGGCTTCTTTGACCAGACCACTCTGCCTGGCAACAGTATGACTTGTGGAAATCAGACAGCAGTTGGAGCCACTGATTTTAACACAACTGCACTGCAAGTGCTAATGGATCTGCAAATTGCAACCCCCAAAATCGCCGGTTTCTTTGCAGCTACCAAGACACAACTGGCTGGTGGTGCAATCTATGCCATTGCACAGTGTGCTGAAACTGTCTCAGAGAGTGGTTGTCTGGATTGCCTCACAGTTGGATACAACAACCTACGGATTTGTTTACCCAATACAGAGGGCAGAGCATTTGATGCTGGATGTTTTATGAGATACTCAGACACAGCCTTTTTTGCTGATAACCAGACCATTGATATCACACCCTTCTTGCAACAAGGTAGAATTAGGGTCATTTCTTTACATTAATTTTGATATACAAGGTAGAATGAATGATAGAAGTATGTCACACCCTTCTTGCACCTATATCACCAACATGCAGAATAGTATATTTTTTGAACTGCCCTTTTATCTTTCAGGCGGCTCAAGCAAGAAGGGAGCAATCATTGGTGGGGTTGTTGGAGGTGTAGGTCTTGTTGTGATCCTCCTTGCCCTATATGTCTTGTTTAAACGGTACAAGAAGCCCAAGGAGGTTCGAAGAGGTGAGACAATTTGGACAATCTTTGAATTGATGTTTTCTTATATGTTAGGTTTGATTTTTACCAATGTATAGAAGTTAACAAACTCACCTCACCATATATAATAATTTATGATTAATAGCAATGTAAATTTGTCTGTACATTTATATTGATTTCATACTTATAGAGTTGAGTTTGTACTAATTTTCCTTTAATCTTTATTCCAAGGAATCAATTTCCTTTTTGAATGTAGATAGATGAATAATTGGATTCCTTTATTCATTAAGATATTCCAAATTTCGTTTCCTTGTCAGGTAACATATTGGGAGCAACTGAATTGAAAGGTCCAGTTTCCTACAGGTATAAGGATTTGAAGACTGCAACAGAAAATTTTAGTGATGAAAATAAACTGGGAGAAGGAGGTTTTGGAAATGTATACAAGGTAATTTCAGAATTTTTATTGGAGTACTTGTTTGAAAACAAGTTTGATTCATTCTGAGCGTGGTTATGTTAAGCAGAGACAAAATTCATGACGAGCTATTTCTCTGGAGACAAAGATAAATCACTTTTTAATATTGTAGCTAAAATCGTCAATTTTTGGAACAGGGAACTTTGAAAAATGGGAAAATAGTTGCGGTCAAGAAATTATTTCTAGGCCAATCCGGTAAGATGGATGAACAATTTGAAAGTGAAGTTAAGCTTATAAGCAATGTTCACCACAAGAATCTTGTTCGACTCCTTGGATGTTGCAGTAAAGGCCAAGAGAGAATCCTTGTTTATGAATACATGGCAAATAAAAGCCTGGATAGATTCTTATTTGGTAAAACTCATCTCAATCTCCTAAATGCAGCATTTTGTGAATCTCTATTTTTTAAATATTCCTCTCTCTTCCTCCCTTTCATTCAATCTATTTATTAAAATTTTCGACACAGGTGAACAAAAGGGTTCTCTCAACTGGAATCAAAGATATGTTATAATTTTAGGAACAGCAAAGGGTTTGGCCTATCTACATGAGGATTTCCACGTTTGCATCATACATAGGGATATAAAGACTAGCAATATCCTCTTGGATGATGAGATGCAACCAAGAATTGCTGATTTTGGATTGGCAAGACTTCTACCAGAGGACCAATCTCATCTCAGCACGAGATTTGCAGGAACATTGTAAGACCAAATGTTTATTTCTCCTAGAGAGTTAGATGTAATAAAAGAGACATCTATTAGTATTATGATTATTTTTCTTTGATGTTTCCATTCCATTCTATGTAGAAACATTCTTTCATCAATTATGCTACAAAAATTGTATACATGACAGGGGATACACAGCACCTGAGTATGCAATCCATGGTCAGTTATCAGAGAAGGCTGATGCATACAGCTTTGGTGTTGTAGTCCTAGAAATCATAAGTGGCCAAAAGAATAGTGAATTGAGGGAAGATGCTAATGGTGAATTCCTCCTTCGAAGGGTAAGCAATTTCACATAACCCCATAAGAAAATTCTCAACTATCTTATAGAGTAAATAGCCTAGTTACTGATGTATAAACAATCTTCTGAGTGTTTACATTATCATCTAATCAAATCACAATTGTACGATGAGTTTGTTACTTTATCATAGTACCTACCTTATGAATTTTTATTGGTTGATAGTGACAGAGTGCATAGAAATCAAACTCTTTCATTTAACATTTGGCCATATAAACTTCGGTCTTACTTGAACAGGCATGGAGGCTATATGAGGAAGACTTGCATTTGGAGTTGCTTGACAAGACCTTGAACCCTGAAGAATATGAGGTAGAAGAAGTGAAGAAAATCATAGAGATTGCTTTGCTTTGCACTCAAGCATCAGCTGGTGCAAGACCAACAATGTCTGAAATAGTAGCCTTACTCAAAAGCAAGAACTCAATTGGGCAAATTAGGCCTTCTATGCCTGTATTTGTTGAATCTAACTTGAGGACTCGGGCAACTGAAACCTCTACCTCAACTGGTTCCTCTACATCTAAGGCTACTGTTTCCATTTCTATGCCCTCAGCTCGATGAATATCTTAAGAAAGAGCTTATGTGATGTGCAGTAAAGGGATTTAAAGTTTCGAGCTAAAGAAGGAAACAATGTGGAAAAAGGAGGGGATTTTTCTTCCACAATCTTGAAGTATTGCTCATTTAGTGCTACAAATACCAAGAACATTGTCATGTAGTGATTGATGTGATGTTGATAAATTAGCCACTTTGTTGATAATGAAGCACTTTAGTGAAGATTCGGACTGACCAGGAAAATAGGGTCTTCCACTAAAATGTGGTCCCGTTAGTTTTGCCTTTTCTTTTGCAGCATATGGAGATAGAATTTTGACAATGTATTAAAAAACTTCCAGTGTGATAACAATTTGGGTGAGAATATAATGTTTTGAAAAATATATATTATACAAAGCTCAAAATCCTGCCTATTTTTTCTCATTATTTATTTATTTATTTATCTATTTGATATTGGGTTAATTTTTTACAACCTTAGATTAACAAGAAACTTTTTGGCTACAAATTTTACTCGAAACAATACAAAGCTCTGAATAATTTTTTTGGCAACTCTGAATAAGGATCCATCCTCGATTGAATTTTCTCTTGTTTGTTAGGATTTGGTTTTTGGGAAGATGACACATTAATAATATTAAAATTTAATTTAAATACAAATAATGTATGTTTCACTATAGTTATCACTGAAAAAAAAAAGAGTTAACTTTTATAGTAATGATATTACAAATTATTTAATTGTTTTTTCTCAGTGTAGAGACTTTTATATTATTGACAGGACATAAAAATCACTATCAATTAAAAGGTATATTTTTCTTGTTTTATTATTGAAAAGAACGTTCTAAATAGTAGATATAGGTGATCATTGAGATGAAACTACTTTTCAAACTGCTGAAATTCTGCTGAATCAACTAGGCATCTTGGATGAAAGTTTTGCTGCGGGCCAAGTATAAACGTGGTAGTGACCAAATGGCCATTGTTTAGAAAAGAAAAGTGCAATGGAAATTTTTGGAAAAGAGTAGCAGAAACTTGGAACTTGCTAAAGGATAATATCCATTGGAGGGTTCTCACTATCCTAGTCTTAAGGATATTGCTTTAGTCCCTTCCTAGCAAAAGTGTTTGATTTTGCTCATCCTTCTGTGGTTCAGATTTTCACCAAATTCGCACCATGCTGAGGGTATATAGTCTGACATGCATTAATAGCTATTGAGTTGCGTCTTTCTTTTTGAGACGGCGGCTGAGGGCATCCTCCACTTCATTCATATCCCTTCAATTCCTTCTCCTCTCCACCAAGCTGCTTTCTGGTTTACATCATAAAATGACTCAACCAATTAGTCATGCCGTTGCTTATTTCACAAGTCAATAAAAGCACGGCGTTATATTTTTTGTGTACAAATGTGACTCTTAGGTATTTGATTGTGGAGTTGGGTAATACATTTCTAACTGTTTAGATTCCTTTATCAATGTGATATTTATAAGCTTAACTTACTCATCTTAGTTGAAAATTAACCTCAAATTTTCTAATCGATCAACTTATGTATATGTACGTGTTGATTACGTTTTCTGAGTCAAACATGCACTACAGTGTCATCAATCATCATTGCTTCTTCCTTAAAAAGTCAAACCTAGATCAATGGTTTTGCAATGTAGAATATCAAACCACTTCCTCCTCGTATAACAAAAACAAGAAGACTAATTAAATAAAAAACCCTTGTCTAGTCTCCGTACACACTGTATTTTCATATCTTGAACAAAGCTACAAATCTAGGAGGATGCTGCAACTTAAGCTACTGGTCTTAACCTTGATATAGTGGAGCACTAATGATATTCATGCATATGGTGCTGTTGAAAATCCAGAGAGACAAATCTACTGAACAAGGGGTGCAGCGCATACAACGCATCCAACTTGCCTAGCTTCTTTGCCAATATCAATGAAACGTTTGCAAGCCTGAGAGCACAAATCAGCAGTGATCAGACCAAGCACTTTGCCATAGAAGATAAAGCCAGGGGAGAGGTGCTAACATATGCTATGTTTCGATGCAGAAACTATCTCTCTAATAGTGAATGTCTTACTTGTTTCAACACTGCCACCTCCCAAATTCGCAACTGCTCCGCTGCTAATGGCGCCAGAATCATATACGACTCCTGCTTCCTCAGGTTTTCATAATAAACACATTTTTTGCAGTATAATATCTATATTTGATTTTGATGTTGGGTATTCTGAAAATGTGAGATGAGGTACGAGAGCGACAGGTTCTATGATGAAACCAATGAGCCTGGCGGTGGTGTGTCATGTGGGAACACGAGTTCAATTGTCACTGGTTTTAGAGTTGGTGTACAACAAGTGTTAATGGAGCTTCAGAAAGCAACACCAAAAATTGGACGTTTTTATGCAGCTACTAAGACACCGGTTGTTGGTGGTAGTGCAATTTATGCCGTTTCACAGTGTGTTGAAACTACCACAAAGGCTACGTGTCTGAAGTGTATGCAAGTTGCATACAAAAACTTACAACGTTGTCTTCCCAACACAGATGGGACAGCATACGATTTGTTTTATGAGATACTCCACCACACCTTTCTTTGCTGATAATCACACCATTCTTATTGCGCCCTTTTTAAAACAAGGTAGTGTTGTTCAATTCAATCATTCCCTTTATTTTTTATGTATATTTTAAACCAAAAAATAATCATCCAAGGATAGCGATTTCTAGAAGTTCAAAAATAAGATCGGATAACAATAAATTTACTCAATTTACAGGAACTAATACACAAATAACTATAAATGTATCCGTTATATATTTTTATTCCAAATATTACTGTGCATTTTCATTGTTCTTATAATTTTCAATGAGTTTTCAACTTCAAAATGAAGTTCGTAATAAAAGAACACGTCTTCAATTTTTATATGCCACCTGCAGACCTCGTTTGGAACTGTTTCCTTAATTTACTCTATTGCAGGAGGTTCAAGAGCAAGAAGTGGGGTATTATAGGTGGTGTTGTTGGAGCTCTTCTTTGTTGGATTTCAGAGTAGCGAAATAATATTTTTCAGCTGAGAAAATTAGGAATTGAAACTCAATATGTTACATGGAAAACTCTCAATAGATAAAGAAATAACTACGGATAAAACGAGAGAAAGATTTTCACTACGTGGAAGAATGATTACAACTTCTCTCTAAATTAGAAGAAAAAAACAATTTCTCCCTCTCTTCTTAAAATAGGAGAAATCAACCTCACATGAGAAACTTTATATTCTCTGATTTAATCACTCTTGTTGGGATGTCTTTTAAAGCATAAGAGGAAACCAATATTTATAGAGAATAAGGGACTTCTCTTTTTTGCTTTGGCATTTAATGCCACCGTAAAACTGGGAATATTATTTTTTCGAAGTTTTAAACGAGAATAGCAAGTCACCTAAAGAATAAAGAAAGAATTAGTTTTGCATCACATAAGTTCTTTAACTTAGAGTAGATTATATCATATTCCACTTTTTTACATTTTTGATAATATTATTAACACATGTCATACTATTCTTAATGTTAGCACGTGGTAAGACTAGCATGTAAGAAATACAAATTAAACTTGCTTATATCTCACAAGCCTTCAAATATACATATACTAGCATGTAAGAAATACAAATACAAACTTGCTTATCCGTGTTTGTTGAACATTCAAGGACTTGATGTTGCACTTGATGGACATGAATATTGTTGATTTTGATGATGATTCAAGAACACAAAGACTTAGAGTGTTGAAGACTTGTTTTGTATTGTAATAACTCTGTTTCAATTAGTTTGAGTCTGTAATATTAGAGTTTAAGATAGCCGGTACATAGTCTGCACCTTAGAAGCTTCAAAAAGCTCAAATTTATCATCCAAGCTTCGGCTTTAATCGATTAAATAGGGAAATAATCGATTAAAACAATGGAGAAAACCCATTTTCTGTATCTGTTCACTGGTTTAATCGATTAAACCACCTGTTAATCGATTAACTTAACAGCCCTTTTAATCGATTAAAACAGAGAGTTTTAGGGTTCTGTTGTTTTTGGCTCTGTAATAATCGATTAATACTTCATTTAATTGATTATTTCAGTCAGATTTTGATTTTTAACTTCAAATCAACCCTATTTTCGAAAACCCTATTTCCAAGAACCCTAATTCCGAAATTCCCAATTCCCAAACCCTAATTTCTCTACTTAAGCTTCTCTATGACACTCAAAAAGTTAGAACAACCTTTTTCATACAAAAGTTAAGTGCTGTAGTGCCAGAGAACTGTTTGTTGCAAGAAAAAAGGGGCTTTTGGAACCTGGTGTGAGCTAGAAGCGATAAGAATCACTAAGTGGAGTTCTTAGTGGATTGTATGTTGTGCCGTCTCTAGGGAAAACTGTTCATCATCTCTTGTGGATTTCAAAAGAGGTGTTTTCTTATCTTTATCTTTTCAAATGTAATTTGTTTGTAACAACTTGATTATAGTGACAACGTTAATCCTCTGATTGAGTGATTAGCAACTGGACGTTGTAATTTGTTTGTAAGAACTTGATTATAATGACAGCGTTAATCCTCTGTTTGAGTGATTAACAACTGGATGTAAGATCTTTTGATCCGAACCAGTATAAATATCCTGAGTAAGATTTTTTTTTCTTCTCTATTTTCATTTACACAGTTTTTAATCAATAAAATTTGAGGAAAGAGGAGCGATTCTAGAAGTGTTGACTACTGCTCACGGGTCCACCATGTATTTCAATCTCATCACAGGTCCACCACAAACTCATTTGGCAGTCATTGTTAATGTTGAACTACTTGTTCTTCCCCTTCGATATCATATTCCTCCATCCCTCAGACTTTGATATCATCTTAGTCCACCCCATGGATATCACAAAGTATGGTAACTAGACTTTTTCTGAGGACTGCATCAAACAAACGCATCTTTCCAACCCTTATCAAAAATATGGTGCAACTCAAGCTCCTAGACCTAACCTTGTTGGTTTTGTGGTCATGGTGGAGCTTAGAGAGTACAATAGGAGACCCTCAATTATTTTTCCTCAAATCGGATTGCAGCGGATTCATTGCACCCAACTTGGCAAACTTCAACCAAAATCTAAACGCGAGTTTGGATGATCTGACAGCACAGGTTAGCAACCAAAGCAAGCACTTTGCAACGGCTAAATCAACCACCGGAGCAGATCCTGTCTATGCCATGTTTCAATGCAGGAACTACCTCTCTATCACGGACTGCGCCACCTGCCTTGCCACCGCCACCGCCAAAATCCGCAACTGCTCCGCCGGAGTCAACGGTGCCCGTGTTATTTATGATGGCTGCTTCCTCAGGTACACCTCCATCCATTTACTATTTGATCAACCATCTATTTCTTACCATTCAGAATTGAATTTTCTGCATTCTTGGTGGGTACACTTTGACGAGAGGAAAGAGACAGTGACAAGAGAAACAATAGATAGACAGGGAGACTGATGTAGATATATGAAGTGTGTAACAAGTGCACAAGAGATTACAATTACTTAATATCAATGACATATATAGATAAATTCATTCATTTTTGTGATAATTTTTAATTAGTTTAAAAAGTTTTATTAAAATTTATTAAGTATTTTATTTATAAACCAAATTGTGAGATACTGCTGCATAATCCATAAAATATCATCCTTATACTTCCAACTAAAAAAGAGACATCTTACACAATAAAACCTATGAATTTATCTATAAATTCATTAGTTTTTAATTGTTTTATATTATTAATACAAGAGGGCTAAAGTATTGGAATTTAGGGTTGAGAGGGAGCATTGGAATTTTGGCTCTGTTAGTGGCGGTGCTAATGGAGCAACGAGTTTTCTGAATTCTGCATCTCGTTCTCCTAGCTGTTGACTGTTGTGAGAAATTGATCATGGAAACACGCAAATTTGCGGCCATTATCATGCTGTGCAACCCTTCAACTGGGTTTCAACCAGAAATGGATCAACAAATATGAAGTGAAGCCTCACTCTGGCTTATGTGATAATGTATCAGGTCCGGTTCGATCCGGTTCAACCAGTCCGATTGAACCGTTCGGTCCGATCCAGTTAAATAATCCAGTCTGGTTTGCGATCGGTTTGATTGAACCGTTGTGCAAGATCAGTCTGGTTGAACTCTGGTCCTGTTTGATTGAATCGACTAGGTCCAGTTGAACATTTTTTAATATTAAATATTAAAAGAGAACATTAACTAAATTCACTGACAAAATACTATATGATATAAAAGAATAATGATTTAGTTCTTTGAATAATAAAAACTAAAGAAAAAGTTTAATAAGAACTTATTTTATACTAATATATTTATGACTTCATCAAAGGTTATTTGGACTAGTTCGTAAAATGGTGTTTTGCATATTATTCAGACCGAGTGATTTAGTTGTTTTAGATATGTTTTCATCACAAGAATATGGGTTGGGAGTCCATGAAATTATGCCAGGATTGACTTCGATGATTGATACTTTCAAATGTGTTGACTGTTGAGGTACGAGAGCAATGACTTCTTTGACCAGATCATGCCTCGCAGCAGCATACTTTGTGGAAATCAGACTGCAAATGAAAGCACAGCTTTTAGTGCAGCTGGACAGCAAGTGCTAATGGATCTACAAACAGCAACACCAAAAATCACCGGCTTCTATGCTGCTACCAAGACACAAGTGGTTGGTGGTGCAATCTATGCCTTTGCACAATGTGCAGAAACTATCTCACAAAGTAATTGTTTGGATTGCTTGTCGGTTGAACGTAGCAGCATACAGGGTTGTCTTCCCTATACAAATGCTAGAGCTTTTGATGCTGGTTGCTTCATGAGATACTCGGAGTCACCTTTCTTTGCTGATAACCAAACCATTGATATCAGTCCCTTTTTGAAACAAGGTACAAATGTCATAACCCCATTTGTTTATGTTGAATGAATAAAAAGGGCAAGTGGATACCATCTCTATTTGTACAACTATGTCAATATATATGTTGGAGTTGGGGTTAAATTCCTTTTCCTTTTTGTCTTGAAGGCGGAAGTTCAAGCAAGAAGTGGGTCATTATTGGTGTTGTTGTTGGGGGTGCAGCCCTTGTTGTGATCCTTCTTTTATTATTCTCATGGTGTAGGAGACCCCAAAGTCCTAAGAGAGTTGCTAGAGGTACGACTATTTGTAAAGTCTTTGTGTGATGCTATGCAGTTGCTTCCAACTTTTGTTACACACTGATGATGCCTATTATTTCTTTGGTAAATATTGTTATGAATCAATGACTTAATTTCTATGTAAAGAAAAATCAAACTCATATTTTACTTGGCAGGTAACATATTGGAAGCGACCGAGTTGAAAGGTCCAAAGAAATACAAGTATAGTGACTTGAAAGCTGCAACAAGAAATTTCAGTGAGAAAAATAAAGTAGGAGAAGGAGGCTTTGGCGCTGTATATAAGGTACATTTGAGTTGTTCCTCACATTTCCATCGTTAGTGATAGGGACGAATCACTCTGAAACAGAATTTTTAATTATGATGCTACTGAACAGGGGACTATGAAAAATGGAAAAGTTATTGCAGTCAAAATATTAATTTCAGGAAAATCCAGCAAGATAAATGACGATTTTGAAACTGAAGTTACACTTATAAGTAATGTTCATCACAGAAATCTGGTTCGGCTTCTTGGTTGTTGCAGTAAAGACCAAGACAGAATACTTGTTTATGAATTCATGGCAAACAGCAGCCTTGACAATTTCTTATTTGGTAACTAATATGTCAATTTCCAGTAGAAGCATTTTATGTAAAAAAAAATTTCTTCAACTTGTTCTTTTCTCCTCTAATGTTTTCAGCATATATACATGGGAATCAGGTAAAAGAAAAGGTTTTCTCAACTGGAAACAACGCTATGATATAATTTTGGGCACGGCAAGAGGATTGACCTATCTACATGAGGAATTTCATGTTACCATCATACATAGAGATATTAAGAGTGGCAATATCCTCTTGGATGAAGAACTGCAGCCCAAAATTTCTGATTTTGGTTTGGTGAAGCTCCTACCTGGGGACCAATCTCATCTTAGCACAAGATTTGCAGGGACAATGTAAGTACACTCATGTACTATGCATCATAGTTTCACGATTTCTTAGAGTATATGAGGGATAAATGTTATGCACTTGTTAGGGGATACACAGCACCTGAGTATGCACTCAATGGTCAATTATCAGAAAAGGCTGATATATACAGCTACGGAATTGTGGTCCTAGAAATCATAAGTGGTCAAAAGAGTACTGATGTCAAGTGTGTGGATGATGATGCTGAAGATGAATACCTTCTTCGACGAGTAAGGATTTCCTAAAATTATTTCTATAACATTATTTGTTTTTCTTGTAACAATTGACTACATGGCCCTTATTTTTTACTATAACAGGCATGGAAATTGTATGAGAGAGGCATGCAATTGGAGTTGGTGGACAAAAGCTTAAACCCTAATGACTATGATGCAGAAGAAGTGAAGAAAGTCATAGACATTGCTTTGTTATGCACTCAACCATCGTCTGCAACGAGGCCAGCCATGTCTGAAGTAGTAGCTCTACTCAGCAGTAATGACTTACTTGAGCACATGAGACCTACAATGCCTATCTTTATTGAGTCCAAGATAAGACCCCACAGAGATATCTTTGCCTCGACTGGTTCCTCTACATCTAATGGCACTGCCTCCAATTCTATTGTACCTGCTCAATGATAAATTATATGATGCAAATGTTAGAGAGTCAAAATGATGTTGTAAAGCATGGATATGCATGATAAATAATCTGAGTTAGTTCAACTTAATTGTTGGAATCACTTAAGTTAGATTTCTTTTTTTTTTTATCAGGTGTAATCTTATCTCGTTTTTCTTTAAAATATTATTATATAACTTAAAATTTATGATTAAACTTAGTCCTTTTATCCTTGTCAAGAATTCAACTTAGTCATTTTTTAAGTTAATTTTAAATCTAAGGATAACAATTAAACTCATAATTGTGGTATTAATAATTGTCCGTCTTAAGTTTAATAAAAGAAAAAAAAAATCAAGTTGACCAAGTATGAAGTGACTTCGGGTTTTCCTCATTTTTAAAAAGTCGGGACGGGGTCGTGGATGGTTAATGCAATTTCCACTCTATCCCATCCTCACTTTGCTTCCGTCTCCACCCCGCTTATATTTAAATTCTAAAATATTAATATTTTTAAAGTATTTTTTCTCGTATATCATTTTTTAATAATTCATACTCTTTACTTTTATTTTACCAATTTTTTACTTTTTTGCCTTTTCTAATCTCTTAAATCAATTAGGTCATTTCATTATTCTCTTTCTCTTACTTTTTCGTATATTTACATTTTCTTAATCTCTTCAATCAATTTTGTTATCAATTTTATGAATACAAAGTTAAGTTTTCTTCTTCTTTATATTTTTCTAAAGATTCTACATCAATATTATTAATAACTAATATTATTCTATTTCTAGTTTATCTTTATTATATTTTACTATCTCATAATTTTTTACTTTTATTATTATTATTTATCATATATCAAATTTTATCTAAATAAAATAATTATATTTTGAAAGATTAAAAATAATTGATAATTAAAACTTTTATTACTTTAAACTAATTAAATAAAAATCAACTTATTAAATATTTTTTTATAAACTATATATTTCATATTTATTAATATTTTAAAATGATAACTTAAAAAATAATTAACTTGTATATATAATTAAATACTCAAATACATTATTATAATATATAATAATAATAAAAATAATCATAATAATAATAATTAAATGAAGTACAAATTACTATTATATGTATACTGAAATATATTATTAATAAATAATAAAAAAATATGAAAAAACAAGTAAAAATAAAATATTTTTTATTTAATATTATTTAATGATTTTTATATTTATGAAATAAAATTAGTTAAGATACCAAAATTATAAATAAATATGTTACAAAAATTTAGAGAGAGGTTTTAATTTCTTTTACCTCCCATGAAGAGTTATTAATGATTATCTGAGTGTAATATCTTCTTTAATAGAGATTTGAATGAATAAATATAAATTAATCATATAAAAAAATATAATATCACAAAAATAACCCTAATTAAGGTTGTCCTTAATTAAATCAAATGACGAATTATCAACTCCAATATTAGACTATTGAGTGTTTTAGACCAGATTAACATAAAAAAATTCTCATTTACTAGATCATTGAGTGTTTCTAACGGGACTAACATAAAAAATTCTCATTTATTAGATCGTTGATTATGATAAAAATATTTTCATAAATATGAATGAACCAATTATATAATAAAATATAACATAATTTTTAACCTAAAACTTCTGGAGATAGTATTTTTCAAATTATTCAATTTTCCTATTCATACTTGAATTTAACAAAAAAAAATATATAGGTAAAATATATTAAACAATGAAAATAGTTAATGTGAATATAAAATTCTCTGAACCTATCAAATAAAAAAATTGATAAAATTTTAGTAAATATAAATGTAAATGTAAAATTTAAAATTGTTCTTGCAGTGGTTGTTAAATGACACCATTTTTAGGTTTGTGTAGCCAAATTGCAACTTCAGTACTTTTTATTAATAGCAACAGATCAAGAACTGTGTTAAACTATAAATTAGCTTGCAACCACACGCACAACTTGTGTAATTGGCTCGTGTGTACATTCATAAAAATGATCTTAGATAGATTTTTCATAACTTCTTAATCAAAATGCTGTAAAATTTCATATGTGAAATACGAAATTGCATCAAAGCATAATAATATATAGAGAAAGAACCAAGATATCTTATATATAGAGGGGGAAAAAATTTTACACCCAATTTTTTTTAAACATAGAAAACCCTAAAATATTATTATTTTTTATTTATTGGAGAGAATAAAATAAGATAAATAAAAAATAATATAAAAATCTAAAAATAAATTGTTGAATAAATATTTAAAAAATGTGGATTGTAAAAATATCATAACCTATATAGAATGAGTCTTTAATTTAAAAATATATTTTATTAAATAAATTGAATAGAGACCATGTGACTTATTACCTAATAATTAAAATAAATAATAAATAATTTATGAAAAATATGAATATAAGTGATATAAAAAATGTTATATAAAAGGTCTACTCTAAATAAATTAAATTAATAATAAATAATTTATTACAGATTTGAATATAAATGCTAAAGATATTAATAAAAACGAGACTTTAGATAAATCAAAGGCTTATTGTGTCATTTTGTCCCTATAAACTAGTGGAACAGAAAATAAAAATACAACTAATTCTTTATATGAACAGGAAGACAATATTTTCCATCAATAAATTAAAAATATAATTTATTATTTTATCAATAGGTGTTTGATATTAATATTAATAATTTGTTTGTAATTAAGTAAAGATGATCCCTTAACAAATTTCATTTATTATTAAATATTAAGTGAGAATTTTTATTCACAGTAACTCTGTACATAACCTAATATATCACTTTAGTTGTGCCAGGAATTTTCTTGTAATTTTAATTTAACTCGATAAAACTTAAAAGAAATTGTTCGTTTTAGATGTAAAGTCATTTTTAATAAAGTTTTTCTTGTAACAAGATGCAAATAATATGTGAATTATATTTAAAAATTTCAGCTGTTCAAATTAAATACCTTATTAAGACTCAACATTTTTCTATGTTTTATTTTAATATTGTATTATAACTATCAGATATATTTGTATATTTTTCATTGCATCATAAACCATGTTATTATTTAAATAAAAGTGACATCAAAGTTGCGTGACCTATTAATCAATCTGAATTAAATTAATTTATCGATAAAATTTTTTATAACTTGAATCATACCTATTTTCATCCGTTACTTATTTTAAAACTAAATTAAGAGCCTATTAACTTATGAGCTACTTATACTTAAACTAAATTAACTTATAAATTTTATGAGTTATTCATTTTATAAAATAATAATTATTTTTTAAATAAAATTTAAAATAATATTATATATATAAAAATATAATAAATTAATTTAATGAGATATTCACTTATTTTAAAAATAAATATCAATAAATTTTTCATAATAATTTATTTAAATATTTAATAGTTAAAATTAATAATTATTTTAGAATAATAAATTATTAAAATAATAATAATAATAATAATAATTAATTTTTTAGTTCTTATTTTAAGATTGAATATATTTATTATTTTATAATTTATATATTAAATAATTATATCTTAAATAAAAATTAATTTTATTAATATAATTTAAATTTATTTTTTTTATTTTATTTTTTAATCTATTATTTAAGTGTAGACATGTTAATAGTTTTTATTTTTATTTTTTATCATATTAAAATTAGTCTGTTAGTCTTAAACTAGTTAAAAATTATGATTAATTTTAAAACATAAGTTAGACCTGGTTATTTTTTTTATTTGATATGTAGAATTAAGTCCACATGGGTCAAGTTGTCCTTTGATAATTTTAATGAATGGATTGAATTTATTTATTTTTACTAAAAAAATTTATAATTTGATTCAATCATGAGTTGATAAATTAAATGGATTAATCCATTAAAATATATGTCCTATTTCTTTAAATATTTTTAAATCATAATAATTCATTTAAATATTTTTTTTTACTTTCTTATTGTGTCAAAACAGGCTTAGCCTAATAGGTTGATTCGAAAGGTCCAAGAAATAGGTTAGGATAGACTAAAAATATTTGTGACCTAAATTGAATTAGATTTATTTTGATTTTATTTATTTAAGTCATGACTTATATAGACTTAGGTTAAGTTAGCTTATGAGTTTATGGACCAATAAAATTTATAGAATAATAATTATTTTTTAAATAAAAAAATAATATTATTTTATTATATATATATATATATATATATATATATATATATATATTATAAATTATTTTTACAAAATTCACTTATTCTAAGAATACATATAAGAATAAATATATAATAATAACTTATTTTAACATCTAACTATTAATATTAATTATTATTTTAAATTAATAAATTATGGTAATAATGAATAAATTTTTAATTCTTATTTTGAAATTGAATGAATATATTATCTTATAATTTATATATTAAATTATTATATCCTAAAAAAAACTATTTTCATCACTAAAATTTAAATTTTCAAAATATATTTTTATTTAAATATTTTTTAATTAATTGATTATGTATAATTAAGTAATTTTTTTAACTTAATCAGACCAAAATTAACTGTTAATCCTTTGGTCTAACATAAGATTAAACTAAACTATTTTTTTTTACTATTTTAAAATAAAATTCAGGTTAAATAGTCAAATTTGTTTTTATTTAACCCATAAGTCATACCAAACTTGATTAACCTCGATTTTAACAATTTTATTTTGACAACTTTATTTATCTTTTTAAGATAAATTATATTAATAATAATTTAAATATAAAAATAATGAATTAATACATTATGAATCCAATTAATCGAATCAAGTAAATTAGATTTGTTCTTATTCTTAATAAGTAAATTTTTAATTATTTTAATCCATTCCGATTTGTTAATAAAGATGAACATGTATTGGCACTTTATCTCTCTCTCTCTATATATGTATATGATAAGGAAAATTATTGATTTAATGAAGCAAACGCCAAATTTGTTAAGCATATTTCATGATGTGTTGACTATCCTTAATTTCAGGAGTCGTTGCTAATATTTTTATATATTATATATTATATATACTAAATAAATATAAAGTAAGTGGTTATGTAATACAGTAATTCACCACTAAAAGAAATTAGAAATGAGGATGCAGAATTATTCAAAAGATGATTATTCCAGTAACTGTCTCACAAAGCAAAGACTATTTCAAAGTCTTACGTATTTTATTAAATAACTTTTTTTTTAAATGCCATTTTTATTTTCCATTCGTCAAACAAGTTAGGCTATAAGTCTTGTCTCTTATTATAAAAAAAATAAAAGGTATTATAAATCTTAAATATATTAACAGGAAAATAGAACTCAATAGTTTCTACACAATTTATAGTCCTTTTTTTTAACAAAAACTTAAATTATTACTGCAATATGCAAACATTTAGTTATGACTTTACACAATTTTATTAGTATATAAACTATTAAAATATAATATCAATACATGTTAGTATACTATATTAATTTTATAAACACCTGATAATATTTTTCTGGTACCGATATATTAGTAGTGCATAACCGATTAACAATCTATGTTATTACATAATAATAATAATAATAATAATAATAATATATATTATAAACAATTATCAACTCATCATTTCTATTTTTTTATAAAAAGAATAGAAAGTGAGTTTTAAAGAGATTGTTTGTGATTATATATAACATTATAGTAGTAATTTTGTATGTAATATTAGGATAGTGTATGCATAATGAGAGGCGTATTACAAAAATAATTCACATATATATTAAGTAATTAACGCCAAAAATTATATGCGTGTTGACTACGATTTCTAGAGTCAATGTTCATTAATTATCCTCCCAATGTCATTATATTCACATTATTTAATTATTATATATAACAATATGGACTGCTACACTACACCTGTTTAATTATTAATTATTATGGACTGCTACACCATACCAATATTTAATTATTAAGTAAAATTTTACTTAACTCACCTGTTTACTCAAAGCTTAATTTAAATTAAATAATACTATTTTTGTTTCACATTAAACTGTTTTTTCTCACAACACCACTTAAACAACGGTCTCTTCAACCAGTGAAAACTGTTCAAAAACTAATTTTTGAACTTGCAGTTAAAACCTTTGTTTTAATTTAATTTAAATATTTTGTATATATTGATTTCTTAAAATTTTAAATAATATATATTACTTCATCTTTTATTCTAGATGTAAATTTATCATCACTAATGGACAGTATCATTTAATTTTTAATTTGTATTTCCTTGAATAATTAATGGTATATTTGACATTTTGACTATATACATGTGAGACAACAAAATTTGGCATCGATCTCTTGGACCTACTCTTGGGTTCTCTTTCTTCTCTTCCACCACTACCTAATTAACATACACGACAAGTGAATAAACCAAGTCATACACATATACATATATATTATGTATATAGACAGCAGACACCAATGTACTTGATTCTGTCCGAAACCAAAGAGAAACAGGAGATAATGTTTGAACTTAAGGTAATTGTCTTAACTATGATACTGTGGTGGAGCAGTAATAATGTTGAACATGGTGCAATGGGTGCTCCACAGACGCATCTAGTAAACAAAGGGTGCAGCTCATTCAACGCGACAAACCTGAGCAGCTTCTATGCGAATATCAATGGAACATTTTCAGAGCTTAGAAGAGATATTAGCAATAACAGCAAACACTTTGGCACAGCACAGCAAGTCAGAGGAGAAGTCCTCACCTATGCCATGTTTCAGTGCAGAAACTATCTCTCCAAAAATGATTGTCTTTCTTGCTTCGACACCGCCTCAACCCAAGCCCGCAACTGCTCCGCCGCCAACGGTGCCAGAGTCATCTACGATGGTTGCTTCCTCAGGTACATCTTTATGTATATACATCTTCCACAGTTTCAGCAATTCGTTTTCATTATACAACCACACCCTTTGGATATGCTTTTGAGGATGCTATATACATACACGTCTCAAGCTTACGATCACATGATTTCACTTGTTGAAGAGTGTTCATTACTGATGATGATGATTTTTCACGCTAAGATCAATAATAGATATCCGTACAATTATTTTTATCAACCATTAAATATAATCATCTGTTATTTTTATGGTTTGTATTAAATTTAGTTACAGTCATTTATACTTCATTATGTTTTCAAAGTATACTGATTGTTATTACCAATCAAATTATTGGTATCTAATATAATAAAATTAGTCACTAACTTAATTAGAGACTAATTTACAGTCTAACTTTTAATAAATAATTAAAATCTTGATAATTAATGTTAAAAATCAATTTAAATTCTTATTTAGAAATTATTTTAACTAGAATCATTTTTAATTTAATCGATAAAATGACTAAATATTGTTTTATCTAAATTATATATTAAAAGATTTTAGATTAATATTAAAGTTTAATATGATATAATAATAATAATAATTGGTATAAAATATATAACAGTGTACAATTCATTTGAACAAAGATAATGACTTGATGAATAAAAAAATGTTGAAGAAATATAGTGTATAAAATAATGATAGAATTTAATTTAAATGTATTTGGAATATAAAAAATTATTATACAATCATAAACTGTGATGTATGAAAAAATGGTTAGTTTTTGATAATATCTATTTTAAAGTTTGTTATTGTAGTAACTTGACTTTGTTTGACAAAATAATTAATTTATTTACATCAACTTAATGTAATAAACTTCAAATAATATAGCTTGTTTTCTATATTCTAACCCCCATGCATGACATCAATTAGTTTTATCTCTTCTAACAATGTTGAATATATGTTCATTAATTTTGACGTTGGATATCTTGTGAAAATGTGATGAGGTAGGTACGAGAGCGAGAGGTTCTTCGATCAGACCAATGAACTTGGGAGTGGTGTATCATGTGGGAACACCACTCTAAATACCACTGGTTTTAAATTAGGTGGTCAGCAAGCCTTAATAGACCTCTTTACAGCAACACCCAAGATTGCAAATTTTTATGCAGCTACTAAGACACTGGTGGCTGCTGCTACTGCAATTTATGCCGTTGCACAGTGTGTTGAAACTGCCTCTGAGACTAATTGTCTCAACTGCTTGCAAATTGGGTACGACAACATACAAAGTTGTCTTCCCCACACAGAGGGTAGAGCGTATGATGCTGGTTGTTTTATGAGATACTCCACCACACCTTTCTTTGCTGATAATCAGACCATTGATATTGCACCCTATTTGAAAAAAGGTACACCTGCAACAATTACCTTTAAATAAACAAAACTCTTTTAAATTTTTAATAATTTTCAATGTGGATTTTTGAAAGTAAAAATAAAGAGCCTAATCAAAAACGTATTTGATTTTTTATTTTTATTTTTTTGTGCATTTTTTGGGACTGAGATGTCAACTTTATACTGTATTGCAGGAGATTCAAGCAAGAAATGGGCCATAATAGGTGGTAGTGTTGGAGCTTTTGTTGTTCTCCTCTTAGCGTTGTTTGCATGGCGATGGTTTAGAAAACCGAAGAGGGTTCCTAGAGGTACGTAAATGTGGAAAAGTCTTCAATTTAATGGTTGGGGTTACTTGGTTTGCATTTTTAATGCTTTTTAGCTATAAAAGTAAAATGTATTCACAAGTAGTAAAAAAAAATATTAATTTGTTCAAACAATTTGTTTCATCAGCATCTATCCTTGGTTGTATTTCCTTAGTCTGTTTCTGAATTCTTTCATGATTGGTTTCTGAATTAACAGGTGACATATTGGGAGCAACTGAGTTGAAAGGTCCAGTTAATTACAAGTATAACGACTTGAAAGCTGCAACAAAAAATTTCAGTGTTGAAAACAAACTTGGAGAAGGAGGTTTCGGTGATGTATACAAGGTAGATTTATATGTTGTATTTTACAATACAAAGATGAAAAGTATGTTCAAAGACAATGAGCATTGTGTGTTTTAAAGCTTTCGATTATCATATTATATTGGATAAATTTTTTGTATACAAATGATCATGCATACTACTTTAAGCAGGGTACTCTGAAAAATGGAAAGATTGTTGCCGTAAAAAAACTAGTTTTCGGAAAATCAAGCAAGATGGAGGATGATTTTGAAGGTGAAGTGAAGCTTATAAGTAATGTTCATCACCGAAATCTCGTTAGACTTCTTGGTTGTTGCAGCAAAGGTCAAGAGAGAATCTTAGTTTATGAATACATGGCAAATAGTAGTCTTGACAAATTCTTATTTGGTATAACTCATCTCATCCTCTCAGAGATTTTTTTTACATATTTATTCATTTTTCCTCTCTTATCAACAACAATCATACTTGGGAAACAAACAGGTAACAAAAAAGGTTCCCTCAGTTGGAAACAACGCTATGATATAATTTTAGGCACGGCAAGGGGACTAGCATACCTACATGAGGAGTTCCACGTGTCCATCATACATAGAGATATCAAGACTTCTAATATCCTCTTGGATGATGATCTTCAACCAAAAATTGCTGATTTTGGATTGGCAAGGCTTCTTCCACAGGATCGTTCTCATCTTAGCACAAGATTTGCAGGGACATTGTAAGTTAAAACAATTGCATTCACTTGAACTTTTACAACACCAAGTTGAAGCAAAAGGGACAGTTAAATTATGATGTTGGAAAATCTAACATGCTATATTTCTGAGTCACTGTTGTTTTAATACTTACGGACTATATGTGATACACTTGTCAGGGGATACACAGCGCCTGAGTATGCAATCCATGGTCAATTATCAGAGAAGGCTGATACCTACAGCTATGGTGTTGTAGTCCTAGAAATCATAAGTGGTCAAAAGAGTACCGATGTGACGGGTGATGAGGATGGTCGTGAATACCTACTTCAACGAGTAAGCATGTTGCTATAAGTAGAACTAGGATTTGTTGGTTATGTCAAGACATTTTACCATTAGAAAAAATATGAGACATTTGATTTTCATTTAACAGACATGGAAACTGTATGAGAGAGGCATGCACTTGGAGCTGGTGGACAAGGCCATAGACCCTAGTGAATATGATGTAGAGGATGTTAAGAAAATCATAGAAATTGCTTTGCTATGCACTCAGGCATCAGCTGCAACGAGACCAACAATGTCTGAAGTCGTAGTGCTACTCAAAAGCAAGAGCTTGGTGGAGCACCTGCGACCAACTATGCCTGTGTTTGTTGAAACGAATATCAAGACTCGCGAAAGCAACTCTAGCTCAACCACTGGTTCTTCATCTAATGCCACTGCCTCCATTTCAGTTCTATCAGCACGATGATTTGCGGTAAAGGGTTTTCGGAACTGAATCAATAAAGTATCAAATAAAATAGATATAAAAATTGATTTTTCATTCCAGTTATAGTATAGAGACAACACTTGCAAGGTGATTGCCTATTGAAATTGTTTAAAAATAAAATTCAACACATTACACATCCATAATTATATTCAACTATTGCTTACTTTACTGTCCTTATACTATACTGTTTTATTTTCAGGATTTAATTTTAAGAAATGGTTATGATAGATCAAGGAGCGTGTGGCAACCAAATATAAAGACTTTAGACATGTACGGAACTATGTTTTAATAGTCTGAATGAACTGAACAAATCAGAAATTATATTTATTCTGTAGTTATTATCAATATTTAGGATATTACCGTATTGAAGTACCTGAGCGGTTGGTTAACGGGTCCACTGTCACACGTAGAGTGTTTATTTGTGTTTCTCCTTCGCCTTTCTTAACTAGGGTTTATTTTCACTGCAATGAAACCATTTTTTTTCTTTTTCAAATAAACCTAAACTTTAATTTTATAGGAAAACTAAACTGCAAATCGAAACAATTATACTTCATGTTTACTACATCAATATTTAATTATTATATTTGTTTTTGTAGAAAACGAAATATCTCTTATTGAATAGTGTGATGAAAAAAAATATCTTTGATGTGAATAATAAACAGAAAACTACTCTACACCAATGCGATTTAAGCAAAAACAATATATAAGTATTGAGCAAGAAAAAGAAAATATGAGATAAAAATGAGATGAAGTGTGACGTGTAGTAGTTTAATGTTATTACATAGGTTTGTAAAATCTTTTTCGATGGGATAAATGTTTGTGATATAATAATTGCTCTTCAGAAAAATTGTTAGAATTGATATTATATTAAAGAAATAACAAAAGATAATCGAATTATTATATTTTATTTTTTTAATTATTGTTTTTACAAGGCCGGGATGCTATAATACATCGGGTAAGTTGTTGTTCTTATCGGTTGGAACCAGATGTGGCGATTTCCATATAGAAACCACTTTTCACACTTAGTTAATAAATGAACCAGGGATGCATAATAGAAGTTTAAGATTAGATTCATATCTTCAACCTTTTACCTATTTATATTACCGCATATGGACTGTTCACATAGACCTTAATCATGCGTGCGTGTTCTGTACTGTGTTGGTGCTCCGTCTCTGCAGTACTATATTGGCGTTCCTCTCTGCACAATGTCCTTGCTGCAGGTTACAATATTCACTATTCGTAGTCGAATTCTTACTGTACATTTACGGTACAGTTATCAACTGTTATAATATTTAATTTATAAAATATTCAGGTTTTATTTATTAGAGGAACTGAACTCAAACTAACCACCAAGAAATGCTCGAAGTAATGGGTCTTTCAATACAGTACTGTAAAACGCATCCACATATTTATAATATTTGATACAAAATGCTTATGGAAACTGCCAAGCTTTGTTCTCTGGTAATTAATTGCATCATAGAGTGAAGCTAGAAAGATACTTGAATACCAAGGAGTGCCATCAACTGAGAAATGAACTCAGGGTGCGCTGGCCATGCAGCTCCAGTAACCAGATTTCCATCAGTGAAGCATCGGCTTATAGGATCAGGCTCCAACCATGTTGCTCCAGACAGAACCACATTAAGCTTCACAGCCGGATAAGCAGTGCATTTCCTTCCCTGTAACAGTATAAAATGTATGTCAGCATAGAACTAAGAATTCATGCTACCATCCATTGCATATCACTTATCACATAAGAAATGGCAAAAAGTAGTAGTGCTAGGTTTGAAGTTCCGTGGAAATAGACAAGCAAGCAAAAAAAGGTATACAAAATATAGAAGAGTACCCAAGTGAGAAAGAACTAAGAATAAATTAGTTACAAAAAGTAACGTTAGCATTTGATGAACACAACATACAGCAGGAGATGAAGTCGCACAGAAGCTGATTGCATGAATTTCATTTATCAGTAAGTCTGCTAAGCAGATGATATGATTCTCAATTCATGCATGATGTATGTCGCTACCAAGCAACTCCGGAATGAAGATAGGGACAAAAACTGTGATAACAAAATTCGGAGAAAGCCTGCATGACTTATTTAAAGAAATGAATGTAACCCAGTAAATGATAATGGGTGATAATTTCTTACTAGCTCGATTACACCTTTGTAACCCAACAATTCAAAAGAATTTTGTCTTGATACTGTTAAACAAATAGCTTAAGTTACAGATTGGTATAATACAAATCTTGACTAGAAAGATGAATAGAAACAATAAGAATGACCAAGAGTATAACAAAACAGTAGTAAAATGCCTCAACTTCAAGATTTTTTTTGAGTGAAACATAACATAGTGTTTCTGATGAGTTAACAGTAATAATACCTTGAGTACACCAGCTGCAGATAAAATCTGTTGGCCATGACAGATAGATGCCACTGGCTTCTTGTTTTCAAAGAAATGTTTCACCAAGGCAATGACTGACTCGTTTAAAGCCAAATACTCAGGTGCTCGACCTCCAGGGATGACAAGGGCGTCATAGCTAGAAGGATCTGCATCACCAAAGGTTGCTGTTAAAGGAAATGCATGTCCTGGCTTCTCTGTGTAAGTTTGATCTCCTTCAAAATCATGAATAGCAGTTGGGCAAGTGTCACCAGCCTTCTTTGAGGGGCAAACTGCATCAACATGGCATCCTAGAGCCTGAAGGGACTGAAACGGAACCTTGACTTCATAATCTTCCATGTAATCCTGCAATTGAAGTTGGTAAAACTCATCTTCATCAATCATCATTGCAATAAAAGTGAAAAGTTTAATGAAAGGAAGGGAAAAAAAAAAAGAGAAATTATTGGGTACTCTAGCTGCAATAACTGAGGCAAATGGCCAACACAATTTAGGTGGAATTACTCGATCATGTAAGATGATATAGTTTTACACCATTTGTGGCTAGGAATCTCTCAAACAAAATGTAGATAGTCTCAGCTCTAGCCTGAAAATTCTACTCCTACCACTAGTCATGCCAACAGAAGTAAGGTGAGCAGCATCTCCGCCCATGATTATCAGCTGTAAGCAAAACGATAAACATTTGACCCTACCCCACAAATAAAGAGGATTTTTCTACCCGAGCCACTTATAGTGCCACCTAATGCCTTCACAAAATGGCGAATAAGTTCAGGGTGCCCATCATAAGTAGCTGCAGTAATTAGATTATCATCCACCACTGTTGCTGCCATGGTATCCGGTTCAACCCAATGAGCACCAGCAGCAACCAGCACTGGTTTAACAGGAGGAAAAGCTGTGCACTTGCGACCTTTAACCACTCCAGCAGCAGCAGCAAGAATCAATTGTCCATGACAAATGCTAGCAATTTGTTTTCCCAAACTGACAAACTTGGTCACCAGCTCCACAACACCAGGAATATGAGCAAGATACTCTGGAGCCCTCCCACCCGGTAACCACAATCCATCATAGCTTGCAGCATCAACTTCATCAAACGTTGCATTGAGTGCAAAATTGTGACCAACTGTCTCACTGTAAGTCTGAAAACAGCCAAAATGCATCACCCAAAATTAGAACTTCACCATACCAAGTACAAAGTTTACTAAAAGTACTATTCTTGGAACTAAAATTCTGGGAATTGATTAATTAGGAGTCGTTTGGGTTAAGGAAACATTTATTGTTTTCACTCTTAAATACAAAAAATTGTTTTAATCTTTGTCTTATACAATTACATTAGATTTGACTTTAAGTTACAGATAAAAAAAACCTGATTTTAAGTTGTAGAGAACTCATCCAATCAAATACCAGAGTTTTTTTTTTATTATTATAAGGAAATCAAAACTATAAATATGGGTCATTGTAAATCGTATTGAAGTAATAACGATTAAAATAAAAACTGTACTTTTTTTCTATTCTTTTTGGTATGCTTGACCCATCCATGTCCAGTTATACATGACTCGTTTATAATCTTTATTTCTCACCGTACAAAAATGTTAAAGCTCTATTCATCCACAAAAATTTACAAATCAAGTCCAGCCTTAATTTGTGCTAATCAATTCAAACCTTATTTCTCTTAAATAATTAAATTACTCAATTGAATGAATTGATTTTGGAAATACTATGCAAGGCAGAGAAGAAGATGACAGAGACCTGGGCGCCGGAAAGCACATGGACGGCGGTGCGGCATACATCGCCAGCCTTCTTTCCGGGACAGACGGCGTCGACGGCGACACCGAAGGCCTGCAGTGCCTGAAACGGAACCATGGCCTGCAAGCAACACAAAATAAATGAATGAATAGAAACGAGTGTGAGAGAAGATTAATTCATACTTCATAGTGAATGAAGATGCTTACTTCGTAGTCTTCCATGAAGTCCCCACAAAGGAAAAGAACCCTTTTGGAAGCCATGTCCGGTTGCTGCTACTACAGTCTCTCGGGTGAGAATCAGAGTATTGGCTATACAGAGAAAGAGAGAGAGGAAGATGACGAGATTATGCGGCAATGACCATCTTTGTCACTTTCCTTTGGTCCCACCTTTTATGGTTTTCCAAAAAATTAGGTTGTCAAATGAAATGAAGATTTCATTTTTGTAATATCTAGATTCCTCCTCGACATTACAAATTCTCCCATTCTTTTTTTTTTTTTTTTTTTTAAATACTACTCTATCCATGCATACAAATATATATTTGATGGTGATATCGATTTAGAAAAGAAATCCCTATACAAGTGCAACTGTCAGTGAAAAGTTTTAATTAATAAAATAGAATCTTATTATTTAACTTTATATTTCAAAACTAAAATAATAAAGTGGATGTGCCGGAGTGGTTATCGGGCATGACTAGAAATCATGTGGGCTCTGCCCGCGCAGGTTCGAATCCTGCCATTCACGTTTATGTCTTTTTTTTTTATTATTTTTATTTCATTGGCACAGTTGCTTCACCACTCGGTTAATAAGAGTTAGTAATAATGCAACCATCACTTGTCGCTAACCTTTTTCGCCCTAAAGGACAACGTCGTTCATATCTTCTTCTACAAACCAAAACCCTCAAATAACAGAGCGTTAGGGTTTCCATCTCCGGCGACAATGGAGGTAGCGAACACGCGGAACCCCGCCACCAAGCGAAAATTCGACGACGCCGTTTCCAACGGCGTAGCCACCGACATCGATCTCTCCCTCCTCGAAGCCATCGAGAAATCGCAGAACACCGTCGAAGTCCTCGATCTTAGAACGCTAAAGAAGCACGTTCTCTCCTTCGAGCGTCGCCTGAAGGAAAACATCGAAGCGCGCCTCAAGTACCCTAACCAACCAGACCGCTTTGCCGATTCCGAAGTCGAACTCCACGACGAGCTCCAGAAGCTCAAGGTACTCGCCGGCGCGCCGGAGCTCTACCCGGACCTCGTCAGCCTCAATGTGGTTCCGTCAATCGTGGACCTCCTCAACCACGACAATACTGATATCGCCATCGACGTTGTTCAATTGCTGCAGGACCTAACCGATGAGGACGTTCTCGACGATAACGATGATTCCGCTAAGGTTTTGGTCGACGCGCTGGTTGATAACAGCGCGCTTGAGCTTCTGGTTCAGAATCTTCATAGGCTGAATGACTCTGACCCCGACGAGAATGCCGCCGTGTATGGAACCCTCGCGACGGTGGAGAATTTGATCGAGGTGAAGCCCGCAGTGGCGGAGTTGGTTTGCGAGAAGACGAAGTTGTTGAAGTGGCTTCTCGGGAAAATCAAGGTGAGGGAATTTGATAGCAACAAGCAGTATGCTTCGGAGATTTTGGCGATTTTGCTGCAGACTAGTACGTTGAATCAAAAGAAGTTGGGGCAGATGAATGGAGTCGATGTGGTTCTTCAGGCTGTGGCCATGTATAAATCTAAGGATCCCAAGAGTTCTGATGAGGAGGAGATGTTGGAGAATTTGTTTGATTGTTTGTGTTGTTTGTTAATGCCATTGGAGAATAAGGAGAGGTTTGTGAAGGCTGAAGGGGTGGAGTTGATGATAATTATTATGAAGCAGAAGAAGTTGGCATATGGGTCGGCTATTAGGGCGCTTGATTTTGCCATGACTAAGTACCCGCCAGCGTGTGAACGTTTTGTGGATGTTTTGGGGTTGAAGACCGCGTTTGCAGCTTTCATGGGTAAGGCAAGTGCTACTGCAACTTAACACTGTCTCCCCTTTGCACGTTGTTAGAGTTTTAAGTGTTGCTTGTTTTTGAAATGTTGGTATTTGGTGTCTGTGATCGTTTATGTTGTTTACTTTTAAAAAAAAATTATATTGTGTTGTGAGCTTGCTTTATGCTTTCATTGTCTTCTTATTTTGTAGACATGTTGTGAATAGATTATTGAAGTTGTTTGTTTTGATCTGCAGATTCCTGTAAGTAAGAAGAACAAGAAAGAAAGGTACCAAGAGGATTTGGAGGAGCGCCTTGTGTCTATGATTGCGTCATTATTTGGTAAGCAGGGAAATGAACTTTTATGTGAGTTTAGACCTAGGATGCCTTGTTTGGCTAGTGACTAACCATTCCAGATTGTATGTGAAGTTAGTTTTGTTTTGAATTTATTATGGTCAAATTGCAGTTGCTCTGCAAACATACAGTGCGTCCTGCATTTGACTGGGTATGATCCTTCTTGAACACTAAGGGTTTGTTTTTATTTTTGCTTTAAATGGGTTTCTGAAAATGTTGTTTGTGAAATTGTCTTACATGCCTTTATGTATTAAAATGTTAGTGGTGTCTATTACATGCTATGTATCAATGAAAATGGCAACAGTGTCTTTATTTATTCAAAGTGACATTAAATGCATCCAATAATGAAATTGAAATATGCATTTAGTGAGCATTAGATGCGTGTGCCATTGTTATCAGTATCTTACAACTCACGATAGGATTCATTTGATACAGTACATTTGTGTGATATGATATGATTTTTGAGTGACTAGCTATGTGAATAAGATGCTGACTCATTTTGGTGCTTGAATAACACCATGAATTGTTGAAATTTTGATGCGGAGTCTGAATCGTGACTATGATGTGTTTATAATCTAACTGGGACGGGTCATGCATAACCTGGTTTTGAAAACCCTAGAAAACTGTTTTCATTTTTTTTTTTCAAAATACTAGTATATAAGAAAGGGAATCAGCCTGTTCTTTGCCTCCAAATTTAACATAGGGTGGCCAATTCTTAATGTGCATCTCTTTTGCCCATTTCTTGCTCTCTTCTTTGCCTCTCTCTCTCTTTGCTGTGTATTTATCATTCCAACCACTGCAGGTTCTGGTTTTGTGCCACTAACATGGGTTCCTCTTTCTGCACTATATAATGCATTGACGTTTGATATGTTTCATGCATGTTAAATTGCTCCTACATTTTCTTTTGGTTATTGATCATGAATTTGTGGTTTCATATTCTATGTTGGTTGTGTATTTTTTATATTTTTATTGATCATGAGCCTTAGATTCCCAAGACAGCTTGATTCGGCAATTCGAAAAATAGGCTTTCCAATTCATAATTTGAATCTTGATTCAATTTTCATAATGCATACTTATACCATTTGTGATATTAATTCAGCGCTCTGTATTTTTGCCAGGTGGAATCTTGAGGGGTTCTAGGAGAGAAAGATTATTAAGTAAATTTGTTGAAAATGAGTGTGAGAAGATAGACAGATTAATGGAACTATACATCAGGTAGATTCGACTTGTTATCCAACTGTGAAGTTCGTGACTGTTTAGCTGTGAGATTATTAAGTAGTTCCCTACTAGCACTGGTTAAGGAATTAAACATAGATACTTTTTAAAGGAAAATGTTGTATTTAATGTTACCAAAGCAACTCTACTGCAATTTCCAATATAAAAAAACTTATATTTATTGATTCTTTAATCAGTGTACTTAGCGTATTTGTTAGCTGGACCAATGAGCTTATTCCTTTTCTTCCAAGTGCTATTTATCAAGCTTAGAGTTTGTGTATAGAATTGTAAAATTTGTTATAGGCAGTATGCTCTTATTTTAAAGCTCATTCTCATTAACAAACTGAGATTTCCATTTTACCCTCACCAGATATTCAGATAGAGTGAAAGCAGAAACTGAAAGGTTGGATCAAGTTGAGTTTGATGACTTGGAGGTAGTTGATTTATTCTGCTTCTACATGACATATTCAAAACCCTTTTTTTTAGATCAATCTAGTATTTCTGTATTTTGTAGATGGATGAAGATGAAAAATACAATCGCAAACTAGAATCTGGACTTTACACTCTTCAGGTAAGAGATTTTATTTAATGGTTGGTGCTGAGAAATGACATAGCAGAGTTTTTCTTGCTGTTTTAAGAACTCATCCATAAACACTTTGAAAAAATAGATGCATTTATGATTTCTTAGGAAACGATTGTTCTTTATACATAATAAACTGTATTAGTAACTGGACATTACAAAGGTTTAGTTTCTTTCCATTTTAAATTGCACTTAGGAAGAATTTTAGTGAACACCATTGGCTCTTATACTAGCATCATCTACGTAGAAGTAGATACCATTTTTGCTGCACATTTTATGCACTGACAACATTATATATGGTTCTGCAGTTGATCGCTGTCATTTTGGGTCATATTTGGTGCTCAGAGTAAGTATTTCAATCGATGTGTGTGTGTGTGCGTGTGTTCACCTAACGAGATGTTAATTAAACGTTTTGTGGTCAGACATCCACAAATGAGAGGGAGAATTGAGCTACTTCTCAAGCAGAACAAACTTAGTAAGAAGCATATCAAGGATATACTTCAGGTATATGTCCTCGAGGATATACGTATTATCTTTTGAGTTTTGGTTTGACAGTTTCAGTGTGGAGGATGCATTGTGTTAGTCCGATGTCCAACTAAGTATCAGTTTGCAATATTTCTTATGCTTTTCCATATTTCAAGGCGCCAGCAATTGCATGACCTGACCCCGCCCCCTACCACTGCCCCCAAAAATGAAGTTTGAAAATAAGGATCTGTGAACTAAATTTTCCCTAAGCGCATTTCTTTACTGTAGCGAACACGTCTTCAAAGATTGCGACCTTATTGATGGTTTGAATGGTTCAGTGCATCACTCCTACAAACCCAGTATTTTTAAAAAGAAACTGCAGAGGCTAAAATCTATTGGTATTTTTTGTATTTTTCAGGAGTATCATGACAATATTGGTGACCTTGACGGACCGGAAGAGAAAGAGAGAGCTCAGACAAAAGTTCAGAAGTTCATAATGGCATTATAATTAGTTCAAGACGCAATCTTAAATGAAAGTGATTGAAGTTATTCATTTAAGTGCTTGTAAAAAAGGAATAGATTAGTTAGGGTATTGGGGAAAAAAAACGCCGAACTTCAAATGTTATGTAGATAATAACCGTGTAATTTTTCCCTTGGTGGGGTGTCTTGAATTTCGT